CTACCTAGGTAAAGGAGGAGGGAGTCGATGCTGGATGTTACCCCTTTAACCTTCCATGTACGTACTAGGTAGTTACCTAGTAGTACATAGTAGCAAATAACTGACGATAATCGATTAGACGGCACGAAATGCATGGTATAATGGTTGCCATGTGCTATGCGTTACATGGTAGGGAACTACCGCAATAGTTATTGCTAGCGGGATGACACCGTCACATTTGGTAACTTTAGACTAAAGATGTATTGATTATGTACATGGCTAATTGCTTGGAAGATCGGGTTCTTCAACAAGAGATTTGTGATCTTGTCATCTCTCAAGACGAGACGAGACGAGGCGAGCCGTAGACCGCATCGTAGCATGCTCGGCTGGATGGGCTGGATGGGCTGGATGGGCTCCTATGTAGATGGGCTGACTGGGTTGGCTGGTACAATACCAAGCCCTTCCGGGATTGCGCAAGGCGGAATAGTTTTAGAAAAACGTGCGAGCTTCCATCTCCTATTAGCCAGATATTTTACTATTTTACTATTTTACTGCGTAGTAGCCGTGAGAGGAAAGACGACCCTGCAGAAACAAGATAGACTACTACATCTATTTACCTCCTATGCAAAGTACCTAGTCGCCGATGGAGCCCGTACCCTTTGCCATTTCGGGATCATGCGTTAGCACGCTTACCCGGTTCTATCTAGCCCGCACATGCCATCAGGTCTAGGTACTGGTATTGTACTGGCCTGGGTACAGTAGAACTAATCCTAAATTGATGTGACCTACCACATAACCCCACGCCGATCACCGCTGGTCTCGAATCCCTTTCAAGACTGGCGTCTTTAATTTGAGTATCTAGCTCTCTATTTTCTTCACCAAAGTTCCTCTGGGGAAATGAGGCGTTATGTTGACATCCAACGAATAAGGCATTGAAAGCTCGGACGATGTGACTGTCGATCCTCGCATCGCATCGCACCATATGTATCATGATCGATAGTCTTTCCTCATCCTTGTTATGACGTTCGTCATTGCCGTGCAGGGGGTTTAGAATCTCGAGTCTAGACTGGATGTTGTTTTGGAAAGGGTAAAGGGGAAAAAAGGGAAAAAAGAAAAAAAAATAAGAAAAAAGCAACGACCCTTTTTAGAGTCCGAGGTTTAAGCAACTGACGACATGACTAGCAAAGACGCAACCAGGCACGGGTAACGGGTAACAATGCCTAGACCCAGGTATTTGTCTAGGTACTAGGTAGGCTAAACCACGCACGGTAATAGCTCAATAAGCATTTAAGACATGCGTAAAAATCAGGACATGTCGTCGTCCTTACTGGCCTTTTTCAAGTTTTATGTATTATGCTACTACCTGACAAGACTGCAAAGACTATAGATAGTAAGAGTAGCGAGAAAAGTACGCTGTAATAAAATAGATAATAACACGCTCAATAACACGATCATGCAAGGCTAAGAATATAAATGGATCAGCATGGGATATATGTAGGTATGTACAAACTTTTCCAATACATATTCGAATACTTCGTACATATAACCAAATACTGAATGCATGAACTCGGCAGGCCTTCCTTGTCTCCCTTGACCAATCCTTGCCTCGAGCCACGCCCAGCTTGGCTTCCCCGTGCAGAAAATGATCGAAACCCAGAACTGGGTTACGTAGTACCTGCAAGATTTCCCCATGTCGATTGCCAGTTGATTATCTATCAAGATGCGTTATACGTGCCTACAATACGAGGTGAAATGAATTACAATCAAAAACTCGACTTCATCACATCCCTCAATAAGATTCACCCACCTCAGATGCGACGATGATCGTTGAGCCGCCGCTAAGGAACTGCCGCCGGGTAGGGATGCGGCCAAGTCCCTCTGAAGTCCGGTTCCGCACAAGCCTCCCTATCATTCTAACCCATGTTGCCATGCTACAGTGCATCCCTCATGGATTTCGTTTTTTTAATCTTTTCTTTTTTTTACTCCTACATAATAGTACTTTATTTCTTCACAACGTATTTTATATCTGCGGGCCAAGATTATCCACCATTGAAAAGTTGATGCTCACGATCTCCATACCGAACGAGAGTGTTATGTATGTACGTATGTTATGCTGTATACATATTTCTGTGTCCACCGTAACCTTTACTGTTTAGTGGTTACATCTGGTATCATCTAGCATTATCGAGGAAGTATCCGGTAAACTCTGATGCTATTTATTATAGTGGTGGCTGGCGTGAGGTTGGGCTGGACACTATATCTACTAATCTATTTACGAATCTGACTTTTCATCTATTACTCTAGTAAACTCCACGAGGTGTTGTCCTTAGTTACGTACTAAAGGCTCGGGATACTACCTCTTTACGTTATGGCTTCTTACCGGGGAGTACCACCCAACCTGCCTTTTAAAGGTGTGGAATATGTATGTAGAGCCTCAACAGAGGGTTAGTAATAGTCTAATCAGGTACAGCGTACTTCTAATACTGCCCCTGACCGTCTTCTTTAGTGTGGACGTGTGGTCCAAACTCAAACATCCCTGGTATATTTTTCTAGTGAAAAACTGATCTCGAATATTCGGTGATCTTATTGTTCCCTTATTTACATCATCTTCATATAATGCACGTGTAAGATGCTGCTCCTCAATCTATTTAATTGAGCTGAGGCCTGAAGGTGAGGCCTTCTGGAGCGCTGTTCCTCCAATCAGAATCTCCATCCGGTCAATAGTCGAGTCGCCATTTGACGCCGGAATCCCATTTAGTCAGTGTTATTATTGTTATTTTTTTAATATTATTATTTTGCCTTCCTTCAACTAACCGTGCCATTCTTTTTTTTCTTTCCCCCCCTACGTGGGTCCTTGGTCATCAAATACTCACAAGCAAAACATGACTCCCTATTACCTACCTACCTTCTACCTAAAAACTACTTACAGCGGCAAGTTAAAACATCCAAATCCACCAAAATCCACCTTATTCATGGCGACATTCAAAACATAGAAACTCCTCAACAGAGCCACTTAGCGTTCCTTGCAGTATATTGGAAGTTACGTGCATGCCAGCTCACATACCTACTACGCAAGGACGCATAACCGGGCATTTTCTTAAACTGCTTGTCTTGCATCCCGCTCCCACCCCTCTTCAGGAGTGGTCTACGTACCGTTCGTTTCCCCTTATTAGCTGGAGGTACCATGTGAGGTCAGAGACAGTAGCAGCCACCAGGTCGGCCTCGAAGCCTTAGACCGGCAATCAGACACGCACCCCCCTCTCTACATAAAAGCCGTTGAACAATACACCCCCCTCTATGTATGTACATAGCTACGCAGCTACGTAACTCTAGACTCCTGCCCCTTCGTCTCTTAGTCCCTCGAATCTCGATAAACCCTAGCCAATTAAAGACTCATGTTTTAGAAGTCTTGTCTCATTATTTCCGCTGCGCATTTCTTAGCAATCTCAAGGCGCTCAGACATAGTCACATCATGGCACTCACGCGGGGAATTCTCAGATCGCCAGGGGAAAAAGAAAAAAAAAAAGGTCCAAGGTCTAAAGGTCCCATAGCGGGCTAGGGGAGATAAAAAAAATACATACCTAGGTATTTAACGATCATTATATTGCATGGCAAGCAAGGTATGATATGCGTTATAGTATTATTGTGGGATATTAAGCAGATGAGGGCATAGGGGATTTCGTTCATCGCTACAGGCATGTATCGCTATTAGGTAGCTAGGCGTGGAAGACTGCTACACCTGCTACATAATACATGCTACGCAGTACCTACTTACTCTCTCTCCCCGTTACCCTTGAAAATCCCTGATCAATGATTAGCAGCCAATGCTTCCCCGTTGAGGGCAAGGGTCTACCCTGACAGGTCCGCAGCGCCCATGGGACCCCTGGAAAGAGCTAGGATTCTACCATCATGGCCACCATGTCAAAAAAAAGAGGTCCACTCTCTATCTAGCACTACTACCCATCTTCATCCTTACTCTCAGCACATTTATTAGCCGGCTAGACTAAAACTAGTACTTCCTGTACGTCTAGTGTGTGCTTCGCTCTGTGCTGTGCTCGCTCTCCTTGCCCATTGCTGTGTTGTTCCTTAGACAACATAATCTGCAATCCATAATCTTTATTATTAGCCTCTTGCATGCTACATGCTACATGCCTACTCGCCTTGTCGTCACATCGACATCGACCAAGCTCCAGGGATCTCTTCAGACTGTCTTTCTGCTACCCTTCTTGCCTTTCCCCATGCCCACTCCCTGTCGTAGTAGCAGAAGTAGTACTTAGAACCCCCCCTAGTCACTTACTGCCCAGCCCAGCAGCGCTCGTGCCAGCGCATTCTCAGTGCTCATCAACGAAGAACCGCCAAGCAGACCTGGCGCGTGTGCAGCAAGTGGCCTAAGTACTTTCGTATGGCGCCCCAAAAGAGCTTGTACCCTGGTTCGTACCTAAATTGTCCCAATCTCTAATATTAAAGTCGCACAAAAGCCTCCCGCGACCTTATCCAGACCCAAAAGTTGTCGAGCTTCTCCATCTTGAGTCGACAAGTCGGCATCATCTAGCTCTTGCCCGACGCAGCTACCGCCGCTGGCACGTTGCCCTTCCCAGGCCTCCAAGACCCAAGAGCTATCTGACGGTGCTACAAGGAGAGAGTGTCGTGTGTCTTGTGCTGCAGCTCCCCGTCATCCCATCTCCTAGGTTTCCACCAACTCCGCCGCGCGCCGTATCACTGGATTCCCTAACCTTGACTGAGCCAGTATCACAGACGATTTTGCTTGTCCGACCTGTCTTTGAACTCTCGCCATCGAAGTCAGGCAGGACTGAGGTCGCCATTCCTAACACTTAGTCTCTTCTCTTCTTCTCGACCTGCCTTGGGCCATATAACTTTCTAGCAACAAACACCCCGCGGAACTTGGGGAGGAAAAAAAGTTTGATAATTACCCATCTAATTTTCGAGAAAAAAAATCTTTCGAGTCTGGATTGCGCTTGCGGATCTGAAGAAAAGCGCTGCTTACTTACCAATCGGTGCGGTCTAAAAGTCCAAGCGATTTCCAAATCTAGTCTTCCAACTACCGAATCGGCCAGGGCATGCTATTCCTCCAGGATCGAAAACCCTATCTCTGAACGGTGTTGCCGTGCTCCCAACTAGAGTACCAGGCCGCCGTTGAGAAGGAGAAGAAAGCGTTAGGAGCTCAGGGTCCTATCGTGTATCCTTCTTAGGCTGCATCCATGCAAACCCTTACTTATCGTGCTGAGCAGTTGAATTTCCCGCTCGGCCAGCGCCGAGGTGTATCGAATCTGGCGAACTTCGCTCTAGACCTGTCCTGGGCCAGAGCAGAGACGGATTGTGCTCTGAGTAGCACAAGGGCGTATCCCTCTCCGCCCATGTCAGGGTCTCCACCACCACTCCCGCCCAAGCCAAACCCAGAGGTCGGTGATCGAGGTCAGGGAGGCTATCAGCCTGTTAGTCATGATGCGTATCGGCCAAGCTCAACAGTTCCAGGAGGCGAGTATCGAACACAACCACCGCAACCACCATTATTACCACCAACTACCAGCGCCCCTAGAGGGTATATCCCAGAGGGTCCGGAACGGATGCCGTATCCAACCTATCATCGCCCAGACGAAACGATGGGAAGACCAATGTCCTACACCCAGCAACTACCGGGCCCGATGGCTCCCCAGCCTCAGTATCCGCTCCCACCCGTAGTTGGACCCAGCCTTGGACCATCACCTTACGCACTACCAGGCAACCCCCCAGGAGCTGATAATCCGCCCTTTACCTCGCCCAAATCCCAAAGGAAAACCAAGGGTCATGTGGCTTCGGCATGTGTGCCCTGCAAAAGAGCACATTTAAGGTACTACCGCAATTTTTGGTTCCCTCCATCCCAGCACATTTCCAGAAGCTAACATTTCTTAGATGTGATGGTACGTATCCCATTCCGATTTTTCATTATTTCCCATTACATGTTGTATGCTCCTAGAAGTGGTCATGGCAAAGAATCCGCGAGAAAATGAGACCCCTGAGTACAGTATTCAATACCAGCCGGAGATCGTCTTCTGGGTGACAAAGCACAAAGATTTTGTGGATTCTCCCAATCGTGGCCATGCCTGTGGACAGATGGGCTTTAGTCTGAAAGGAGACGATCCTTTGGAAATCAGGGGCGTTTCGATTTCTAGTGTAACTGCTGCAAGAGACCAAAAAGGGCGCCAGGAACCACCTTTAAGGGGGCGACTTGAGTTTGAGAAGTAGCTCCCGTGTGAATGGCAAAAATTGTCGAAGCAGAATACAGCGCAAAATACGGGGCAAGAAAGATGCGGGTGGTTACCACGGAGAACGTCGGAAGGTGCTATCAGCAAAGCTAGAGGCAAGACCGAAGTTGCCTCAAGCACCCGACGTTGAGAAGCTGCGGTCTCTGTCCTTGCCAGACATCTTCGGATTGTCTTAGCCACGTGCTTCCCATCTGACCGAAAAGACGCCATAAACACCCGTGGAGCATACCTTCCATATTCCGAGCTGGTTCCATCGAAAACTGGACAACTTTTTTCCTCTTTCATATATACTCACGTGTCACATAGTCGTGGTATAAAAAGCTGACCATCTGATGTGAATAGCCCAGCGACCCTGTTCTCGATGCCTTAGCAACGGCAAGGAAGATTCCTGCGTCGATGTTCAACATAAAAAGCGCGGCCGACCTCGATTACGTGATGACAACCAACCTCGATTTGACGCCGGAGCGAGATTCCCTCATCCAGCCGACCCTTCTTCCATGCGACGACCAGTCTCCCTCTACTCACCGATTAGCGCAGTTTCTGCCTCCTCATACGAAGACCCCCTCCGAAGAAGCCATTCTTACAGAGTTCTAAAATCCCAGCCGAGCGATCCCATCGCACCTAGATATCTCGAACGTGGATCAGCCGCAGATGCAAACATCTATCCTGCCCCCCTATCCATACCCACACGTGCACCCGAACCAGTAGCATTCCTAACTATGGATTTTGAGATTTCCAAGGCGTCGAGTACTTTTGTTGAGGCAGTGGGATCCAGGTCGATCTTAGGTCGAAGGTTGTTGGAAGTTGTCAGTCCGAACGAGCGCGACAGAGTCGTTGCACTTCAAAGGTCTCTGCAAGATGAGCAGACTAGGAAGGAACCGAATTATCTCCCGCCAATCTTTGGAAAACAGGAGACCGAGAGAGTAATACAGGCTTTACCATTCAGCCCTGAATCGATATCGAGGTTCCAACTAGATCGCCAGGATTTCTTCTCGTTCATGTCTGCAGATGGACAGCAGCGGTCGTACCCGATTCGTATCGGGCTTGCGAAAGAGGATTCGATATACTTCATCGTGTTGCTGATAAGTCGTCCAGTCCAGCCATTCCCACATCCTTCGCCCTCTCCTCACGCTCGAGAATTCTCATATTCTTTCCAACCTCAACCATACGCTCAGTTGACCCCTGTTTCCGGCTCTTTCGATCCTGGGCGGCCACGGTTCGGAGAATCACCTCGTGAGGGGGGCTATACGCCACGGCAACCACCAACACCCGCACCTCTGGCTTCGGGTCTCACTCCTGGTGTGAGTCCCAACGTCCCTTCTTATTCTGCTGCTGGACCTGTGCGAATAGAACCCCAACCAGGTCCCTCTCATCACATCCCAAGAAGCGAACTTTCCATGGCTCGGCCGCCTCAGCAGGTGGAATATCAACTGCCTCCCATTCGTGGACCGGGACAGCCCGGTCCCTCGGGGGAAGCGTCCGGTTGGCAGCGAGATGACCGATCAGGACGTGTCGACATCGGTGGATTAATAGAAAAGCCCGACCCTTCAAGACGAGGGCGGTAGCGGTTGGTCGACATTGGAAGAACAACAAAACCCATGGCTATGGGTTAGTTCGACTTTTTTCTTCGCGGGCTAGTTGCCTTCGACGTCTGCTCGCGAGATTAATGTTTCATACCACACATCATTCATACTCGATTTGTAAAATATACCCATATCGCGCATCCGTCATTTTCAGTCGCGCAGGATACCATGTACAACATAATGCATCTTTCCATCTACATATCATACCTCCCGTCATTACACGGCTTCTGATTTTTCCAGGGCTGTTTTAATATTAGCATGATCCCGTGGTCCCTTTTCGCTGCCTTGAGCTAGCCGTCTGGACTCGGATTCGATTCCTGATTTTTCCCGACATTCTCGTCTTGGTCAGGTCAGGCTAGGCCAGGTCGTCGTACTGCTAGTTGCATTGTCGAGTTTTCTTTTTCGGACGCGGCGCTTGCGGCTCTTATTTCGCCACAAACCGGGAACTTGTGCTACACCGGGAGGCGACAGCACGAGAGGAGAAGAGGAGAGGAGAGAGCAAGATCATAATGATAGGAGTCGTTCATTCGGAAGATCTTCTGCGTCTTTCATGTACCATATATTAAGTCGAAATTTTTTTGGAGGGTGGTGTTTTTGTGACGTGAAAGGGGGGAAGCGGTGGTCCGGTGACAAAGCCTGAAAGCGCCCAGCTTAGCCGCGCCCAACTATTTGATGGCAAACTTGTTGTACCAGACAACAAACGGGCGGGGTCTTTCGATTTCGGGGTCTCTCGCTATCATATTTTTCCAATCTTGTGTATATTGTTTTTTTCCACTTTCTGATCTCAGTCTGCTCTCGTATCTGACCAGTGGTATTGGCCAAGACGAGAGGGTGAACTCTTATGAGGGCGAGATCATGTAATAAGATATTAGTCTTGAGAAATGAATCCTGTATAGGTAGAAAAATAGCGAGCAGGCGAAGAGGACCACGCACAGGACGTGTAGGTTAAATGGCCGAACACGAATAGGTGTGGTGGAGGAGAGCAAAGTAAAAAGGTAGAATTCACAGAGTTAGGGATGGATATAGGATATATCAATGAAACGAAACACTTTTTGACAGGGCAATGAAAGGAAATTTGGGTCCAGAAAATGAAACAAGCGCGAGAAAACAAGAAACAGCATGTTTACCGCGACCATCAGAAATTTTTGGGTTCGGGACCAGGCTGATCAAATCCCATCCCATCCATCAGATCCATCCAGACTTGTCAATACAACCCAGGAAGCGAGCTTATAATCCGCCTCAACTAACCCCTAAGGATTCGGCCCGTACTACCTTTCGACCCCCGTCCGTCTCTTTCTCGATCTTTTCTCTGCCGTCTTCCTCTTAAATCTACAATTATGTTGTCAGGTTAGGCGTAAGCGTCAACCAGTAAGAGGTCAGTGCTGGGACCAGTTGCTAGGTTCATTACGGCGGTTTGATATGATATCGAGGTCTATAATATAGTTGACTCGTACCGGGAAGATTCGTTTCATTTCCGGGAATTACGACAGTACACATCAACAAAGCACCATTCAAGAGGACGCAAATGCTCATCAGTCACACATCTAAGCTCTTCTCTCCTCCACACAGACGGAAAATAAAATCCCATGGGACGAAGTCACCGCCTAGATACTTACACACACACGCATGGCACACGATACGCTGGCAGACTCGTACGCATCCGGGCAAATGAGCCAATGCTCACTCCGAACCGCTGTCGCCCAAGAGGCTCTTCCCCTCTTTTTCTTACCATGCTGACTTGGGTATTCCTTGCTGGAAGTCTCGATCTTCCTGGCTCCGATCTCTTCACATACATGCGTAATACATGCCGTTACCGTGACAGGCCTTGCCAGCCCGCATCTTGCATCACACCGCAAGATAAACACAAGGAATAAAAAAAAACCGACGCACGTACCATGCCGTGGAGAGCCCCAGGGCTGTGTGCATGGACAAGCTTAACCTTGACGTGCGACTCAGTGCCGCGGTTGGCTCGCTGAGCACCTTGTCATCAAACGGTCCAGGCGCCGGCGCAAGCGCTAGGGGGTTTAACGTGCCAGTTTACAGCGTATGTGGTGTCTAGGCTCTTTTGTATTTTTCAGAGCAAAGCCGCGGTTGAGATTACCTACACCTACATACAGCGGATTGTACATACATCAAGCTACTACTACGGGTCTTGCTAACGTACATACACACCTACATGAGATTATCTTATGTGGTGTGTCTGCAGGGGTGGTTCAATGGGTAAAATTGTCCGAGCCGTTGCAGCGTGCGCGCAGTGTTACAGGAGTGCCGTACCGTACGAGCTCCACGGATGCACCATGGAGCACGGGTAGGGTGGTAGCGTCTAATAAGCTAACGCTAACGAGAGAAGGGGGAAAACGAAATAAAAAGCCCCGACTGGTCAGCGCTCTTCCTTATTTTCCTTGAAAATCCCCAGTTTAGAGCGATGATGCTTGTCATTGCGGAAACGATCACTCACACACAACAACTACGAAGTACACCGTACACCAACAACTAACCCATGTTGTTGGCCCGCGAAGCCGGGGACGGGATTCCTGGGTTAGTAAGGAATCCTTCAAGCCCAAAAGTGACACATCGCGTGTGCGTTGAGATATCTGTAAGGGAGAAATACTCGTCACACATATCCCATCGCTTTAATATTTCTCGGCTTGCCTTTTTAGATCTACCCAACACATTAAATGCGTGGTGCCCAGTTCCACCGGTGTGTTGAACCTCCTACGTCAGCGACTATTAGGTACCTAAGAAGACTAACCGGGAAAAGTTGAGCAAAACAAGATGACCTACATACGCCGTAAGAAAGTGGCTTAAGACATACATAACGAAATATTAGTGCCCAGGTAGGTATAGCTTATAGCTTAATACACAAGTCATATTTACTAGTCGTGGCTTTGAGGAAACTATCTCGATCTCTCTATTCCAGCTTGGGCAGGTGTCTGTGGAACTATACAAAAAAATTGGAATGGGTGGCTTCGTCGTTGACATTAGCAATCCGGAATACGAAATAAAGCATCGTAGCCTCGCCTCGATGCGAGATAAAGCTGTCCCTACCGTCGCAATCTGGGGCGGGACATGACCCGGTTCTAGGCCAAGCCACTTTACGGTCTATGTAACATTATATCATCTCCATCGGCCGAATTTTCTCACATTGGGCTTGAAAGGTGCCCAAATATTTGCTTATCCTTCATCACGGATTCAACTCTTCGACCCCGAATACAGCAGACTTTCAAGTCTGATTGGACACGGCTCGTCTGACCTCATTTCGTCGACCCTCTTAAAGACCTTGCCCTTTTCATGCAAACCTCGCCATCACAGGACTTCACTTACTGAACGTTTCCCCGGTGATAGTACGGCTAGAATCGGACGATGTTGGGCGAAGTCGCATTAACCATTATGTTCATCTTCCTTGGCGGTTTAGCGAGAGATCCGCCGAGTACCAAACTTGACGGACACACTTTTGCGATGAGATGGCGCCTAAGCCGTGGATTAAATTATCGGGTAGCATCCATACACGTTCAGCCATTCCGTTGACGGAGGACCGGTAACCTCCGGAGATTCTTTCTTTGTCCGGACATTTACACCTCAGAAACGAATTCGATTTGTATTTCAGTGACAGTATAACCGAGGCCATTCGTATTGAGCCGGCTTTATCGACGACATGTTTACATAAATTTTATTCAACTTTCTAAATGTATTCATATCACTATATCTTGAACAAGTCTAGACCTTAAAAGGGGAAAACAATTTATAATAAACTGCCAAGTCATATCATGCATTCATCCAGTAGGCTTTAGCATAGTGAATCTTGGCCCCTTTTTCGGCATAATAGTCAAGAGGCAAAAAATAATATGAGCCATAGGAGGATTGAGTTTGAAATTTACTAAAAGTGAAGCTAAGAAAAGATATTTGGACAACACAAAAATACATTTTCTAGAAGAGGTAAACGACAACTCGCTAACAATTGCAATTTTATTATTTAGAGTCGAGAGCCACATCTTGTAAGACGTAATCCTTGAAAGTCAATTGGCGTCTATCAATTTGACCAATCACTGTTATCCACTAGGAAATAAAAAGGAGGCCCGAGCGCTTGGACGAACACAGTTTAGGGTCACAGTGTGATCTCCTTATTCAAACTCCACCTGAGCTAACGGCGAATTTTCATTGGGCGGATAAGCCCCGCTCTTGCCTTACCTGTCACCTACAGTACCACTTTAAAGTTGCCGACTTCAAGTGTCACTGCTTCCAAGTTCTCATAGAACAATCCAATGAGACAACAACTATTTTCGTGGCTGCTTTACTAGTCTCTAACAAATACTCTATTCTTACAACAATTTCTGAGGCTCCACGAATCATTTAGACCAGCGGGCTGTTCTATTTGCCTTGAAAACCTTGTCTGCATAGCAGCTTCACCTTGATAAATCTAGCGACAGTTATGGTTTGAAAGGTGAAAAAACATGCTTGCAACGGGTCCTAAAAGAGGATCTTCATCTCCCCGGTTGAGTTTTCGGCATTAGTAGTACCAGCATCACGATGCCTGATCCCATGGAAGTCGATGAGCCAAGGGGTACGAAACGAAAGGCCCCATCGTCTTCGGCAGATGAAAACGCTCCACGCCGAATCAAGGCTAGTCCGTTCGCATCTTATATTAAAGTAACATATATCTGATTCTATATTCATGCATTTAGGCACTAGACCAAGATGTTGTAAACAAGATTGCAGCCGGCGAGATCATTGTAGCTCCGGTACACGCCTTAAAGGAGTTGATCGAGAATGCCGTCGATGCAGGCTCGACTTCCATAGAAGTATTAGTCAAGGATGGAGGCCTTAAGTCATTGCAAATCACTGACAACGGCCATGGTATTAATGTGAGTTTTACTCCACTTGCCATCATGCCATGAGCTCCATTTCTAATCATCATGATAGAAAGAGGATTTGCCAATTCTTTGTGAAAGGTTTACTACGTCCAAACTGAAGAAGTTTGAAGACTTGAGTAATATCGGAACATATGGTTTCCGAGGTGAAGCTCTCGCTAGTATTAGTCATATTGCTCACTTGACAGTTACTACAAGAACGAAGGATTCTGAATGCTCATGGCGAGCTCGATACGATGGGGGCAAGCTGTCCCCTGCGAAGCCCGGTCAATCGGCTGACCCTAAACCTATTGCTGGGCGAATTGGTACACAGCTATTAGTAGAGGATTTGTTCTACAATGTTCCGACACGACGAAGGGCTTTCAGGTCCCCCTCGGATGAGTTCAACAAGATCATTGACATGGTGGGGCGCTATGCAATCCATTGTGCTAATGTTGCCTTTTCTTGCAAAAAGCATGGTGATGCGGGCACGTCAATCACAGTACCGCAACAAGCTTCCGTAATAGACCGCATCCGCCAAATTCATGGAAATTCCGTCGCGAGCGAACTCATAGAATTCAGTGCTTCTGACCATCGTTGGGGTTTCACGGCTTCAGGGTGGGCCACAAACGCGAACTACCATATAAAGAAAACCACACTTCTCCTTTTCATTAACCACCGCAGCGTTGAGTCGACCAACATCAAGAAGGCCGTGGAACAGACTTATTCCGCATTCCTTCCCAAAAACGGACACCCATTCGTATATCTCAATCTCGAAATTGACCCTCAACGAGTTGATGTCAACATACACCCGACAAAGCGAGAGGTTAACTTCCTCAACGAGGATGAAATTATCCAATCAATATGTGAAAATGTCCGCGATAAATTGGCCGCAGTCGATACAAGTCGCACCTTCATGACGCAGACCCTACTCCCTGGCACCATGACCGCCGATACCTCCAAACAAGATAGTGACAACTCCGTCTTTAAGACGCCCGCTGGACCGCGAAAAACACCAGTTCGACCTGATGAAAGTAAAATGGTCAGGACCGATGCTTCCCTGCGCAAGATAACTAGTATGTTTCCGGCTATATCGCAATCCCCGACCCCAGGTACGTTGAGTAATACCACACGTGATGTCGCTCAAGATCCTGTATACGAAACAACGGACCGCGAACCGATTATATGTCGACTTACTAGTGTGCGTGAGCTTCGCTCTGCCGTCAGAGATGACATGCATCACGAACTAACCGAAGTCTTTGCTAATCATACTTTCGTTGGCATTGTGGACGAAAAACGCCGGCTGGCTGCTATCCAAGGAGGCGTCAAGTTATTTCTCATCGACTATGGCCGGGCCTGCTTTGAGTACTTCTACCAAGTCGGGCTCACAGATTTTGGCAATTTCGGTATTATAAAATTCCAGCCTGGACTAGACTTACGTGAAGTGCTCAAGATTGCGGCCGAGCAAGAAAAAGCCGTCGCCGAGGATAGCGATGCGTTTGAAGTGGATGATGTTGTGGATACAGTGGCAGAGCAATTAATTGAGAGGAGGGAGATGCTGCTCGAATATTTCAGCTTTGAAATATCTCCGGCGGGGGAGTTATTGACCATTCCTCTACTTTTAAAAGGGTATACACCATCTATGGCAAAATTGCCACAATTCCTCCTTCGCCTTGGCCCCCACGTAAACTGGACGGATGAGAAGCTCTGTTTTGAAACCTTCCTCAAAGAACTAGCGACATTCTATGTTCCGGAACAACTCCCCACTCTCCCAGGCAACGACGAGACGGAGGAAAACGTCCCCGATGAGATCAAAGCAAGAAGGTCTCAAATCCGTCGTGCGGTAGAACACATATTCTTCCCGGCGTTTAAGGCGAGATTGGTGGCAACCAAATCATTTATGAAAGGCGGCGTACTTGAATTAGCAAGCCTCAAGGGGCTTTATAGGGTCTTCGAGCGGTGCTGATGTCTTCGCGGAGGATATGATACCCATTAAGATTGTAGATACGGATTAAAGAAAAGATTGCTGTTTATAGGAAGGGATGGAGAATGGCGATGCTTTGCTGGGGTCATGAAGTTTACAAAGTGCTTTTTACAGAGCATAGCTCAAAGTATGATAGTTCTAAATCAAAGACTTTGAACGGAGATGTATCGGATAATCATATCGCATACTACTGTGAAATCGAGGATATCTTAAGAACTTAGTCAAGCAGAGGAAAGCAAAACGAAACTTTATTTGTGTTGTTGCTAGGGCAAGCAAGTTCATTGAGGCATCCACGGCGATTCCGTGGTTCTTATCTGCATACAGCAAGAAGAAACCCATCCATCATTTTGATCCTGAGCGGTGGTGCATGTGCAAATGATTGCAGTAATCGGCACCAGTAAGTGTGCGCAGATGAGAGCGATAGCATGATGTATGCAACCTATCCTCCCATAACGTCCGAATTCGCGAGTCATAGGATGAAACTCATCCTCATCCGTAGAAAACCAGGGTTTAGTGGTTTTCAAAGTGAGCGAACTTATGCTTCGTCGTTGGCAAGCTTGTCGTTAGACTCATCCGCCGATGACTGAGGCTCTCCCTTAATCTTGCCTGTGTGGAATATGTATGTTAGTATATGAAGGATGAGGTAATGTAGAGGGTGTATTTGAGTTGGAATACATACCATTCTCGCCATCGAGAGCTTTAGCTGATTTCTTGCGTGAGGCTGAGGAAGTGAGAGCCTTCTTGACGCGAGGCTTGATGTCTTCGTCTGTTTTGGAGCATACATGTTAGTATTTAAATGACGACAAGGGCATATGTCCTAATGGAGTGGTCAAGAGGTGAGAGTTGTATGAGTACGTACCATCGTCACTGCCGAAGTCCTCGGTCTTTCTCTTCTTGGATTTCTTGCCACGGCTGGCGGGAGTCGGGGTAACAGCTATGTGGATTGTTAGCTTGCGACTGATGTAAGATGAGGTGGCTCAAGATAGGACAGCGAGATAAAGTCAGTCAGATTGACATACGCGACGAATCGTCGTCGCCCATAGCCATGAATGCGGCGTGCTGAGTACGGGCGGCAGTCCAGGCATGCATCATGCTTCGCTTGGTACGACCCGGTAGGCTGACAGAGTCATACGGGAAGCCGCTGCTACCGCTTAGGGCTTGGATGGCCTGGACGAGAAATGAGACCTAATATGAAATGTATTATTAGCTTACCCTTGTGGTGAAGGACTTGTGTACCGCGGTGTATGTCATGCGGGTAATGGGAGCGACGTACCTTCTCATTCTCAGACCACTTGGCAGGCTTGCCGGCGGACATGATGGCGGTTTGATTTGCTTCTTCTCAAAGTATTAGTTGTGGGAATGTGAAACTGTGGAAAGTGGAAATAATGATGTGGCGGTTGCCGATGTACTTGATCAAGAGAGAAGAAATGTTGGTGGCGGGTAGGGTTGTAGGAGAATAAGGAAAAGAAGGACGTGGCTTGCCAAGGCTTGGGAGAATAGGTAGAAGGGAAATACCAAGCGGATACTCGACATGAACCATAAGTCACGATCAAGAGGAAACTCGGAGACTCGAGGTCGGTAGTTTACCTATCGAAGCATCCAAGTTGGCAGGTGGACACTGGAGATGTGGAATAATAGAATTATGAGGAAGGAGACTCTGAGAGAGGCAAGTTGGACATACCTTAAAGATGGAGCTTGCTGTGTCGAAACCGGGAGTTAGGTAAAGGTTGCTGTGGAGAGAAAGAGGGAGGAGTGAGAGAGTGAATAACCAGAGTAACCAGAGGGAAATGGCGACAGGCAACAGAATGGGACTTGGTGAATTATTAAATGTAAATACCACTTTGGACGGTCTATTGCTGGTTACCAGCCGGGTGTACGGTAGTCGCCATCATCTATTGGTAATTACTTCACTGCTCTCTGCGTGAATATCGAACTTGCCTATACCTATGCCTTTCCTATAGACGCCGGTTGCCACACAAAGTAGAACTTATCACAACTGTATTCATGGAGGCATCTCCCAATACGGAAGCACTCGATGATTAAACGGGCATCAAGTCCGCTAGACCCACTAACACACATTGCAGAGCTATCACGCGTTTTGTGATAATCATATTCTTGTGCGTAGTTCTTGTGTATTTACAAGGTACGATTTGGCCGATGGCTTGGATGTGCGTCTGGAAATAGCTGGATTTCGGTCGTCCGTGCACAAAAGCAAATGCATTAACATGGTTCCAGATCCTTATCCAGATGTCTTTCAGCCCTATGATCGGGTTAGGGTGACGGAATAGTAATAGATTCCAATCAAGAAGTATTGATTTATCATAAGTGATGTATCTATTCACGGTCACTTTGAATTCGTGCGCCGTATAGACCATGTGGAAAGGTATGAAACATACGGAAAGCGTTCCGAATGGCCTTCGGCGCCTGCTTACTCGCCACCACATCACCTGGCAGTGAAGTGCCCGCGGAGACAAAGATTTCAGTGGCTTTGCTTGCTTTTTATTTATCTACATAACGATCTACCTAGAATCATTGGGTATAAGCTTACTTCTAGACTCTAGTTGGAACGAGAGAAGAGATACAATGACTGACAATGTTCAAGACTCGAACCAACGTCCAACATTATGATTTCATTGGTAAATTTGGTCTCTTTTACAAACTTGTTACTTCTAGAGAACTCGAGTTGCTCTCATACCGGACATCCACGAAAGCCTCTTTTGCTGTTGACATGCAAGTTTAGTACTTAGTACTTCCAGAATAGCGAAGTTACATCAGCCAGGGGCATAGCACGTGAAAGCCACCTACGTACCTAAGTATCGGGTCCAACGCAAGTGATCTGTACTCTGATTAGTTTATCGTCCCCTACCCCGACGCTAAGATAAGGGTCCCGTTATCGAATCCTTGCTGTCCCTTCTTCTAGCAAAACTTAATCTTGTAAGATGATGCAGATTGCAGACCTCTTGCCAACATACTGTATGTAGACGGGTGGAAGTTGCCCTCAGCCAAAATCTGCGAATACCTAATATTTTTCCCCCATTACATTCGGTCCCATCTTTAATTCCTATCCAATTCAACCTTCAGTTTCCTTCTTCGAAAAGCATTTAGAATATTGCTTAAAAGTGCAGCCTGGAGATCTATAAGCACTCGCATCCTATTCCATCGTGTAGAAACACCGTCCACCCGCGTCATCATTGTCATCGTTACTACTATCGTCGCGATCACAATCTCGATATAAAATTCGAATTACCTAAGAGTCAATTAGATGTGTCACAGTAAGAAGGAAATAATTAGTGCTATATGAGGCGCTTTTTGCCTTTGCGCATTGCTGACTCAGGCTTTACTCGATTTCTACCACCGTCGTTAATCTTGTCTCGAATTACGTCGCCCCTGCGGTTCGCGTCCCGGTGCGCGTATAAGCCTATTATTCAGCCTAGACTCACCTCTTGTCATACGCGCCAATTCACTGTACATTCAGAGTCGCGTAGTTGCCAACACCAACACCAACACCAGGAGGGAACCAACCCAACTAAAACAGATATGAACGGGACTCAATCCTCGCGCACCAAGCGCAAAGCCTCTTTCTCTCCTCACGACCATGATCGCCCACAGAAACATATTCGACCAATTAATGGAAAGATGTCGCCGAGCGAGAACACACCCGATACCGAATTACCTAGTTTCATAGAGGACGATATTGCCGACGAAGATATCTCTATGCTCTACCCACAAGCCACTGCCGATACAACAGAATGGCAAGCTACCATAGAGAATGTGGTGAAGAACGTTGTCTCCATCCGATTCTGCCAGACCTGTTCTTTCGATACCGATGCTGCCTGTGCCAGCGAGGCCACAGGATTTGTTGTCGATGCTGAGAAAGGGTAAGGATATATGCATGAAAATAAATACATTGGGATCTTCAACCAGCTAATAACTTGGCAGGTATATCTTAACGAATAGACATGTTGTTGGTGCTGGTCCTTTCTGGGGATATGTTGTCTTTGACAACCACGAAGAAGTTGACGCATACCCTGTATACCGAGATCCCGTTCATGATTTCGGCATACTGCGTTTTGACCCCAAAGCTATCAAGTATATGCCCGTAGCGGCTCTGCCGATTCGCCCGGACTTAGCGAAAGGTATGTTATGTATTCTGTCCCTTGTGAAATTCATCTTACGAGCTGTTTTTCTAACATTGTTACTTTCCTTTTTTAGTCGGAGTCGAAATCCGAGTTGTCGGAAATGATGCTGGCGAAAAGCTCAGTATTCTTTCCGGCGTCATTAGCCGACTTGACCGTAACGCACCTGAATATGGCGAGGGTTATAGTGACTTCAACACCAATTATTATCAGGCGAACGCTGCTGCTAGCGGGGGCAGTTCCGGAAGTCCCGTGGTCAATCTCGATGGCTTTGCTATAGCCCTTCAAGCGGGCGGAAGATCCGACGGCGCATCCACCGACTATTTCTTACCCCTCGATCGACCGTTGCGAGCTCTTCGATGTATACAAGAGGGTAAACCAATTGAGCGAGGCACAATTCAGTGCCAATTCGTTATGAAACCCTTTGACGAGTGTCGTCGCCTCGGTCTTACGGCGAGTTGGGAGAAGGCTGTTCGAGAAGCATTTCCTAAAGAAACCAATATGCTCGTTGCCGAGATCATACTTCCTCAGGGTCCATCCCATACCAAGATTGAAGAGGGAGATGTCCTTTTGAAGGTGAACGGAGAAATGATCACACAGTTCATTCGACTTGACGATATACTGGATTCGAACGTTGGCAACACAATTCAAGTAACCCTTCAACGAGGAGGTAAAGATGTCGATATCGATATTGAAGTTGGTGATCTCCACAGCATCACCCCAGACCGATTCGTAACGGTATCTGGAGCTAGTGTACACAACTTATCCTACCAACAAGCACGCCTCTATGGGGTTGCTATCCATGGTGGTGGTGTTTTTGTGTGCGAATCAACTGGCTCTTTCCGTTTCGACAGTGCAGACAGCGGGTGGATGATACAGAGTATCGACCAGAAGAAGACTCCCGACCTCGAGACCTTCATTGATGTTGTTAAGCAGATCCCGGATAAGAAACGCGTGGTCGTTACTTATAAGCATCTTCGTGATCTTCACACTCTGAACACAACTATCATCAATGTCGATCGACATTGGTCGGCGAAGATGCGGTTGGCAGTGCGGAATGATGTGACCGGGTTGTGGGACTTCAAGGACATCGCTGATGCCTTACCTCGTCGACCTCCAGCGCGCGTCAAGTGTTCCTTTATTCAACTGGAGCACACATCTCATCCGGCTGTTGCCGATTTAGTCCGCAGCTTTGTACGTGTAGGCTGCACTATGCCTCTTAAGCTGGATGGGTTTCCTAGAAATCGGAAATGGGGAATGGGCTTAGTGATCGATGCTGATAAAGGCCTAGTGATCATTTCGAGAGCAGTCGTCCCTTATGACTTGTGTGATATATGGATTACAATTGCCGACTCCATCGTTGTCGAAGGCAAGGTTGTCTTCATGCACCCACTCCAGAATTACGCAATTATCAAGTACGACCCAGCCCTTGTTGATGCACCAGTCTTGAGCGCTCGGCTTAGCAAGGACAGCATTGCGCAAGGAGCTTCTACGACATTTATCGGATATAATAGAAGTGGCCGAATTGTGCATGCTGCTACCACGGTTACTGAGATGACAACAGTTGCCATTCCTGCTAACTCTAGCGCTCCAAGGTACCGGGCCACTAACATCGACGCTATAACCGTCGATACAAATCTAAGTGGGCAATGCGGCAGTGGAGTTCTCGTCGATAAGGATGGCACAGTCCAAGCCTTATGGCTCACCTACCTCGGCGAGAGGTCCTCTGGCTCCCGAGATGAAGAGTATCATCTCGGTCTCGCTACACCTACTCTATTACCGGTCTTATCCCAGATCCAGGAAGGCCGTGACCCCAAATTGAGGATGCTACCGATGGAATTCCGGCCTATCGCCATGTCTCAAGCCAGAGTTATGGGCATCTCTGATGATTGGATAGAGAAGGTAACTCTAGCCAACAAACACAACCATCAATTGTTTATGGTTTCGAAATGCACCTTCGAACGCGATAATGGACCCGTTGTCTTACTCGAGGGCGATGTTATTTTGACTCTGAACGACAAGATCGTCACGCGTGTCTCAGAACTCGACGTGATGTACTCACATGAGGTTCTTGATGCAGTGATTGTGCGAGAGAGCAAGGAGATGCGCCTTCAGGTCCCAACGTCCCCGGCGAATGATGTGGAGACCAACCATGCTATTTCGTTCTGTGGAGCTGTACTTCATGTTCCTCATCTCGCGGTCAGGCAGCAGATTAGCAAGCTACCGAGTGAGGTATATGTCTCTGCTCGAAGCAGAGGTTCACCAGCTAAGCATTATGGACTTGCACCAACCAACTTTGTCACCCACGTCAACGGCGAACCAACCCCGGATCTCAAGACCTTCTTGGAACACGTGATAAAGGTCCCGGATAATACTTGTAAGCACCTCCTCTCTTTATCTATCAAACGAAGTAGATTTTACTAACATTATATCAGATTTCCGATTGAAGGCTATGACATTTGATAACCAACCTTGGGTCATCACGATGAAGAAGAATGAGCACTACTTCCCGACTGTGGAGTGGATCAAGGACGGCTCAGAGCCGTGCGGCTGGCGACGTGTTACATACGAGAGCGGCAAGCCTGTCGAGGGCGAGCCAACAGAGGGAATCCTACCTCTGCAAGACGGGGAGGATGCCGAGGCTATTGACGACGACGGTGGTATTTAGGGTCTATTCTTGTGCGCAACTGTCTAAATTTGCGTGCCGGGTGACACAGCACTGGGAAGGGCGCACTTTATTATAGAGCTCTTGTAAATAGACTAATGAGGTAAATACTAACGGATAGGCCAAGTAGGGGGGCTTCTTGAATAGCTTTGCTACGAGACCTTTGTTTTATTGCATCTTAGTTCCTGCTGGTATGAGTGACCTATGTTGACCTGTCTGTTTCTTTAGTTGTCCACTCTTCTCTCCCCTTACATATAACATTTACTGCTATGCTCGGTGGATCCCATCTGGGATATTTCAGCTCAGACTCAAGCTAGACTTCATTGATTCTTGATCTAGATAAGAGAAAGGGGGCTAGTGAAAGGAATAGGAGCTGAACAGCAGGTGCAATCCAGCGAAGAGCAATTACGACAGGCACACCCCTATCTATTTACCCAAGGCAAGAACACCCATCCCAACAGCAAGCATATAATATTAAAGAAGAAAGCCAAAACCATATCTCATCCTAGACTTTCGAAACCGCCCCATCTCGAGGTCAAGTGGTACTGGTGACGCAACCCACTGGTACCGGTGGCGCAACCCACCCTACTTCCTCTCAAATCTGTACAGTCGCGGGGTTCGAGTCTGGGGTGAGCAGAGGCCTCTCCAAAAGTCCTTTTTGTTTTTTAAGGGGGTTTCGAGGGAATGGAATTGTCCCTAAGGTATTGGGAGATAGAAGTAATTGATTGCAGACAATTGTTTTTTTTAATTTTGACTCTGTTTGTACTGGTTTCAAATCTTAGATAGGCACCTACGCCACTTTCGCGTACACAACGGGAAGATGAGATCACGAACCCTATTGTCGTCTCTCATACCGCGACGGTGGTTCATAGCATATTTCACCTCATCTCATATTTATAAAAACAATTATCAAATACTCAAACTGAGATGTTCTGTATTACCATATTCCAGGGTCTTTCTATGATAGATACTATGCTGGTTATGCTTACATAAGCATACAAGTTATCGTGAATCTACGAAGAGTCTGGCGTGCGATTTACAAGCAACCAACCAGGTAATCCAGCCTCTTCGGAGGAATGAGGCGTCCTTCCATGCAATTGCCATTCATGGGACCGAAAGATATCAAGGCTTCGAAGCGACTCCCCGAGCCCCAGGCTATTCGCAACGCAGCCAATGTGCAAAACCCCGATTGTTCAACAACAGAGAACGTAAAAACAATCAACTCCCCGAACCCCAAACGGCTCGACCGAGCCGAACCCGTGCCAGCAAACTTCAAGGGCCCAACCCGCATTCTATGATGTATCGAAGGGTATCAATAGTATAATCAAATAACAAACAACCAACGGGACCCAGCCAATAGGGATTATAGGTCGGCGCAAAAGAAAAAGAAATCGATCATCGTAGCTCGTTCCATCATCGTACCATATAGCCTTGTCGATACGTCGCTCCTAACTTCCTTCCATCTATGGTAAGATTAGTGTTGAAGTAGTTTATAGGAGAGCGGCGAAGGCGGCGACGATGAGGAGTATCGCACCGCTAGCGGGAACGCGGATGCTGTCGGTGCCTGCGGCGACGATACCGTTATCAGGGGCTGTTGGCGAAGGCGACGATGACGAAGACGTAGCTGCGGGGGCGGCGGTTGTGGTCGGTGGTTCAGTGGCGGTGGACCCGTAATCCCCAGTAGCTGAAGCGCTTCCCACAATCTTAAGTGAAGTGGCGCTCTTGGTCGCGGAAGCATTTGTCGAAGATGGTGTGGATGTAGAAGTGGGGGTGGGCACTATAAGGGATCCAGGAAGGCTATAAGCGGCAGCGCACTGCTTAAGAGTCATGCTGTCGGGACAACACCAAGTATTGCCTTTATCATCGGCGCTACAAAAGTAGCCCTGATCACAAGAATCTATACGATAATTAGTCGGGTTCTATACATATTTAATTTATTCGCCATTTAAATCTTACCTCCGGTCTTACCGGGACAGCATGTCTGATTGCCGGCCTTATTGAAACAATGTACGATACCGTCCTTCGAAGGGCATTGCGCAAAGCCTTTGCCACAAGCTTCGTCACAGGTATCTCCAGAACCACAAAATTGCTGCTCGGGAGAATATCCGCCATCGTCGCGGCGGTCGAGACCGAAGATACTTTTGGCTGACATTTGTGCGAGTTTTAACTTATATGGTTGACGTACGGGTTCGGCAATAGCCTGGCCGGCAAGGGCCATGATGGCGATCGAGGAGACTGTTTGGAATAACATGGCGATCAGCTCTCTTATATCGAGGATTAAAATATGTAATATAGGTATGTATCGTAGGTTGTAAGTTAAATAAGGTGAAAAACGTAGGAGTTAAAGGTTGTTTCGTCGGGTGTCAAAGATAGACTATGGTAAGTATAAGATAAAGTGAGTGTAGGCTCGACGGAGCTATAACGAATGACACGTAGAACGAATGAATGTTTGATGGAAATGTGTCAAACAACCACACCCGCGTCCTCAGAATGAGTAATAGGATAACCGGCAAAGGGGAAGGGAAGGAAAGGAAAGAAAAAGACCCAAAAAGGAAGCGGTGGGTGAATTGGAAGCTTGCTAGAAAATATAAGGGGAAAGAGTATCGTTCGGCAGGTTATCCTCCTATATTATCGAGGCAACTGTCAGGGCGATCACCCCTCGTTATTTTAACGTGTATCACCAAATACTTAAATTCCCTTACCAACCCAAACCCTCATCCATGTCGAGCATCTTGATTTGACATGGTCAAGTAGGCGCAGGCTGGCAGGGCAGTCATTAGGCGCGGGCGCATGAAAGATCGAGACAGGGATAGTTCGGATGACCAGGCAGATCAAATTCGGAATGCCTGTTCTCTATCTGTCTATACTCCTTATCCAAGAAGTTGTGAGAACTTATCTTGATATTTGAGACATGCCGACCTTTTTTCTCGATTTTAGTAACACATTATCGTTCTTACGTGATTATAGGATAAGGAGCTTCTAAACAGCTGCCGCTCTCAGGTGGTCGGCTTGAAGCACACCCAAACCCCTAACGGCAACTAATAATAGTCAAGAGACACGGAGATCCAGTAGACGTCAGATGTTTGAAATAAATTGATGACCGCCAAGCTTTTCGCTGGCATAGCATTGTATAAATTTTAGCGAGTTTCTGGGCTTTTCTGGGCTTTGGGGAATGGGGGAGAGGAGAAAGAAGCGAAGAAATGGATAGAGAAACAAAAGAGGGGCATTAGACTCAAGCGAAAGTGTTAAGGAGATGCGCTAAAGCTAGGTACGTACCAGAATATACCGAATGTACCTTACCTAAAAGAGATAAATTGAGGATTACATAAGGAGATCGCCAGGGACAAGTCCTAATTGGAACCAAATTTTGAATGTGATTGGCTGGCTGCATCAATTATATACCCCTGTCTGCCCTGTCTCGGAGTTTCATCTCGGAACCATATTTAACCACTCAATTCCTCTTTCCAAAATTGAAGATTGATTTCTACCAAGATTTGTTTGTAACTTTAGATTAGCATGCTAAACTACAATTATGTAATTCACTAACGCCGCCTTCGATCTTGAACCGAAGTCATAACCATCCGTCTTGGTATCCGATCACAATATTCCGGGCAGTTTGTCGATCGACTCTTTACTTAAAGCGACAGATTGCCAGGTGGTTCTCATGCACGAAACACAATCGACCTCCTTTCAAAATCAGACTAGTGATCTGTGCAGCATGGCGGATCTTGAGAGGATCGTCTTACTATGATCTACATCTACATTATTGATGAGATGCATCGAAAAAAACCCACCATTTCCCAGATCATTAGACTCAAGGCACGCAATAATTGAAGTTAAAGTTAACACGTCGTGTAAAAATTGTGTTTGAAATACCCTCAGACTTGCTACCGTACTACTCGTGTTTGATATATCACCTGATGAGTAGCAATTGTTACATTATGTCGTAAAGACATTCTGTGACATCACACCCTACTGTCCGTGATCATACACATAATCATGTGCAAAGTCAAAGATAAAACCCCTCCGGTTTGGTCAGAACACCTTCAAACTGATGTGATCTTGAAGGATCCGGACTGCGCAAGTTGTCTCTAGATGAGCTTCAACTTTCCATCCAGGGTTGAAAAACCGAAAGTTGTCTTATTAATTGATGCAAACCATGCCTCGTAATTGTGTTGCTGTATTCTACATTTTGCTAAGTGATCTGACGAGATCAAGCCCCTCCGACTCTAGAATTGGCAAATATGTCCTAGCGCCAGGAAAAATACAACCGTATAGTACCTATCATTGATACTATGTAGACGGATCGCTCTGGTTTGTAGCTTAATAGCGTGGTAGTTGTTGAGACTAAGCGACTACCTAATATCTTGGTCAATTGGGACGAGCTCACGCCTTTAGAAGCAATCGATCCCGTTGTCTTCTGAGATCGATGATAGAGTTTGGATCGGTCCGAACTAACTTAAGGTTGAATGGCAATCCAACCGCCCTGAGGCCATCTCATTTTATAGTACTATTTGCTCACAGTGATTATTTCTCATTGGATAGGATCGATTAACTATGAGGAAACTAAGAATATCTAGAGCCATCCCAAGGTTGGCATCTCTCCCTTCCGGGTGTACAGTACTTGAGCTTGGATATGAACTATAGCATTTACATGATTAAACCACGCCTTGCGTGCTCTGATTGAAGCCTTTAGCTGTGCGTAGGACTTGAGTTATGTCTATATAGGCCAAGCCTATCCTAACCCGGGTTATTAGGGTTGTAGGACAAGCCAGAAACGCACTTATGGACACCTCGTCATCTAAAACTACTCATACTCATTTTCGATCATATAGTACAGCAATCACATAGACACTTATATCCTCTCACCCATCATGAGATTGTCTGGACTCATTCCTATCCTCGCTGCCTCTACTGCAGTGGCATCGGATCTTGCGAACCACGGCCCCACGGCCTCTTCGAGAAACATCGACGAGTCACTTCCGGCTAGCGACATAAATCAACCCTTAGAGCTCCGCGGTGCACAGGGAGAACCTCTTAGGCCAATCAAGAAGGGGACAGCCGTCGCAAAGGGACTATGCCTTTACAGCGTAGAGGAGCTCCAGACGGGGCCGGTTATCTTTTTTTCTCCTTACACCCTAGATCAGCTCATCGTCGCTAAAGAGAGACTCGAGAGGGAGGGTGATTGCCAAGTCTTTCATAGTGAGTCTCATCCCTCACCTTACATCCCGAGTTATCGGGGACTTCTCATTCACATCATCTACTAACATCGCCATTAGCCTCCAGCATAAACGCCCTCAGCACGCGCTCTGGCGGGATCCTCGAGGCCGACAGAAATGCGCCCAGATGCGTCAACGCCATTCTGCCAAGTCCAAGTCCAACCCCAGGAGACGCCGAGGTTTCGCCTGATAACTCTAACAAGTCGTCCGCCACGACACGGCACGTCTCGGTATTTTCCCTTGCCATAGCATTCACCGCCTTAATCGCCTTATAGGGAAATCGGGGACGTAAGGGGTATCGATCCGCAATTTAGGTATCGAACAGTCCCCGCCATATCGTCGACGGCTACACTCTGAGTTCTTTCCGAGGAGATCTATGAACATCGATCAATGTCATCAAGCTACCTACCATCAAACTACCACGTTACCTGTATGATAGTCAAGGATTATGTGTCGGTTAGGACAGTCGTAAAATAGTTAACCCGTTTGAAAAGGGTAACATTGCCTCTGCGAAGTTGCTTCGTGATATCAAGTGTGACATGATAATGTGGTACACGACCCTGCCTCGCTTGTTGCCTGGTGTTGGCGAAATCAAAAGTTACCATGATATGCCAACCCCCGTGTATGTCCGAGTGGCTCCAACCGCATACCCCTGAGGCAGGAAACAAGCCATCTATCGAAGAACGAGCTGCGCGGTAAGACCTGCTCGATACGGCAAGCTCGGTCGAGGTTCGAGTGGCGATACGTCGTTGCTGTATATTGGTATCCATAATACATAGGTATAATCCATCATCTATAATCTGCATGGACTCGACATCGGTATTAAGTGATTACATGCGCATTGGGTCCCAACATTTTGCTTATGCACGGTTGGCGACGAACGCTTGGGACGAGGCTAGCTGATGCGGTCAGCAAGGTAGTGGCAACAAACAATTCTTTAGCCTAGGGCTGAGATGGTCAGACGCGCATAGATGGGACCAATGCGTCTCTCCTGCAGCACGCGTCGCGTGGGGGAGAGATGGCGAGGAAAGCCCCAAAAGTCGTCAGCGAAGCACCCGTCGTTGCCGGTTTGCTGCCTAGAAATCTTGCTCGGATTCCAAGATTTTGTAATTTTTCTTTGTATTTCTTTGCCAGACCGAGCTATAGTACGTAAGTGTGCGATGATACACAGGCGAATGACTCCCATCAGGCGGTGTGGAACAAGGGAGGCCACGAGAACAATCGACTGCATCTCGGAGTTGCATCCTATGCGGGATTCAGTTGAGCCTAGGTATATTAGCAAAAGGGATGTGATAATTGATAATTGAGAAATCCAGATCTCCCCGAGAGTGTGGTCTCGTGGCCTCGCGGACGGAAACGCCGAGTTGGCCGGACCACACGCCGTCATAATCGCGAATGGGTTCGGCAGCTCGCGTTGGTCGAACCAACAGCGAGTGTCCGTCTCCACATCACTTCAATCTCCGGCCTTGTTTGAGGGCTTGTGGCTTTGTGGCGATATCGGATGATTAGCCCGTCTTTCGGCGGCCTGGGTTGGGGTCGTCCGAGAATTGGGTGATACACAGGTAGATGTGGAAATTTACATGTCAAGGTCGAAATTGCGAGATCGCATTGGAGATATTGAACGAGCATCGAATCAGTATCAATCCAGCCTTTGGCCGATCCCGAATCCCTCCGTCAATTACAGAGAAATATGTATAGGTAGGTAAGTTACCTAGTAATATTGAGCACTTAGCAGATAGATTTAGATGGGTTGGGTATGTTTCGGGGTCGGCTTAGTCTCGGGGATAGGTTGTTTCCCCAGGACAGGGATCAATCAATCCCGATCCATCCTTCCCATTCAATGTTAAATCTTAGAATTTTAATTCATCCTGCAAGTGCAAATTGGGTTACGTAATTACGTAAGCGGATATTTAGCTCGGTCCCAGGGCTATGGTTAGGTTACCATCGGTCGAGCGGGTATGATGTCACGCCAATCAGTAGCAAGCTTTTAAGATTTCTTATGTTACACGCATGTCGTTTGCTGACAATTATCAAATACCAGATGCCTAATGCATTAGAACCCCAAGTAAGGTAGGGAGGTAGGGGTGGAATATTCTCCTGCCGACTTCGATGCATTGCAGAGAAAGGCAAGTAATCCTACCTACATTAGACTAGGGGTTCACGCGTCGCCTGTACATCTACCACACCTCAGCTCGGCATCCATATCCAATAAGAAGGAAAAGGAATGGTTTTCTTCTATCTGCAGCTCTAAATGCTATGTAGGTAGGTATCTTCCGTTTAGGTACATGTAGTCCAAGCTCATCGCCGGGTCCCGCCCAACCGGTACCACATACACACAGCCTCTCCCAATGCGCATCCTGTCGTCCTATCAGAGTCCAGGCTTAACTTCTAGTCAAATCTAGCTTCTAGGTGGGCTTTCTCTAAGCTTCTTCCTAGCCTCAAACACCTAGGCCCTCCAGGGGTCGAAAAAGGTACCCGAGAAGGTTCCTTAAGCTTCCATTGGATCCGAGAAAACAAGTTGTTCTATAATGTGTATTTCAGCAGCAAATGTGGAATCCTTGATCGCCCATTTGCGTAGCTTGGTAAGCAGCATGTTCTGGATTGGTTGCATATGAGGGAGGTAGTGATGTAACGCGGGCGTATTATCCGCCATCCATAGCATAATGAGGCATGCTAAACAACTCTGGGAGAAAGTCCACAGGTACGGAGAGCGCCTATCTATCATCTCTATTGCGTTGTAAAGGTAAGTGACGCAGGAATCGATACACGTCTCGCACCTTTCTAAGAAAACTGTTGACTCGCTGTATGAATCGGGGCTGAGAACGGAAGTGCTCGCTGGGGATTGCTCTTCACATTGCCTGGAAACCATCTGAAGGAGAAATGGCCGATGAATAATGTGTCTCGCGGCGTAATATCGAATCCTAAGAACCCGCGCACGGTCGTTGGGGAGTGGTAAAGTTCCTTTTACAGGCCGTAAGTAATCCGGTATAGAAAAATACCATTCTTCTAACTGTCTGTTGAGTTCGGCACTGAGAGCTTGGAGTTTTTGCATATTCAAACTCTGCCAGGCCTGATTCGGACCTGTAGGCAAAACATGGATAGGGCTCGTTTGTGCTATTTCAGGGCCGTAGAGAGAATTATGTATACGATTCAAGAGTCGACGGATAGCATGTTCGGCGATAAAATATATGGTATTCTCGTTATCAGAAGGGTCTGTGCTATGTGGGAGTCGCATGCGGTCACCCAGGGGCTCGATTCCACTCCGGGGAACATCGAGCTCGGCGATTCGATCACTAGATAGCCGAAGTTAGTATATCCATAAGTTAAAGATCCATGTTAATTACCATACCATTCGACTGTGAAACACTGCCAAAAAGTTCTTAATTCAGCTTCTTCAAATTCTGCGCTAGCTATGTAACGTTGTCGGCTTCTGTAAATTAGCATAGACCCTCAATTGTATAGGGGTTCCGTTACCTCTCAAGAAGACCGAGAAACATTCGTGATGAAAACTGCGCCATCTTCCAACTATGAAGGGGTCTTCCCAGATGAGCAAAATATGATGCGGCAAGCAATAAGGCCTGGCAGAGATTTATACTCGGCCGGAACTCCCACACTAACTTATGTAAGATGATTCGGAGTGCCGGTTGAAAAAATTGAATCCCAAGTGCTTCATCGTTATCGTAGTCTCCCGCCGTGTTGGAGCAAATCGTGCCCAAAGCGTATACACAAAAACATATTGCAGTGCCAATCTCTTCCATACCTTTTTCTTGAATAAGTTCATCCTGCCATGCTTTAAACATGGCTGGCGTAAAAAGTGGGTGGTGGGGATGGACATTTCGAAAATAATTTTCACTTAACACATCTAGAGTATCAGCATCGATAGAAGGCCAAACTAGCGGACTATCGTATAGCTTCCCTAAGAGACCAGGAAGCGGTAGCTTTTCTTCAATTTCGAAGAAGTAATCTCTTGGATACTCCCCGATAAGATCACGCACCATAGGCAACGAAAGAAGCGTAATAGGTAGAGTAGCGTGGTTTTTCGGGATCAGAAACTGCGGCGAATCAAGCTGAGGGTCTATTGCGGCTGAAGTTGAAGGTAGGTATTCCGATGGCTGTTGGTACGTAGCAAAATAATCGGCCTGGCTCGTTGGATATGAAAGAGGGCTGGACCGTGTACTAAGATGGTTAATCTGCTGGCTCTGGTGTTCGAGTAGATTTTCTATTCGGGCAAGTCGATCGATCACAGCAGTCGGGCTTGAATCTTCAACTCTGCAACTAGTCAGCACACCAATGAAATCTCAAGCTTCAAAGGCCGAGAAAAAAAATTACCTATCGAACGGGAGCTCTTTGTAAACACAATCGGCATTTGAATCCCTGCACGTGGAGCATGGCTTTTTCCCGTCGCATCTTCGTTTTCGATGCCTGGTCTTTGGTTAGGTTGCGAATGGGTTCGTATTAGTTCGGAGATATAGTACCTGCAGAAGTCGCAAGCAAGAAGCGCGCCTGGTTCTCGGTAAGTTGATAGTCTAGGTATGTAATAAGTAAAAGGGAATGGGGAACTGTAGCCTTACGTTTCCTTGTGTAATTCATGTGGCAATCCCGAGGAACTGGTCGAGACGGATGACCCCCTGACTTAAACTGTTATCGTTCAAGGCAAGAGTAAGCATTAACTAAGGTAATAAGACTTGGTAGCCGGCGCGTAAGGGCGGATGGTTCCGTTGAAATACCCTGGGTCTCGGACAGGTCACACTCTTTTGTGGTGTAGAAGACCCAATAACCTGGAACGTAGTATACTAGGTAAGATCCAGGGATCTCGACGAGGGATGACGACTGAATATTGGGTAGCTATTGACACAATACTACTCGTCCAGTTCTTCATATTTAAGCGGCAGCAAGCTATCCTGACCGCCACACCCACAGGCGAATACCCGACCAATTGTGCTGATTGGCTTGTTCGCTGATCCTAACCAACAAGAGACTCTTGTAGATGTGAAGCATCCACGGATGGAGTATAAAGGTATTTCGGGCATAACCGCAGGCATTGAAGCCGTATTATAGTTTTCACGCAGAAATATACTCGACCAATCGTTTTGGGATATTGGGAAAGGGGACTTAGCCCCCCTTTATGGGGCAAATGGAACACTACCGCTGTGCCTACAACTTACGTTGCTCTTCCACATATGACTAATATCCGCGAGCGTTATAAGAGAAGAACCGAATATAAACCACTTACCAGGTAGGTGTGTTCCCTGTCTAGGTAAGTCAGTAATATTGATGATATCTAGGAATAGAATTGGTGTTGGTCTAGTACCGAGTATTGAAATAGAGTCAACAAGCTTACTCTAGCACTACGTCATAATTATGGTCGGTATGTGATTAGCTCCATGAAAGCTTGTTGTTTCCCCTGAAGCAAGACTATAAGGGCGCGGAGTTGAGTCACGGCCTACATGTAGGTTGTTGGAATCAAAGAACAAGAGGTGTGGTAACTCTGACACGAAGAGTAAAGAGTTGGTAGGTGGTAGGTGGGAGGTGGTAGGTACTAAATGAACGGCTGTTAAGCTAGCATGGTTCAACTGCGGGTAATAGTGGGGTACGGGTGAATCTAAATACGATCAAGAGACTCAGCTGCGGGATGCGTTCTCAAATAATACTTCAAAAGTTCTCCATCACTGCCGCTTATACACAGCCCTACAAACGAGACCTTACAACCTCCTCCAAATTCACAAGTCGCGAATATATCAAGTGATCTGCTAAACATGCATTTCCGTACAGATCGTCCGACCTGTTCAAGGGCATTAGCCAGGGTGTATACATAGACGGGCTAACTTCGGTATAGACTTCGGTGTCAGATACCTACCAGGTACTACCCTGTATGTAAATGAAATGTTCAATTTTCGACCATCGGCTCATAGGTACAATGCAAAAATGACAAATATCTTAGATAGAAAGGGATATGGAGATGCCCCCAATGGAAAACTCGTAATCATATCATGTGTGAACATGCAGATCGCATTTGATTACCTACTTCGTCTGATTAGTATCCTCTATAATGTTGGAAAGGCCAAGGGAGGCGTATTTAGGGCTGAACTAGAAAGCCTCGAAAGTTCCGGAAAGAGATTTTGAAGTTGATGTAGAATGCTGTGTCAGCTCTGAAATATTGTTCTATAAATGGATTACTAACTAAATATTTACATCCATGCTAGTGTTAACTAGGTACCTACATATAGCTAGAATGTAGGTAGGTAGGTACATATGCCCAGGTGATCAGTGGGGGTCTGGGTCTGCTCCTAGCTGTTACTTCTGTTCTATAAACGCCTCCAATTCCTGTGGGAAGGTGCAATCGCAACGCTAGGGTAGCCTAATAGCTAGTAACAGATCCCGAAAGCGAGCGCTAGTCACAAAAAACCAACCCTTCTACAACTTTCAATCCCTACCATCCACATTGTCCAACCAATTGCCCTGGACCCGGCATCATTCGGGATTCATGTCATTGTCGCCGCACACCGGGTTTTTAATGGTTCGGGTCCATCGGACGTCCATTCGAAGGATCTATGAATATCGGATGAACGTCGAGCCTGGCTTCCACTTCGAAAACCCGACGATGCCGGTCCACCTCCAATGAGGATCTTGACAGAACAACTCTAAAATCTAAACTAGTCATCAAGAAATGATGCATAGGCGATGACGTTGTGGCTAGCATTTTTGAATTGGATTACTCACTTTCGAATATTTGTAATGTTTATTTCTTTGTATAAGAGACATCTAGAGCCAGCTGCTGAAGTTAAGTCCCTTTGGTTTGTGATTGATCTGATCGACCAAATTTCCGTGAAGCATTACCTGAATTATCATCCCTAACATTGATAACTAAGCACGGTCCAAAATATCCCCTCGGAATATTTACTAACATTCCAGGTATACATACTTGTTGACTTCTCAGACAAGGGGGGGAACACTTCCGGGGAGCCTTGCAATATTTCATGGCCTAAGAGAAGAAAGGCCTTCTCTACCTAATTACAACACCGACATTTCTGAGAACTATGGCATTCGTTATTCTGGCAATATCGTGCGAAACTATATCTGGGAAACCTGACAGTCATGCCTAAGGATCGGCATGTTGGTTTTCGAATCCGTACTAGAAACGATGCCGGCTCTTGAACTCAGTTCTCACTGATTATCGGAGCCTGTGAGCAACTACCTATGTGCTCAGGCGGAACCCCTGAATTCAGGCAACAGGATGTCACTGCGGCTGGCACGTTGCAATGGCAAATTGCAATGATGGGGGAAGATATATCCGACTGACCCTAGTGGAAGTTCATGTGGATGTCGGAAAAGCCGCTCAGTATCAGGTCCACAAGGGTTGGGTATGGGTACGGGTATGGATGTGAATACGTCCGATTTCTAGAAAAAGGCTAGATGTGTGCTTGTGACTTCATTGGGTCAACCGGCGTGGGATTCTAGGAATGCATTACATCGTTAACCCCAGAAAAGACTGTGTCAGCCAACTATTAGTGGAATAAGGACCCATTAGCGTTGTATGATGCTATATAAGGCGATCTCAACATGCCTCTTAGAGAAACTCGGAACCTAAATGTCACGCCAACCAACGAGAAAATACGGGAGAAAGGATAGCTTTTGGGCTATACTATCAACTGTAATATCGGTTGTTATTTCACTTCACTTGAGGGAAAGCCGGCAGTGCCTCCTCCCTTCTACTACCGGGCATCTACTCGCACTGGTCTTACATCGACCCCCTGACCCAATCCAATAGTATGGTTTGCTTGCCATTACCAAGCGGGAAGTGGCAGCTCGTCTGCTTGACTTTGGTCAACTCTGGTACACCCCCCCAATCTCACCGCCACGCCGTGGATATAGCGAGTGACTTCTTGTAGTCTCAATGGCGCACTTTGGCTACGACCAGGTTCTACTACCACCCACCACCTTCCTCGCTTGACGATTAGCTCACACCCAATGCCAGGGAATCTTTGCCGGTGCCCTCATATCGACTGATTTCCTCGAGATATTCCCAGAGACCAAGGATCCAGGTATCTCGGGCATTACGTCCAGCTGTTTCTCTGTGGGTCATATTGTTCGACATTGCCAATCGCGGATGCTGACCGTTGCATAAGCTCGGTGCTTTCTTCGGCTGTCTTGCATCATTCTCACTTGGGGATAGACTGGGGCGGAAGCAATCTATCTACATTGGACTCGCTGTCAATGTCGTTGGCATTATCCTACAGATTACAGCTTACCATTTGCCTCATATGATTGTTGGCCGGCTCATTAACGGGTTTGGTAGTAGGTTCTTCCTTTCTTTGAGGCCCAGAACCCCTTGCCCTTCTCGATGTACTTGCTGAAGAGCCGAGGTACCCCTGAAGCCCTACAGGATTGGATACAACTCCAGATATCTAAAATGCATTACGTACTAATCTCTTACTCAAGTGGGTATTACGTCTTCGGTTTGCCCTGTATTCATGGCGGAGGTCTCTCCATCTCAGATTAGGGGAAAGCTTGTTGTGCTAGGCTCACTCTGCAACACGGTTGGATTTTGCTTAGCGAATTGGATGAGCTATGCCCTATTCGACACCAACGGACCATTTCAGTGGCGGTTTCCTTTAGCCTTCCAGCTGGTATTTTCGGTCATTGTACTGGTATTTCTATCATTCACTGTCGATTCACCACGATGGCTCTTGCTACGAGGACGTTTCGAAGAAGGTCGAGTGACACTCGCTAGACTACGAGGAACGATGCAGGATCTCGATGACCAAAACTTGAACGACGATATCAAATCGATCCAACAGGCACTCGAGCAGGAGAAAATAGCTCGTGTATCTCCGGTAGACGCTATACTCTGTAGAGATCCCCTGCACACCATTCGCCGGCTATTACTCAGGCAAGTTGCCCTATCATTAGTGGACCAACAACCGCGATGCTGACCCCCATGAAGCTGCGGGACTCAATTTATGCAACAATTCAGTGGCGTGAATGCATTAGGATATTACTTTCCTACAGTTTTGATCGAGTCGGTCGGGGTGTCTAGCTCGTATGCAAGGTTACTGGCCGCAGTGAATGCCAGCCTCTACTTGGGAGCGGCTTTTGTATGTCTGATCCTAATCGACATAGCGGGAAGACGCAAGTACGGCCGCGATTTTATATTCCCCACAAGTTCATTAGTGTAGATGTTCTTACACATCTGCAGGCTGATGATGTACGGCTCTATTGCGATGGGATCTTGTTACCTTGTTGCCGCAACCACACTGAGAGAAGCAAAGCTTCATCCGGAACAAAAGACAGCTTTTGGCAAAGTCACGGTTGCCATGTTCTTCCTTTACTATTTCTGCTACGGCACAAGCTTCGCTAAAGTCCCTTGGGTTTACAATTCCGAGATTAATAGCTTTGGTTGGCGTACTAGAGGAGCCGCTGCCGCTACTGCAACGAACTGGATGAGCGGATTTATCATAGTTCAGTTCACAAAGACTGGAGTAGACAACCTCAGATGGGGATTCTACCTTCGTAAGGGCTTTTATATTCATAGAACATGTATTCACAGACTAACATGACGTGCTACATAGTTTTTGCAGGATTCTGCTGGTCTTTTTTACCGGTTGTCTTCTTATTCTACCCCGAAACCTCACGCCGAACCCTCGAAGATATGGACGAAATGTTTAAACATCACAATAACCTATTAGTCTTCAGGGACAAGATCCTTACACAACAAAGCCGCCCACAAGCCTTCATCGATGCCGAGCAGGAGCGTATCGCCGAGCCATCTACACTTGTACAAGAGTCTTAGAGCATCTACGACATAGGATTCAATCGACATCTACACATGCCTACCGAGATATAGATAGAACAAGATGTTATCGAGACACTCCTATCTAGTGTCATTCCTCCTCTCCGTGATCTGCTTGTCGAAGTATTACGCCCAAGGCTATCGCTGCCTTATCACTACCTGTAGAGGATAGCCAGAGCCTCGTAGACAAGGAATAGTGTTCATGTTCGATGGAAGCTATGCTATAAACTAGCCGTATATCCACATTGCTAAGCTACGAGGAGGTTGGTGCTACAGAATATCATAACTATATGAGGCAGTACCGTGGCTTGAAGCATCTTTTTGCATACCAATCAGGCCCATCAACGTTTCTTTCAGCTCATGTCATGCATCACTTGGTAGCCACAACATTGTTTTATAGTGGATACAGAAGCAACCTAACCAAGAGCCATATAAAGAACACGAACATCGAGCTAGTAATCGAAGCTTAAGTAAATTTCCTTCCCGACTCAGAAAATACGGTGCATCAAGTATGCATCTCCGTGATTTATGTGGATGCCTTGGCAGGCGGTCTCATTCCTCATCTGTGGCCCCTTTGGCAACCTCGCAATACTCAACACTTTGTGATAGATGTAAGGCCTTGGAACTAGACGATGTCACAATTGGAGGGTTCGCTTCGTCTAGCGAAGACGGGCAAAAATACCTAAAGCTCGACGAGGACGACCGGTACAAGGACATAGAAATCGACTATTACCGACACGATATATACCCGGCCTTGCTCAACATAAGGAAGTCGGCCTCGGAGGGATGTGACTTCTGCGCGTTACTTCGAGATTCGATACTATCTCCCGAATTCAAGGCAGCTCTCGTCAAGGACGAAGTCGACATATCGGCCGCGTTTTATATTTCGATAAAATTGAATTATAGATGGCGAGCTGACAACTTGCCTGACAACTACGAGTGTAAGCGTGGTCTCGCATCGCTGGAAGCCAGACTCACGATAGAGTACGAAGAAAGTAACGACGCCCTACCTCTTGCTCTCGATATATGATGTCATATTCTAACAATTTAAACGCAGGGATTGACTGTTCCTACACGTTCCGATTCGCGATCGAGTCCACGCCCCTCCTACACAGCAATGGTAGAAACTCCGATTCTTCCCTTACAACCCAGGGGTTATGCGAGAAGTGGCTTCGTCTCAGACTTAACAGGACTGGGTACGTTCTTTCTAAAGAGAGGGTTGCGTGGTTGAAAGGCGAGGTCGACCGGTTCACGGAAGAATACAACCCCCCACCACAGCCGAGCTTCATACCCACGCGGTTAATCCAAGTCGATTGCGACGTCGCGCGACTCGTCCAAAAAGACGATATTTTGGAATCGCGGGTTGGGCCTGTCAGATACGCAGCGTTAAGCTACTGTTGGGGCAACAAAGAGGAGGCACTTAGCCAGTACAAGACCACCAAATCCACTCTCGTGGCGAGGCTGTCAGGTTTCGAGGCTCATAAAATGAGTGAAGTTCTTTGCGACGCCATTCAGACAGCACGGGCGCTCTCGTTGCCATATATTTGGGTAGACGCGCTCTGTATTATCCAAGACGACATCGAGGACTGGGAGCGAGAATCAATTCAGATGGGTCGCATATACGAGAATGCGCATGTCACGTTCTTTACATTGTCGTCTAATTCCTGCACCCAGGGCTTTCTAGAGCGACAGCCGCCGCGATTGAGAATTCCGTTTCGATCTAAGATCAACCCGCCAGTCGAAGGCGCATATGGCGTACGCCTGCAAAGAATCGATTCAAACTGGTCCGTCGGCACAGTCACTGTTGATTCGTATATAGAAAAGGATCTCGAGCTCAGTAACTGGGGGACGCGGGGATGGACATACCAGGAACAAGCTCTATCAAAAGCATGCATCTGGTTCGGCACCTCCCGGATTCATTTCTTGTGCCCCGAATGGTCATTCACAGAAGGGGATGCGACTCAATCTCGCGCATTACCGCACTTTCAACTTGACCACATCAACATCCCCGACCAGAATGCCGATTCACTCTGCTGGTCCTGGTACGCGAATATTGTAGAGCAGTTCACCGAAAGACTCTTTACGAACCCGACGGATTGTTTCCCAGCCCTATCCGGTCTCGCGCAGAATTTCCACAAAACGCTTGGTGGCGAGTACTTGGCGGGGATCTGGACAGCGGACTTGCATAAAGGCCTTTGGTTTTCTTGTGTGAAACATCCAACGTCTAGTTTCCCGGTATTGCTGGAGCAACTGATGCGCCCTGAAGTTTACGTCGCGCCGACGTGGAGCTGGGCCAGTCGCCAGGGCGTAACCTACCATTCGCGAAATCCCATCCACAGAATCGACTTATATCTTCATTTTTATATGAAGAATATCCGAAAAGCGTACCGAAAAATCGAGAGCGATATGAAATTGATGGGGTTTGACCAATTCGGCAGGCTTAAGAGTGGCTCTTTGAGGGTCACTAGTCGGACATATGATCTTCAGATATCTCCGAATAGGGTTCGCAAACCTCAGTATTTCGAAGATGGTGAACTTGTCGTAGATAGTGAAAACCGCACTATTGTTCGTTGCGAATGCGATTGGGCTGGAAGTTTGACTGACGTTGGAAACCATGTGGTCCTTTTGTTGCTTGGCCATACCCCGGACGACCTGCTCTTGCCTAGTACTGAAGCTAGCGAGCCAGGCGACGACGACGAAATTCCTGAGAATAGGTTAGCATATGGGCTCCTGATATATAATGCTCCGAAGTCGGAGAATTTCTATAGGATTGGTATTTTTTTGTCCAGGTCAAAGGATGGATATGGTACGGCGTTATTTAGGGGTTGCGAAGAAAGAGAAATAGTGTTGATATGAGTTCGAGGATCATGGGCGTCCTTATTCCAAACGGCAAATTGATGATATCTCCATAAAATACATCCCAACTATTCATAAAAATCCCCGATATCTCAGACACATGAAACGTGGCCCTTTATTTCATATTTACTAATCAAAAAGTAGCCAGGTCGATTCTTGGATGATTTGTGATAGTTCGGTACGTGGTAAACATCGGCCCAACTTTCTCGACGTTCTAACTGTTGCGGAGGGTCGTCTAGGAGGTGTCTATTCCAGCAGTCCCTGATGAACTGTGACCGCGCCCAGTTTTGCCATACATATTAGTACATACAGTAGTTCGCAAACGGACAAACCGTGACTTTCCCCAATTTGAAACCGTCTTTCCGAACGCCAACAATCCTTGGTGGATTGTGAATGCATCTTTTCTTACACTGTATTCCATATACAAGTCATCGCGATTAGATTACACCGAAGTCGTCTGCCTTGCCGGACACGAGGAGGCCAATGATCAAGCCGAAGAGACCTAGGACGGAACTAAAGATTTCGATAACGAGGATCTTGACGAAGCTAATGGCTATTGTTAGCGTAGCACGTAGCTAGGGAGGGTGGGTTTGAATATACAGAGAAGGATCCGCGGCATCAGCCAGAGCAGCCCCACTGCCGTTTATGCCGACGGCAATACCACAAACTAGGTTACATCCTCCAACAGTCACGCCCGCCCAGAACAAAGCAAATCCGGTGTAGTAGGCATTTGCATCGAACGTTTCGTAGGCGCTAGCGTAGGTAACATGGGAGGAAAATACGATGGCCATGATAACACCGTAGATAGCGACAACTTCGCAGAAGATAATGGAGATTAAGTTTTTCGTTCGAATTCGTGGCGCCTTTACACCACCTCCGAGGATAGACGAGCCTGTGATGAAGATACCCCTGGACAATGTTAATCGCGTCAAATTTGGTGAGACGGAATCAAGTAGTCGTACCATGCTGCGCCAACAACTGATAACCCAATGCAAAGTGCAATTCCGAGGTCTGCCCATACATACGGCGATACGGATTCGAGGAAAGCTCCGACCTAGATGTTCATTAGAATTATGATCGAATGAGCTGTTATGGTTATATCGTCGAGACTAACATTGAAGGATTCACCACTCCCGGTGAAGAGCATATCTGTATAGGTACGGTTAGCCATGGACCTAGGGTGTCCTCTTTGAACCACTCAACATACAAAGACCGACAACAGTTGTAAATGAGGTTAACCCTCCAGCGCTATAAGTTAAGGCGCCCATCTCGGAAAGCTTCAAGGGTATTAGGTCTTTCTCGATGATCGAAGTATGTTTGACAGTTTCTGGCGGGATATGAGTGCATCAAAAAAAGCTCGACAGAGCTTAAAATATGAAAAGTCGCGATTGACAATTGACGTTTACAGTTTACTACTAGGCTTCTCCTTCTGTAAGCTTGGAGAGCTTGGGGTTACACTTGGAACCCGTGCACCCGCGTAACATCAAGTCCAACTCGGTCCGACATAATTCCGAAATTCAAAACTCTGTTTATACGATTAGACCCGTTATATGCAATTAATACAGTAATTCAATTAGTAAAACATTACATAATTGTCACCCCACCAACTTGAAAGTGGATGAGTCAATTGAATGGAGGGGCATTTCGTAACTCCCAACTTCAAAAAATTCATTGAGCCCCTCTTCGCTTGACACCCAGATCTAGGCATTTTGTCTGCGACACTCCCTGAGTCGCAGTTAGATTCAAGCCATCAAGCTGTTACTATCTCGCATTCTCCGCCCTCTTTCACGAGGTATCCCTTTCCGAACATTCACCATGGCTGCCCTGGAATCCCAGAAGCTCTCTTCCACCGAAGAGACTGAAGTCCAGCAATGGATCACCACGTCCGAGCGACTCAAGAGCTCCCCATCCGACACCTCCATCCTAGACAAACTTAACTCTCACCTGACCTCCCGAACCACTCTCCTTGGCACCAAACCCTCCAAGGCCGACGTCGCCATCTACGAATCCTTGGCTCCTACCGTCAAGTCGTGGACACCCGAGCAGCGCACCGGCGAGCACGGCCATCCTCATATCTTGCGACACCTAGATTTCGTTCAGAACTCCGGCGTCTTTGGTTTGAGTGTCAGCGATGCAGACAAGGTCAAAGTCGACCCCGAAGAGATCCTCTACGTCAAGCCGCCCACCGATGCCAAGGCGGAGAAGGAGCGACTAAAGAAGGAGAAGGCTGCCGCTGCCGCCGCCGCTGCTGGCGGAGTTACCACCACACTCGTCGACCGAACGAGGGCCGCGGCCGAGACGGTCAAGGATGTAGCAGTTGAAGCAAAGGACAAGGCTGCAGCAGCTGTTGGTGCCCCCGCCGCCGACAAGCCCAAGAAGGAGAAGAAAGAGAAGGCTCCTAAACCCCAGAAGGCCCCTGCCGCTCCTAAGACGCTGTCGCCCAATCAAATTGAGATAAGAGTAGGCCATATCCTGAAGGCCATCAAGCATCCGGAAGCCGATAGCTTGTTCGTTTCAACAATTGCCATTGGCGACCCGGCTGGCTACGAGGATACCACCGAGTACGAGGGCCAGGTTTGCCGAACCATTTGCTCTGGCTTGAATGGCGTGGTGCCTTTGGAAGAGATGCAGAACCGCAGGGTCGTCATCGTTGCCAACCTGAAGCCTGTCAAGATGCGGGGAATTAAGTCGTCTGGTATGGTTTTGTGCGCGTCGCCTAGGTTAAAGGAGGGTGAAGTAGACGATCACAAGGGACCGTTCGAACTCCTCGCCCCGCCTCCCGATGCTAAGGTTGGCGAGCGCTTGACCTTCCAGGGTTTCGACGGCGAGCCCGAGGGCATTCTCAACCCTAAGAAAAAGATTTGGGAGACATTATCTCCGGGCTTTAGCACAACTGAGAACTTGGAAGTCGTGTTTGATGGCCGTGTAGTCAAGGAGGCGGGTAAGGAGGAAGTAGGAAAACTTGTTTCGGCCAGCGGAGGCGCATGCACAGTTCAGAGCTTGAAGGATGCCCCAGTACGATAATCAGGTAATCACACAAGATTCGGCGAATTGGCCAATCAACCACGAGATGAAATTAAGCTAGATTCAGAGTCACTAACTACAATTTCTTCTCCATCAATTGTCTAAACTACTGCCCACTGCGTCAATTTTCTAGTTGTCGGGCGTGTTCCATGGTGCCGTCTCAATCGTCCCGGACGTAATAGTAGGAGTGCCTGCGCATCCAGTGGTGTAGGTGATCCATTGGGTGGGGATAGGGCACTCGGCGCAGGTCGGGCAGGCTCCGGTTGATACATACGACGTCGAAGTTGTCGGGCAACAGTCGGTGGCACACGGGACTGTCACGCTAGAAACCTTGATGATCTCCGGGCAGATGCGGTCCGTCGGCTGGGCTGCGCATGAGAGAGTTGGGCAAGTAGCTATATTCGCGTTAGCAATCCAACTCTAAATCTCCGGTGCGTCTACACTAAAGGCTAAGAGTGGGTACTTACAAGACGGGGCCGTGCGGGTGTAGGTGTAGCATTCGTGGGTCTTCACCCAGGCCGTGGTGTGCTCGAAGTCATCCATCGTCGTGTAGCAGTGTCCCGGGATCGTAGTCGGGGTGGGTGCCGGTGAGATCGGTCCTCCTTGTGGCATGGCTGCGGCTACATTGCTATGGCATCATGTTAGTCCGGTGTGCTCCGACCACGTGGGTAGGACATTGGCCTACCAAAGAGCTAGCAGCGCGGTGGCCGTAGATATGAAGATGCGAGATGAGAACATCGTGACAGAATATTGCTTGCTAACTAGATCTAGTACCGAGTAGATTGAGCTGCTGATGAGATAATTCAATCGAGGTTTGACGTGATTGCTATCGAGAAAGAGAGGACATCTAGCTCCTATTATATATAATAAGATCGACGTCACCTTTTTTTCATCCAATGTTGGTCACCCCGTTGTCCCTGCCCTCTCTCCACTGCCAAGCCGTAATATTAAGAAAGCACGAGGCAGGCCAAGGGGGGCTTGGGGCTGACATTGACCGGAAGATCGCTCTTGCTCAAATGAGAATTAAGATTGAAGGACTACAGGTACATGTACATCTTATTCGGCCTCAACGTCGGGTCGTACAGAGAATCCTCTCACTCTCAATTGACATCCAGAGTTCCCGTACCGTGCAAGAGTAACGATATTGGGCATGTCAGCGGACCAGCCAGCCAGTGCCGGGAACCACGCGACGAGAAGCACGATCCTGACAGGTCGGATAGATCGGACTATTGGGTAGGAAAAAGAAAAAAAGGGCTGGAAAAAGGAAAATGAACCCCCCCTTATCCGAACCGATGAAAATTCTGCGATGGCTTCGGCCGGGTTCACGTTATGTAAAGTGCGTAAGTTAGCCTAACCTCGCCTAACTTTCAGCCCTACCGACATTCATATCTCGTAATGTGCTGAAGGATCTCACCACATCTGACCGATGGATGAGATGATCTCAGCCTAGTCCGTCGACGAGCGAATCGAGGACGGAGGAGGCTTGCAGCTCCCCGCAGCTCCTCCCTCCCGTCTAATTAGGAACTCAAGAGCGGTCACGTAACCGAGAGGCGTATTCCTCTTTTTTTTCTTCTTGGTCTTGGTCCTTTCGAATATCCGCTCGTACTGAAAGCCACTTACGTCGAATTTCGCAAACGATGAATTCTAGTCTAGATACATGCCAACATACATACATACCTACATACGCTGTACATACGACGTATTCACGACCATCAATAAATCCTCCCCGCAAAACAAATAATACGACAACGCTAAAAATAAAAACCCCAACCCCAGATATACATACAGTACACACGCACCAACACGAGGTTCCTACCGGCATTCTGGAACATCGACCGCGCGCATTCTCATAGGCCGGGGCCAAGTTCCCGCTTACCTCCAGCTACCGAAACGGCAAATAGCCTCAACGACGCTCTTCAGGCGGCGAGGTTACATTGCATCTTCCCCCTTTCCCCAGCCAATAATGCAGATGGGAGTCAGCTGACCTAATTTCGCTCCGTCGCGATTCCTATTGTTCAGGACATACGGACGTAGATATATTATTATTGCTTACCTTCGTTCGTATATGTGATGCGATGCGTCCTAGGTTTTACAAGCTGCGAATTTTCGTCCTCTAATGAGCGATTATGTTAGTCATGATATTGTTCGGAGTATCCCTAGGATCGTGAGATAAATGCTTTAGTCGTCCCGCTCAAGGACCAAACAGACAGGTGTGGTTCGATCCCAACATTTTTAAAAAGTCTTTATATTGTTCTTTTGAATTTATACATCATTGGAGTGGATGGTCCTTGTTTATCCCCATCCGCCCTGGTTCCTACCCTGATCTTCCCCTCTACATATGTAGGTCATTTCTTGAGTAGTACTATACAGATTTATACATATGCCATGCATTCCGTACAATCGAATGCCTCTATATTTTTTCCACCCCCTCCCCCGCAAAACGCCATCCCGGCATTTTCTACCCCCAAGACGCCTCATGATGCATTCGCTAATAATGAAGTAAACATGCCGTGAAACCTATTAACACTTGACGTCTCTGTAAGCGATTAAGCTTGCCGAGAGACCTTACGAGAAGAAATATTGGCTTTCTTTTAATCTCTCGACATTATAGTCGCCCTAGACATGTTAGTTAGCATGTTATATTTTAATTATATGAATGATTAAAACACTAACCTTCTTGGGAACCTCGGGGAAAGTAAGAGGAAGCCATATATTGAATCCTTTAGCATTTTCCTTCGACCTGGCCCTTGATTTCTCGGAGGCTTTCTTAGCCTCGCCTGAGAGCTCTGCTTCGAAGCTGGTTAACTCAATCATAGTTTTATAGTGCTCCAAGTCTGTTTCGCCTATATGTTCACGGCTTGTTTTAATCTTGCCAGAACTTTGGGCTGTGAAAATTCCATCACCATCATCTTCAGGCTCTTCAAGAAATTCTCCTTCAAGAGCAGGTGTGGTCGCGTCTTCTTTAGGAATGTTGCCTAACCCCACCGCGTCCATATCTTCGGCGCTTGATAGAGGCTGGGAAACAGACATCTCTTCGAAAATGCTACCGGGTGTCACCATTTCCCTCCCTTCTTTAACTTTCTCCGGGTCTGTAGAGTTCAATAGTTGAGTTCTCTGATATTCCTCCAGAAGTTCAGCTTTCATTGTTAGCTTTCTACCTTTACGAAGCGAAGCGATTCTGGCTTCGGCGGGGTGGCCCTTGTCTAGCTTAGCTAAATAAAGAGCACCTTTATGCCGAGCCTCAAACTCGGACGCAAGGCGCCCAATAACATCTTCGCTGTGTATCCTGACGAAGCAATCGCGTAGGACGCGGTTCATAACTTCGATGTCAGACGCGTGCGTCCAAAAAGAATCGTGCACGGCGGCGAATGAGAGGCCTAGCTCATCACACTCTAGCGCGGAAAGCAGCATATGACTGGCATCTAAAGAGTGGATGAAATTGGGAGGGAAGGCCTGTAATTGCTTTCGCCGATTGACTGGATCAGATCGTTCAGGTATTTGCAAGGTAAGATCCTGAATAGAAGTGGGGATGATACGAGTCCCAGACTTGCGATATGGCTGGACAATAGGCATCCGGAGAGGCGTCGTCCAGATAACTGTCGATCTGAACTGGCTTAAGAGCTCATCAGATGCCGACTTTCGTTTCCTGGCTGCGGCGGATTCGGGTTGAGATTTCGAGGCCCTCTTTTTGATAGGCGCCCCTTCTCCATTGGCAATTCGTTCTATCTGTTCCGGTGCGATTGCGCGGCATACTCTTCCAGCGCATTCACCAAACCAATACTGGATATCGTGAGCTCCGCGGAACATAGTAGAGAGAGCCTTGAATATCTTGGTGGCGATGTAAGAAGCGAGAATCGGCGTTGGTACCTCTGTTTCTTTGAATATGTTAGGGTAAAGCGCGTCAATCTGTTTCAGTACTTGTTCCTTTGCTCCAGAAAATGTGACACCGTAGACGTTCGTCATCACGGTCTGCTTCACGACTTTTCTTGTTATCTTGCCGTCGATAGCCTTTGCGAGGAAATTGTCCTCTTTCAAATCTTCTGTAATGCTTTCCTTCACTAGCTCTGCCACCGCAGAATACACATCTGCAGGACGATCTCCAGGTTCCAGGTTCACCTGCTGGGCACCCCACATATCACCACCGAGGGCGGCATAGTGTTGTAACCCATTACACGTGCCGTCCTGGTGAACAGGGAGGTGGGAGACGTATCGGAAGGGGTCGGGGGATTGCAAGGCTGCCTTTAGCTCGAAGCAGGCCGCCAGGCATTGCCATGAATCCTCAGCCTGAAGCCACCACTGCTTTCCTGTGAGGGGGTTGGTAGCGGAGTCGTAGATATCTTCAAGGTGATCCATTACGAATGATTCACGTTCCTTCAAGCTCGCCTTGTCATATCCAAACACGTTTGCCAAATGGATTTTTAGCCATCGCAGCCCATGCTCGCCGAGTGCCTTCCCCTTCGCAAAGCGAAGTAGTCCACGGGTATGATCTGCGCCCATGTGATTTAGGTAAGTCGGAATTGGATACGCACGTCCTCGAAAGTCCATGTTGTGCGGGAAATAGAAGGTCTGATCTTTAAAGGACCTAGCAATCTCAAGTTGAAGATTCATGAAACACCGCTCAGAATGGAGACCTGATTTCATGTTCTCCACAGCCTTCACGGCATTCAACCACGTTCTTCTCTGTAATGGATCATCAGATGCCTCTGGCTCCTCGGGTATAGGGATTTGGGGGTTTAGTGGGGGGATATTCGCTATTTTCTCGCCACTGTTCCACGCTTCGAGCATGACGTCGAAAACAGGTTTGTTGATCCTCCATCCTGTTTTACCAAGAACATCGAGACCTTTGCTAACTTGCTCCATATCACCTCTCTGCATAGCTGCTTCGGTGTAGATCTTTTGGTCCCTCTCACCATGTTTAACCCGTACGAGTTGAGTAGGATATTCAAGAAAGCCGCCCTTATCGAACTTACTCCAGGGCTCCGGTTCGACAAGCATCGGCAAGTGCCTCGCAAGGAAATCAGCTGGGGGCTCTCGCTTTAAAATCTCGACAAGAAATTTGTTGGGCATAACTAGGCCGACCTTCTTTCCCCTGCGGTGTACCATAGTGTGAGCTATAGCAGGCTGTCTCTGCCTGATGAGTGCTTTTGTTTGGGGGTGTTCCTGAACAACATCCATTTTTGCAGTTTCCATCAGGGCAGAGAGCAAAGCAGCGCCAACTTTTGTTCTGATCAACAGAGGCCACGACGCAACGTCGTAGGTGAGGCTCTCCACCACATTAGACTCCGCGTTAGCATCGGCGGATGGCTGAATCGTCGCCGAGCTTATTGGGTTATCCTGTTCTTGATCACTCATTGGCATTTCTTTTTCTTCTTTTTCCTTGTCGACGTTCGGCTTAAATTGGCGTTTTTTGGTCGGTCTTCGCAGAGCCATTTGCTGTTGTCGTTTTAGAAACTTGATATCGTCTTCTACAGTCTTGGCGATTTGGATGAGTAAGGTGGATAATTGGATTCCTCTGTCGATACCGGCTGATGACAATGCATTCAAGACGCTTATAATCGTGACTGCGGCCAGCCTTGATGGAGAGGACTGCTTCATGAAGGGCGCGTACAAGCAACGGTCAAAATCCGCCTGAACCTTCTTTTCGCGTTTTTCCGATTCTTCAAATAGGGCAAATTCGTTTTCTAACTTGGTTTCCAAGGCACATTGCCAGTCGTATAGTTGCGAGTTTAGAGCACTTGTCGACATAGACGTGTTCAAACCCATTTTCTTAAGGGCGTCGTTTTCTTCCCTCCATCGGGAGATGGCGGCATCAACGCAGTCCTTTTCCAATTGCGCCTGGATTTCCCTACGCTCGGCTAGAGGAAGCTGTGAGATATCCTTACTCTTTATCGTAGTGAAAAAGGATAAGACACCACGTAGTGACTTAAGACCCATGCCTTTTTGCGGTACAGCCAGGACTTCGGGTGTGTCGCTAGATGTCGGCTTCGCTTCAGATAGATCTATCGATTGCGTTGCGCTGGCCTCTGCAGGTGATGGTTGCAACTCTTCCGCCTCTGGTACCATGTTCCATTCTTCTAAAAGATCGGAGGCTGGCTGATAAATGCTGGTGATAGTGCCAAAATCCTGCTGCGTGAGGATGTCCACTTCGGATAGAACCTGGAATATGGCATCACCGGGCATCATATCCATATACCGCGTCACAAGTCGGCTTAACCTCCCTTCTCTAGCAGATAGAAGAGAGACCTTCAGCATGCAAGCGATAGTTTCGGGTGTCTGAGGGAGCTCCTCAGCCCTGATGTGTACTTCGTACCACTTATGAAGAGATTTCGCCCATTCGGAGTCTGGCTTATCAAAGGCTCTGGCGATGGCTGCACGAAGGTATTGGTTATGAAGCGTAATCAGCTCACTACCTGGTAAAGCACCGGTTTCTTTTAATCTGGTAAGAACAAGAGCTGCTCTGTCCAACTTGCCTACTTGCAAACATGCGTCAAACACTGATACCATCTCATCCGCACCACCAGGGATTCCGCTGTTATTCGTCCTTGAGCGCGGAAATGGGATGTCATTCGACTTAATGAGCAATGGCAAAGAAGGGTCGAACGGTCGTATTTCGTATAATGGTGTGGACATTGGTGGTTGTAGGAAATTGTTGGGAAGTTGCTGTTGTATATGTTTGTAAGAGAGATCATCTTGTCGTAAAGGGTCACCGATAGCTGTCGCTAAAGACCGCTGAAAAACCGAACCGTGGACATCTTGCGAACGTAAAATTTTCCTCCTCCTTGGTGGCAGTTCAACTGGGGCAGTTAAGAGTCTGTGATCTGACGTGTGAAAAGAATGTAGACATGGGGTTCTAGCAACTGGTTGAGGCCGTCTTATTGAGTTTAGTCGAGAGAGCGAGAGGCCCCGACGAGCCGGAGGTTGTCGCATAAACATCGTGGTGGTGACTTGGGATGTTTTGGAGGGGTGAAAAAAGAAAGGAAAAAAAGGAAATTTTGGTCTCAACAGGCTTTGGGAGCTGCCGAGGACTTTGCTGTACTATTGTAACATGAAGCCGAGAGATTGCGCTGACAATGCTAAAAGCACAAAACCACCAGCTTATTTCATGGGGGAAGACTTTTGGCCAAAGTCGAAGTCGGGAATAAATTAGATTTTTTTTCGTAGATATTCGATATCGACAAGCTTTAGTGAGGGTCGAGGTCCAAATTTTTTGGCCTTCAAAAAAAAAAGGTTTTTCTAGATTAGATAATAGTTAAACCCCCCCAATCTCCAAGGTTTTGATTGGTCTTATATCTGAAATATCCCCACTCTTTCAACCCGCTCTGCCGTCTCGGTTGAAGCTAAGCTTAAAGTATACTAGATAGCTTACGGATTTATCGATTATCCCGTACCTAGGTAGTGGGATATTATGTAAACCACCTAGTAAGACCCACTGGGCAGTCTTCAATAATTTCGCATATAACAGAAATGTGACCTCATCGATGAGTGAAAAGATTTATATGATTTATGTGACGAGATGGCATCTCGACGTGCTATGAATATAACCTCAACAGGTTGTTCTCATTGCCGTTTAGCTGCACTAAAGCTTTTCGCCAACCCCGCGAATGCGAATGCATTGTCCAGCGTGCGAGCCGGTCTTCTCAAACCCCGGCCACGATTGATTCCTGCACCATCAATTCGATTATTCTCATCTCGGCCGACCCATGATGAGCCCTTCAATAGTACAGAATCGGCCGAAGAAGGCTTAGAAGGCTTAGAAGATGGCAAAGATTTGGAAGATGGCCAAGATGCCGCGAAAGGCTCGGATTTAACTAATATCCCTTGGTATCTTCAGGTTGACCCTCCAAGGCACGTGGCTTCCATTGAGCCACAGCCACTTCCTGAGATCCCCACCGGTTCTCCGAAGGTTGTTGGTTCATTGCTCGAGTACGTATCTGAGGATTTAGGTCTCGATGAACTCTCGCTCTTGGATCTTAGAGAGCTCTACCCCCCACCGGCATTAGGTCCGAATCTTTTTATGTTGTTCGGCACAGCACGGAGCGAGCGCCATCTTAATGTCTCCGCCGGACGCTTGCTGCGATGGCTAAGATCCAAACATCGAATCTATGCTCAAGCTGATGGCCTACTCGGGCCAAATGAGCGTAAGACTAAATTGCGCCGGAAAGCTAAGCGGGCAAAGCTCTTAGGAGGACCTGAAGATTCCGATGACGGCATCAGGACCGGCTGGATATGTGTCAATCTCGGCACTATCGGCCGTAGTAATGATGAGTCTACCGTAGTTACAGATGATGGACGCGTGGCCGGTTTTGGCGTTTCTCACTCTGGGCACACAATTATCGTTCAAATAATGACCGAGTCTCGAAGAACCGAAATGGGCCTCGAAACGTTGTGGGGGAGAGCTCTGAGTAGGTCGGTTGACAAATCGGTTGATAAATCGGTTGATGATTCCTCCAAGTCAGAGATGGGGAATGCGAACAACCTACATCCTTTAGAGCAGGCCATCCTATCTAGCACACGCCCGCGTGCAGCAACCAGAGATAGGAATTTCAACGACACTTCTAGGAGAACGCCATTCGAACAAAAGCGGGCTTATTCGACACAGCAAGCGATTGCCCATGATGCACCTCAGGTTGACCCTCTATTTACCATCGATTCAGAGCAGACTCTTGAGCAGATTCTGAAGGGTGACGCTCGCCAAAAATATCGCATTCTCGATTTACTACGACTCCGGCTTGGCAAGATGTCTTCCATAGACAAGAGAAAGGCCCTCGGAATCGCACCAAATGGCGTAACCCCCTTCGTCCGATTATCCAAGTTCGCATGCAAATCCCTACCCCCACACCAAACTTGGGAGTTTCGTCTCGCTATCAGGGCTATAGCATGCAGGTCTACCGCTGGTAACAATGTCATGCCCCGTCAGGACATACAGAATCTTATCAATGAGTTGAATTTATACGGCATTGAGGCCACGCGAAAGCAGTACCTTCAGCTTTTGACATGCGCATACAGCACAGCTGGAGGTCTTGAGAGACAATATACACTCGCTAAACAACTTCTACGGACAATGCAGCAACGCGGAGAGCCAGTCATTGCTAATGATATCATTGTCACCATCATCGAGGCAGTATGTCGATATTCTGACTCGGGTCAATGGAAGGATTATTACACCTTTATTCGGCGGTTAGAAGATACCTGGCCTCAATTAAATTTGCCTTGTATGGACGAACCGTTGCTCATGAGACTCATGAGCGCACATCACCGAATCCAGGACTGGATAGGGATTTGGGATGCCTGGCGTATGCGTCCCAAGTACTTGCTTCCGCGGTCAGCAGCTATGTATATACACATATACCGGCTGGCGATGGCTTCGGGCAGGCGGATAATCTGCCTTTCGACGGTGAAGAGGACCTTTCAAGGGCTTCTTGCGGAATATCCGGCCGTGCTACCGAATCCCGCTGTCACGAAAGCTCTTTTGGATTGTATTAAGATCGCAGATCCCCATGCTGAAGAAATCACCATGCGCACGACAGACTCCGGGGACGAGTACAGGGGCGAGTTCGTCAGAATAATTAGGGTCCTCAGACTCATGGACAGCTAAATCAATCGGCCATATATTACCTTCAACAATCATCTGTAAAATTCTGTAAAATTAAATGAACAGGCTTTCTGAACCTCTCGGTCCCCTCAAATTTAGCACGAGGCGATAGAGCTACCTAGCTTGCACTCTTCTCCAGTTCGATCTGTTCTCGTGAACATAGAGACCTTCCCCTTCGGGTAATAGCCCGTCTTTGTTATATATCCATCTTTATGTATTTGAACATGTGGGTAAATAGGTGCATCAAATTAGACCAAAGAAAATATTGATTTAGGTCTGCCAATTCTGGTTATCTGCTAAATAAGTCAGATAATATATAAACGCGATTACACGGCACATCTATCAACAATGCCAAGATCTGACTACCGAGGCGTTCTGGAATCGTACCTATCTTGTAAAAATCAACAACGATTTATCCCCAAGATCATCAGGGCGGATTTGCCCGATTTGCATTTACACCGAAGTCCAATCAAGGCAGGTAGTCAGCAGCCGACCTAAACTGAAGAGGCAAGCTCTTCCACTCGAACCAACCACCATCCCGAATTCAATTTCCAGCGTAAGTCTCATCTCGAGCAGAGCTTGCTTCCGACCAACGTGCTACGCTTGATTGGACAAGCCCCAAGATAAGGTATGCAGCGACCGCCCGACTTCACCCCGGCCATAATCCCGGCCGCTAGTATTCGAATGCTACCCTGAATCTCTCCAAGGCGCAGCTGAGCGGTGATCGAAAAAGCACCTTCTATAAACTCACATGTTCAACGCTATCTAGATTCGCTTTCCGGTGCCAAACCCACGCTTTACCCCCGGTGTTTTGCGTGGATTAGGGGTTCGGAGCGTGCCTAGGTACAGAGCCAGCAGACTTGTTCAAAGGGACTTCAACGAATCAGAGTGTCGGATTACCGAACATCTCTACGTCCCTGTTCCTGCTTATCCTGGTTGCGTAGGTGTATAAGTGGGTGAAGCTTTATGGGCAGATATATAAAGTGTGTCCGCCTCAATTCTTGGCGTACCGAAAGATTTACCCTCTTGTTGTCACCACTTCCCTCTGTTCTGGCGTCAAGTGACTATCAACCAAGGCCAATAAACTGTACTTTCCTGGCAGATACCTAGTACAAGTAAATAACAGTGACAATCAAGATGGTCCGCTTTACCACCGTAGCCGCCTTATCGACGGCCGCCCTCCCCGGTACCATGGCCTGGGGAGCGATGGGCCACGAGACCGTCGCTTATATCGCCAGTAACTACGTTAGCTCGGCGACAAAGTCGTACTTCCAGGGCCTTCTGGGCGACACCTCCGCCAACTACCTCGCCAGCGTCGCCGCATGGGCTGACAGCTACCGGTACACGACCGCCGGCAGGTTCTCCGCGCCGTACCACTACATCGACGCCAACGACAACCCACCGTCGACTTGCGGCGTCAATATGGACCGAGATTGCGGCTCCGAGGGCTGCATCGTTCGCGCGCTCCAGAACTACACGACTATTCTTCTAGACCAGAAGGTCAGCAATGCTAACCTACAGATCGCCGCCAAGGTAAGTCTACATCTAAATAAAATATGAGAAATCAACATACTAACAAATTCTAGATGGTCATCCACGTAAGCATGATATATACCTTTCTACTAAGGGAAGATATTAGATAAGGAAATTAACACATAATAATAGTTCGCCGGCGACATAGGCCAGCCCCTTCATTGCGAGGCTCTAGAAGTAGGCGGTAACAGCATCGATGTCCAGTATGATGGTGATGACACCAACCTACACGCCATCTGGGACAGTAACATCCCCGAATCCATCTCAGGCGGTTCTTCTCTGTCCACCGCAAAGTCGTGGGCTACGACTCTGATCAAGGGTACCCCCCCTTCTTTTTATTTGAAGTAGACCCGATCTAACTCTTGTAGAAATCGACTCTGGCGACTATAAATCCCAAGCCGCGGGCTGGGTTAGCGGGCTGAGCGTGAGCTCGTCCGCTAACCAGGTATCAACAGCGCTGAAGTGGGCCACTGAGAGCAACGCGTACGTGTGCTCGACCGTTCTCAAGGGCGGCGTCAGCGCCGTCGAGAACAAGGATCTTAGCGGCGACTACACGACGACCGCGCAGCCCGTCGTCGACCTGCAGATCGCGAAGCAGGGGTACCGGCTCGCGAAGTGGCTCGATGCTATCGTTGCTGCTATGTAAGGAATGAAGAAAAATAGCTAAGGGAGTTCAGGTGTCGTGTTTGTGTTAGGACGACTAAGTAGACTACCTACCTAGTTACTGAAGACTTACGAGAGATGAATAAAATCTATGTGTATTGAACGTCTACTAATTCTATTTCAACAATGCTATGCATGCTTACTATCCAGCCAAACAGCCAATTTCCTCGCTCATAAAACCCATCACACCAACCCTTCAAACCCCTCTCAACACATCCCTCAGCATAGGCGCGATCTGCTTCCTGCTGAATTCCACCTTCTCCTGCCTCCAACACCTCTTCCAACTCCCCTTCGCATCGACCTCATCCAGCATCCCCTCTCCCCAAGTCACAAGCCCCAGTTTCTCCCTCCCTTCTCCCTCCATAAACCCCTTCACCGCACTCAGCGCATACGGCAAACTCTTAACCCACACCATCAATTCCCTCCTAAAAACCCCTTTATCGTCCTTTGACGTCGTCAGCACCGCCAAAACATCTAACTTATTCCTAACAATCCAGTCGTTCACCGCCCCCGACAACGCGTGCCTAGTGCCTGCATGCTTGATAAGAAACGTGAAAGACTGCGGCACGGACGAGGTGCCCAGCTTGAGGCTGCCCTCGGTCCACTCCTTGTAATCTTTGCGTAGGATATCGCGGACCACCAACTGCGAGATGTCCTCCTTAAGGGCGGATACTTCAGCGAAGAAGCTATCGCGGTCGTAGGTGCTGGTGGATATAGGGGAGGTAGGCAACAGCCGTGTAGCAGCTTGCTCGGCCCGCGACGACAGGATCCACCGCTCCGCAAGCCCAACCGCGCGCACATCATTCTCCGTAGTCTTATCCTTGTTTTTCAAATTCGACGTATCGATCAGGATCGGCGCGAGCGCTAAATACGCCAATTGCTCGTTGATCTCCGACTTATTCGGTATGAGTTTCCCGCGGCTCGCCATTTCATCCCATGTCTCACGACACTGCTCCAGAACCAGACTCATACAGCTCCCGGTCTTCTTAATAACCCGTGGTTCCGCATCCTTCGGCACGACGCCCTCGTCGTCATGATGGTCGATACACCCAATAACCCTATCACCAAAATCCTTTCCAAGCCTCCCAGTCAAAACATTGTGGTCGACAAGCAACCACCTCGTGTCCTCCGGCTTCAGCACCCCCTTCTCAACCGCTGCCCGCCCCCGACCCTTCATCGGCAGCATCTCGCTTAACGTCAGCACATCATCTACCGTGACACCAGCGCACTTCAGAACCGCCCCGAACTCGGGCCGCAGCGCGAGGTCCTCGCGTGGGAGATGGCATAGCGGCACGTGTAAGATATGTGGCGGCGTGTGGCTGCGGAAGTACGCCAGCAAGAGCGTCGAGCATAGGGAGTCGAGGTCTAATTTCCGTCAGCAATTTCCCGTGCACCATCACCCCAGAATCTCAGGATCCCGGTTCAGGATTTCAAACGAGTGTAGGAGAAGCGTACCAGCGGATTCGTTCCCGACAACGAAATGCAGCGGCCCGGAGCGCGAGAGAGGCGGAGCCGTGAGAGTCGCGCGGGCCGCCGTTAGAAAAGCCTGTAGAGATCTCTGCGGTAGCATTTGTTGAGGCAGTATTTTTGCGGCGTACTTTGTGTACCACATGTGTTTGTCATATTATTATATTACCTACTGTTGCCAATCTTCGAGAGTATCTATTTTTAATATTTTTGCGGACGTTAACGTCATTTGTACCTACCGCCGTTTGCTATTTCTGCAGACCCGCAATTGCCCTGAAAAATCAGCAGCGTTAGGGTGTACCTGCTATATTATAGCGGGTTCTTAGTTCCCGGAAGTCGTTCGGGCGACTTACCATAGCCGAAGAAGGCTTAGCGCGATCTACAACCCCACCATTTCAACCTCACCCCCCGATTTGGCAACCGCTCACCAGGTCTCAGCCAACACGCTCTTTGCATGCGTGCGCCTTCCCGATCGCGAGGCTCACGCCTCTACCCAAGGATCTCATACCTCCTACCTCACTTCAGCCATTCCCCTCCCCCAAAACCTCCCCTAACCTCCCCCCAAACCCCCTCCCACAAAAATGACCCCCCCTCAGCCACCACCCCCAACCAAACACCTAATCCAAATGTCCGGCGCCCCGGGTTCAGGCAAAAGCACACTATCCCGCCGTCTCCGCCCCTCCATCTCCGGCATAATAATCGACCACGACATCCTGCGCACCAACCTCCTCTCCTCCCCTCACCTCCCCTTCGACAGCGCAGCCAAGCAAGCATACCTGCTCCAATGGGATCTAGCCAGCGACATCATGTCGCACCAAGGGCTAAACGTAATCGTCGACAGCACGTGCAACTACGACGAGGTAGTCGAGCGGGGGAGGGCGTTGGCGGCTGCGCACGGGTACGTGTATTGGTACGTCGAGTGCAAGGTGCGCGATGTCGCGGTGCTGGATAAGCGGCTGCGCGCGCGCCCGGCGATGGCGAGTCAGCGGGCCGCGGTCGATTGTCCGCCTGTTGCTGCGCAGGGGATTGGGGCTCGCGTGGGTGAGGATGCGAGGGCGCTTTTTGAGAGGTGGATTGAGAGTCCGTGTCGGCCTAGCGGTGACGATGGACATGTTATTATCCTTGATTCTACGGGTAGTCCGGAGGCGCTTTGTGAGCAGGTCTTGAAGAAGATGGGCTTGAGTACTTAGTTGAGTTATGCTTGACTGGGCGGAGTTCCGGATGGGTGGGTTATAGCGAAAGGAGCAAGTTAGGCGTTATGTTTTATCATTGAAATTCGTCGCCTACGACGACTCCCTATGATCCAGAGGTATTTACAATGAATGTAAATTTTTAGATAAAGTAAGAGCATCCACAGCAACAAGAAAATAACAGCGCGTGTAAAATAAAGCTCTGGAGGTTTAGGTTAAGGTTGTTGAATAAGGCTGTACGTTACTGACAGGCCCCCTAACCGATACCCGGGAACTAAACATTCAGCATATCAATCTCACACAAAAACAGCCCGTATAACTTCCAAACAGTGCACACGACTTCGATTTAAAACATCTACATAACGCTACCCCTAACAAAGTAATACAGCCCTTCTAGCCCACAGTAACGCCCCGTCTTAGCCATGGTATCCTATTCGCCTACAGTATATGCAGATAGCTAAACTAACACCCAACCAAAACAAAAACGCCAAATCCCGCAATACTCGCTACTCTTTCGCTTCTATCGTTTATTGTCCATTTCACTCACCCCTTATTGGAATACAAATATGACACCTGATCGATCCACGCTAACCGTCATCGTGTATGGCATCTCTAAGACCGCCACGTCCAGAATCGAATCTAGGTGGCTTCTAAGCAGCTGTCCCTGCTCCGCCGAAATGACTGTATGCCGAGGAGGCTTCTCTCTACCGCTTGTGGCCTTGCCGTTCTTGGCATTCTTTTGCTCCGAACCCGTTTTGGATATCCTTTCGACGTTGAGGGTTAAGCCGGGTTGGTTTGGTGTATTGACTATAGAAAAGACCGGCCTGGCGTCCTCTCCTTGGAGTCCGCTGAACACGCACGAATTCTCGATGCGGATTAGATCCCAAAAACGCAGTTTCTTGTCCGAACCCCCCGTTAGGATGTATCCGTACCGCACGTCGCGCTGCTCTTCCATAGCACCCGAGCCGACGACCATAGCTCGCACGCCCCGATCCCCACTACCGCTAGCCGTAGGTTCGATATTAGTCGCGAAGCGGCCGAGCATGCCCTCGGGTTTATCCTCGTCAACATCCCATGCCTTATATTCTTTTGGTCCCTCTTTAGACCCACCCACCCGGTAGATCTCTCTGCATTGGGTCTTCTCCAGATCCCAGACCGTAACTTCTCCAAGGCCAGTACCACCTGCTACACATACCCATTTCCCGCGCCCCTTGGCGGGATGGAGGCTAAGACGATAGATGGCCGACTTGCCAGGTAATCCCCAGCTCTTAACTCGCATTTTGAATCGAAGATCCCAAAGATCCAGGACTCCGTGAGATGTACCAAGCAATAGCCAGTTACGCTTTCGGTCAATACAAAAACACGTTGGTGTCCCGTGATGTACAGGATTTTCAAGAGAGTAGAGGAGCGACCTTGTGCGAAGATCGACACCTACGACTCGAGACCGGTTGGTCGCTAGGACGAGCACGGAGTTAAGCTCTTGCTTAAAATGTTCACACCATATAGCATATTCATCTGGCGGAAGTTGATACTCTCGGACAGGTCGTAAGCGGATATACTTAGTTGCTCCGCTCGTCGCTGCGGTATCAACCTTGACGGCATTGACGCTACCGTCGGTAGCGCAGCTGATAAAGGTATGCGTGTTCTCTACAAAACAGAGAGCAGTTACCTTCGCGCCTGCCTCATGCTTATAGGTTTGACGTGAACGATGGGTGACATTACGTTCAAGTCGTGACGAGTCCCAGACTTTGACAGTGCCGTCGTCGCTCCCCGTGATGAAAAATAGATGATCTGGCGATGGCAACACACGATTGATCGCCCCCGTATGTTCTGCAAACGTAGCAACAAGACTACCGTTCGGCTTCCACGCTTCTTCGCCTGTCTGTCCAGCCGCTTTACTAACCTTCCTCCGCGTAATAGGCTGGACAAGTGGTCCGAACAGAGCTATGTCATGAGGGTAGTTATCGATGTACATATTGTCGAGCATTTTCAGGATGCCGGGATCATTGCCCTCATATGTGTGTGCCGCACGTGGTCGGTTGCTCGGCTTTCCATCTTCTGTGACGATATCAGGGATTGTAATTTGGGGCGGTGGATTCTGCGCAAATGGCCCTTCAACCTGACCGAATGCGTTTGCCTCGGTTGTTCCCGTCTCGGCGATGGATCTACCGCTATCCTTTCTATTCAAGAGATCTAGTGCGCTAGACTGATGTCGAATAGCCCTCCTAGTAGAGTACGGAGTATCAGAGACAGACGCATTATCGTCAAGGGAAACCCGTCCACGTGTTGTGGATGAAGCTCGACGTGATTGATCAAAGCCCGTGCCGTCAACCGGCGACGATGATAGAGTCTGCACTGGCGATAAGGCTCTATTATCCTTCGATCTTGGCGAGATTGCCCCTCCTCGGCTACTTAGGCGTGAGCGATGGTTATTCATTGCGGCACGTTTCCTCTTTCCGACCGGCTCGTCTATCGTCATTGACGCATCCATCAGAGCGTCAGCAATTGTATACGGGCCTTTATCCGAATCGGATGTGATCTGCTCTTGCCACGCTGGTTCCTCTTCGGCAGCAGTCTCGTTGAATATAATAGTTTGTAATTGAACATTCAGACTCCTCAAAGTAATGATGTTATTCAAGGATGTAGCAATATTATCCTGTGTGATCAGATCCCTATTCCTCATCTGACTTAGGCGCCAAATGAACTCCCTTAGAACAAGCAGCTTGAATTCGTCTTCGGATGCCATACCCATATTTCGTAGTCGGCCAAGCCATTGTTCATCCTCATCGTTTCGTTGGACTCTGTTAAGGGTCTGAGGATGCACCTCCCGAGATGAACGAATTGCTAACGCCGTAGACGCAATCGTGAAAGTCGACTGCTTCTGCTGTTTGACCGCCTTCCAGAATAATCCTCTATCGGTCTTCTGAGCCCAGGATAAAGCCAGATCAAACACTGTTCTCGATAACGGTTTCTTCAATGCATCTAGTAAGTCGAGCTCGGAAAAATCGGGGATGATATGTGGTTTTAGAAATGACTTTATAAGAGGGTAGGCGATGCACCGTTTATCTGCAAGGGATAGTAGTTTCGCGGCACTAGATATGTACTCTGCTGCAGATTCGCGAATCCATAGGTTTGGGTGCATAGTGAAGCGGCCAACCATGTCGATTAACTCCCAGATTTTTGCCTTTGATAAGAGACCTAAACTTGCTAGCTCAGCTAAAGAGTGCAATGCCGCTTGAACAACATGTTCTTCGGGGTCAGTTACAGCCTGTACCATAAGGGGAAGGCTGAATTCCTCCAGACTTATGCTACCTAAGAAAGCAGCAATACCGACGATAGTATCAAAGAAAGCGCATTTTAACATCCAGTCTCTATCGTTAAGATATGTATTCAAGTGAGTAAGAATGATATCGTTAGATTCTCTACTGCCGAAAAAGATGCAGAGTTCTGGGACAGAACTGAGAAAAGCTCGGCGTACAGAAGCGTCCGAGTCTTCAACTAAAGCTTTAGCATGTGCTTCGAATAGTTCGACGAGTTCGCTCTGAGCATTATCAAATAAGCCGTCAAATGCGGAGTCAGGATCACTCCCGGCCTCCACCTCTGGATCGGCTGTGCTAATAGTCCCTTCTGCCCTTAGAATGGCTGTCAACTCCAGGAATTTCGAGGCGGTCGTCGCAAGGCTTCCTAAGCAAGACGCGTACGTGGATCGGACTAGAGCACTCGGTTCTCTGCGCTCTTTTCCCATAATAGGTTGTCTGGAAGCGCCAGACAGGAAGACTTGCATTCTTGGCATAATGTATTCGGGGAACACGTGGGCATTAACCGGCGTAACTACCGATACAAGAGCCAAAAGCTGAGTGACAGACCTGAGAGCCGCGATAGCAACGAGATCGACATCATCGTTTAGTAAAGTCATTAGGTATGGCAAAACTCGGTCGAGCTTTGCCTCGTCAGATAATCTCTCTGAGAAAGCCAACAATATGTCACAGGCTCTGATTTTAGATGCTGCTCGAGCAGTATTTCTAAGGGACGCGGCGACAAGTGTGAGGAAGATTAGTGTTCCGTCGTCCATGGGAGGCTGCTTTCCCGCAGACGTAAAATGTTCATTATTGGGTATATTAAGTCGTATAGGGAAAAGACCTAGGCCGAGTCGAGGAGTGAAGTGAGTAAGTTGAGATGATTCTTTGCCATCGTGATAGCCTAAGAAATATGATATCTTGTCAAAATCATAGAAAACTCTATCGATTCGTTCATCAGCTTCACCCAGGTTTCTTATGGATCCCGAAATAGGAGCCCTGCCAGAACTTGAATCGGTGATGAGTTCCATGTACTGGTGGAGGAAGCTATAGAAATACTCAGGAAAGACTTTGGCTTTATAAAAATCCAAATACTGCTCTGCTGAGTACCGTTTCTCGGGGTCGAGATGAATCATACTTGACAGCATCTCTCTTAGGCCCTGGTCAGGTATCCTACTCAGATGCGAGATCACGGGATCATACTCGCCACGACGGTACTTAAACATTTGGCTGAGGCTGAAGATAGGTGTCTCCAAGAAAAGCTCGGCAATGACGCATCCGGCGCTGAAGATATCCATCGACCATGTGAGCTTGTGCCCTTGAAGTTGAGTCTGCGGATTTTCTATGTGTTCGACGAATCTCTCAGGTGCGATATAACATGTACGTCGACCCGACAGATCGAAAAAGTACGAGTAAAACATAGGATTATCATCGGGTAGCATCGTGGGTTTGAAAGAGCCTGTAAAGTCGGTGAGGTAAAGCCAGTTCCAAGATGTCACCATGATATTCTCCGTCTTGATATCGCCATGATATATGTCCCGAGAATGGCAATCTCGTAGTGCGCATAACAACTGGAAGGCCAACCATTTCTTCTCTATATCCTCGAGGAATGGTCTAGTTGACATACGGTCGTATAGGGAGCTGTATATGTATTGTCGCACAAGATAAGCATTCCCTTCGGTTTCAAAGGCGCGCTCGAAGCCCAAGGCGTTGGGAACATCTCTTAGTTTATCTCTTTCCTCTTCGGTATGGTTAGTGGAAGCTATATGATGGAGAAGGGTGATGTGATGGCCACATACGTAGAATCTTCTCGCCGTGTTCGCGTAGCGATAGTGGGGTATAGGGCTTCACGGTGACCTTTGCCAGAACTACTCCATCGTGATGACGAGCACGGATACTTTTCATGAACCGGGCGCTTCCGATCGATCTCTCGTGTACTAGGTCGGCTAGTTCTGGTATGTCGATGCCAGCAGAGCCGGCGTACGGCGTGGTAAGGGAGTAGCTGTTACCCATCTTGCAAACATGCGATGGTGCTACCTAGCCAAATATGTGAGGCAAAACAAATTGATCATCTTCCAAGCTCCCCACAAGGTTTGTCGATAGAAATATTATCTCCGCTATCTTTGAAATCGTGCGATAGAGCGCACTACAAATCTATTGATGGATTGGTGAGTGGGTAGTAATAAGCACGACAACTGCTCACGAGGCAGAAGTATGGCTAGGTATGTGATCTTGATGACGGAGTTGGATGAATAGAAGAGCTTCTAGGAATTTAGTGGGTTGCATGTGCCTGGGAATCTTAGCTAGAGTGGGGTCGGACCTTCCAATAAGCAAGTAGCGGCTTCTACTTGGTAAACCTAGTATGATGGGTACATTACCGATGTACTATCCACCAGACTGGATTCACTATATCCATGTACCTATTCACTACCAACCTATCATCTACCTCTTATTCACATTTAAGTCATATTAACAACCCATTATCCTGCGTAATCAAGTAACTGGGCTGGACAAATATGTCTGCTATAATTGACACTATTGTATCTTTACGATATCAGTGCCAGATGTTACGGAGGTCAGGAAGACATTAACAAGACATGCGGACGGACCCATTCTCTCAGCTCACTGGATAGAAGATTCAGGATGCTACCTCATATATATCTTAATAATACTTTTTTGTGGGAAACCTTAAGCTAATTGATAATTGAGATGACAGGGCTTCTATCCTTACTTAGGAGATGCCCTAGAAACATCCGTATGCCATATATCTAACCTAAAGCTCTCCCGACGGCACCGATTAAGATATGCTGGAATCTTCAACCGTATTGTCTTTTGCTCGTCTGTTAGGCGTATAAGTAGTGTCATGTGCATTTTCCAGTTACGTCCCCGTCTTTACCCGCCTCTCCCTCGAAGAAACGAATTACATAGCAGTGGCCCTCTCCTACAACCCGCACCAAACACCTTTGCTAACACACCGGGTATATAAAATCAACAATAGAAGAGAAAGGAGAGGGCGCAACTGCATGTAGTCGTCATATTAATTTTGATCGCGTCTCTTCATATCAAAAATCCCGAGGACCAGCTGGTAAACACCATCTCCAGGCGTCCTGCGGTTCAAGTCGTGATCCGAGGCGATGTGTCATCTGAATAGAATTAAATAGGTACTGTGGAATTGAAGGCATTAAGCGTATCAATCGCAGCAATGCGAATCGTCGTGTCTATGTGCAAGGCGAGTATGAGAAGGCGGGTGATAAATCGAGGACGGGCACAGAAGTTGGTCAGGTATAGACCGAAAAGATACCCGGGGGAATTGACGGATCGATATCGCGCTGCGGTTGGACCAGGTTAGGTTGGAAATTAGAAGTCCCTAAACGCCGGTGCAATGCAAACACAAATGATTTCGTCAACCCATCAGATATAAATGAACAGCGTGAAAGATCTCGTTATTGGGCTCAAGTTCCGTGCTGAGCACTAGACCCGGTCTCTGTAGATCCATCGCCTTCGATTGTCTTCCTCCAATGTTCGGGTAGGCAGACGCAAACCAACGGGAAAGCCTTGATCTCTCCACTAACTGGAGGTGATGTATCTCGCAAACGACCTGAGGTATGTGAAACTCCGCTATCCCTCTGTGCTTGTCTGCGTGCTTCCCATTCATCCGCTCTTTCGTCCAACATGACACCGGTTGCCCATCCGTCATCCCAGATGCCTACCACCTTCAACATATCGCCGCGTTCCAACGCGAATTCGTCGGCTGCACGGGGTTGGTATGCCCAAAGGACTGCGACACGCTCGCCAGGGTGGATATCGTCCTGCGAGTAATAGTCCTTAAAGAATGGGAGTTGTTCAGATTGCTGACTATTGACACCAGGAGGTGACGACATTCCCCCTGCACTACCGGGAGACTGAGGATCCTCGCCGGCGAGTACCGAACTGCTGGATAACGAACCGTTCCTACGGATGTTCATGGGAGGTGGCCGTAATATAGCTGCACGTGGTTCCGATGCGGGACTCTCTCCGAATGAGTCGGAAGACGAGTGATCGCCTCCTCCTCTCCGCCTCCCTGTGACATACCCAGCGGCCGCACTGGCTGCTGCTGCGCCCGCTGAAGCTCCGAGTCTAGAGTCTCCACGTCTCGAGCCTGGCTCCCCTGAATGACCTTCTAGTGCTGACATACGGGCTATTCTTCCTCCGGGGAGGATTTCGTACCCTTGAGGTGCTACAGGGCCCGCGGGGACCTGATTTGTCTGTGGTCCTTTCCTAGAGGGCGATGGTTGGTTAAAGATGCTCCCCTTCTGGCTACCACTTCTTCTTCGTGCCAGTCTAATGCACATGAGTATGAGGAAGGCCAAAAGAGCCAGGCCGGCCACGGATCCAACGACGATACCAGCTATCGCACCGCCTGAAAGACCTTTGTTGTCGGAGGCGGCCGCAGCAGGCGTTGCTGTGCTACTAGCCGTGGCGCTCTCGGTGGGTGTACTGAAGGACATGGTTGGCGTAATTGAGGGCAGGACAACGTTTGCGCATTTTGACTGAATATTCGAATTATAGCAGCAGGTATCAGTCGAGTTAATACCGCCCGATGCGCAATATGAGCACAGCCCAATAGTGCTGCCGCCATATCCACAGTTATCTGGTTCATTAGTAATGCCTTGTATACAACTGCTACTAGATAACGAGTCTGCCGGCAAAGCACAGTTAACGAAGTCAGCCCTTATCTGATCTTGACGGCCACTGCTGGTGCTGGGACAGAGGCTGGTGTCGGCCGCGAGATATGCTTCACTCTCAGCATAATGAGCGCAAGAGTCGGCACACAAGGGCCGCGATGCCTGGTCTGACAGACTACAGGCCTTGATGGAATTCTGAATAATAGCATTACAGATTACTGAGGTGGTGAAACGCGCATATAAATCAGTAGTGTTGACAAGGTCGATATTGCCGCAACCCAACAATGTTTGGTATCTAAAATATAGAATAAGCTTAAGTTGAAAATCGTATTCATGTCAATTTACTTACTGTTTCTGTACGTAATCGGTCTGAACATATTGGCTTAACTGCTTATCGAAGGAAGCCCTATCTGAGACGTATTGAAGAAAGGGACTAGATGCTAGGTCAGAATCGGAGAGACTCTTTTGACAACCCGATGTCGCAATTCGAAGATGAGACGGGGAATAGGAGAAGAAGTGAGAACTCACAATAGTCCTATTAAATAACTACTCGTGGACACCGAGGCGGACTGAAAAGCTGAACAGGTTGTTGAGCCTGTTAACGGAATGCAGCTATCTGCCATGGAGCCAGGAGCTGCTGCGAGGATCGACACAAGGGCAGATTTTACCGTCCACCCCGATCGGCCGGCCGTTCTTCCACCACTCCCTGATCGAGACGAAGCCATCGGGACGTTGCGCTTGGCGGGTTTGGAAGACTTCGAAATGAGAGACCTATCGCTGTTCCTCCTGTCGTTCGTATCGGAAATGGTGATCACTGGCGCCGAGAAGGCATGACGTTCGGATCCTATCATTGCTCAAACCACATGCTATTAAACTCGACTCGGTTGATGTTTGTATTCGTAGTTCCTTAGTGCTAAGAAGCAGTTGAATGACTGAAATATTGGCAGAGATAGTCTGTTTTTCCGTTTCTTCTTTTTTGATGCAGGTAAATTTTATGTGCAAGGTTGGTCGCAAGTAATAGTCGTAACCGTAACCAAAAATCAAAGAGGTATCTTGAGGGGTCAATTACTCTGTAGAGAAATACGGGGGGATGATTATTTTCGAGATTTTTTATTTCGTGTTGAGGGATGTAGGTAGTAGGTAGTGTACCGATAGGATCGGGTGTGTTGGTGTTTCCAGTGACGAACGAGTGTCTATAGTTGGAGAAGGTGAGACCTTGAGTGAAAGGAACCAAGCCAGAAATCGTGTAGTGGATGATTTCAGGTTGCGCTTGACATGCTACCAATACACCAGTCTTAGATGCACGACGTCGAATGGAATACGACAGTGGATGCTATCTACTACTAGATGAATATCGAGGTGGCTGGACACTAGGCAAATTTACTGGCAAAGGCACCTTTGGCTCTTTGGCTCTTTTAGTTAAACGAATGTCAAATAAAAAATTTCGAAAAAATAACACAATGAAGGCAAGAAAAGAAAACTAGGCGCACGACGGTAAAGCCGTGAAACCGTAGAGTAGATCCGGGCGAGTAGGATGAGGATCGGAGGGATGGGGAGAAAAGAGGTTGAAGTTTGGGTATATGCGACTCGACAGAACCGATGAAAGAAAGGGAGAGAACGGGGGGATTGAGAGGAACTCGCGTAAGCCAACCCGAGAGACTGCCTGGACTGCCAGATTGTGCACCGAACTACTGGGTTCCTGGGGGGAGACTGCCTGACTGCCCAGGTGGGCTGTGGTAGTTTTACTTGCTAGCAGGCACAATTCATCAACGATCAAGGAGCATCGTAACAAGCAACAACAAAAGTAGCATCTAGCACCCTTACACCCCTACACTTGCCGGGTCCTGCCCTACCTTGCAGCTGCCTTGTTCCTATCTCATGTTGTACCTTGTACTTCGTGTACCTGGACTAACTCTACTAGCGCCACTAACCACCTGCCTTCTCTCAATGTAGCAGGTACACTAGTGAGCGGGAGACGTTCCCAAGTCGATAGTAGGGAAGCTCTATCCTTCTACGAAGGCTTGGCATAGACTTTATCCAATGACAACAGCCTATAACCAAGGTTAGGGTCCACAGCAAAAACTTACTTGCTTCCAGTCCGCAACGGGCAAGTAGGACGGGGGTTTTTAGACCACGGCCTTCAAATTAGAGGTTTCTGTAACCGTGCTTTCATCCCGATATTTAGGTATAAACGGCTCCCGTCAGAACTTTACAATTCACACGTACTTCTTCGTTTTCCATTATCCCACTCATTATTACAATAATTATCGAATTCATATCTCATGTGAAACAATATACTGGCACAATGTTCGAGATCTCTTGTACGATCAAGTTGTACATGTTATTCAGGTAAGTGTACGTTTTATGAAATTTGATACGCACAGACTGGTACTATGTACATCATCCTCGAGCTAGGGTCCCTGTCAAGCCACGGGCTCTCAGACATTTAGACAAAGTCTTCATCGAAATAGGCAAAGTCCCAGAAGCACCTTAAAATTACTGACATGGATCTGCTTATCCAATCGTAACGATCAGAGACAGCCAAGAGCTTTAAGAAAAGCAAACCATTGATCTTCCAACGGTTCGCAGAAGAATCGTCGATAAGCTTTCAAAGTCGACATCTTCCCTGGCCTCATCGTCACATCGGTTGGCATCACCTTACTTATCTAGGAGGGTGTAGGTCATTACATTGATGAGATAATACATAGTAGCTGTCATCGCAACAATGGCGGATAGACTCGAACTTACTTTCACGTTATTCGTCCGGTGTTGCTCAGAGCGGAAACCTTGAATGACAAGTCAACGTGGACACCACCTTCGACGACAAACGCCGACAAGAGCTTGTTGATCAAATACTTTACACAGCCTAAAGTCTATGCCTGCATACGATACTTACCCTCAAACCCTATCGAAGATAACTTCTCATGTTTAGATGGTTTACGGTTCACGTCTGCTCAATGAATGACGATGACCCCGGACTTACTACCTTAAATCATCAACGTGCGGGTTACGCAAGTCACTGAAACCCGAGAAACGAAACCATTTTGCAGAATCCCAGAACACATCGGGGGTTCATCTCGCTGTTTCTAATTCAATGCCGATCAGATTAGCTGAAACTCACACGCTAATTCCCTAAGAGTCAGGCTGTCAGGGAGTACGATAGTACCTAAGACGACTTTCTTTTCTTCTGCGAAATTTGTCTGTCTCATATTCCGCGCTCCCGCGTTTATTGGCCAAGCACCTTTGTTATGCCTGTTGCTTCAGATTCTGACGATTTTCGTACTACTTCGCCTACCCGGTCCGTCCTTCAGGGGATCCCGGCCACTCTCTAGACACTGTACATAGTGCGTCCGAAAATAGCCTGTCGAGAGGCGTCGATGCGAAATGACGATGGCCTCATTTACTCGATTGGATAAAGGGGCGCCCTAACGCGTCGTGTTTTTCGACCCACCATTTCTCCTAAGTCTTTGGTAATTTTTTAAGATTGTGTATGTTTTTGTGTTTTGTTTCAGCGTATCAGCCCTAGCAGGCCTTATTCTTCCCGGCTTCCACACCGATCAGAAATCAGAAAAAACACGAGGCGCACGTTTGTCAGTCTGTTTCTTATTATCTATCTCATATGTCCGGGCGTGTTCACCGCCATAGACTGAAGGACGGACAAATACTTTAAGATGTTTCGAGAGAAAAGGGGGAAACAATAACATAATTTAGGAAGCAAACAAATCACATAAGCACGGAAACGACAGATTCTATCACACAGATACTCCGAGATCATCGTCTCTACTAGGTACCAGGTAATTACCGTTGCTACGGTTTGGTAAAGTACCCTCTACTATGTACAGCATAACCCCGGGCTGGAGTTGTGGTACCAGATTCTCTTATGCAAGCCATTGCCGAAGGCGTTCTGCCGCGTCAACGACCTCACGGAATTAGATTGTCTGCCATACACTACATATTATGTAGATATGTACCGCATTGGGGTACGTATGGCATTACATATTGCTTCTCGATTTGTGCCGTTGCCCTCCCTGATGAATTCATCCATTGAGACTACTCGCGATAGGGCTACATTCGTTAAGGGATCTTAAGCTACATCAATGCAACCGTCGGGGCGGCTACTAGCCTCGGCGGACGGGTCTGATTAATATTATGCATCTCGACGCCGTGCATGAAATATGAATGTCAGATCGGGAGGTTGCTCAGTCACTCCTATCAACTCAATTCTAATTTACCTTTTATCCTATCAAGCCTCGAGCTTTTATGCACCAATGTCTTAGCTACCTAGTAATATTGACGGCTTATTGATATCAAATAATGTCAGTAGCGCTAAAGAAACGATCTTGAAGAGATGTCACGGGTGTCTCAGCTGCAGAAAAGCATAAAGGGGCCCCTCGATGGTCAATCTGCCCCGCGTTACAGATCTTCAAGAGTAAATCCAACTTACAAACCGAAGTTTATCTTGACATCCATTAGACATAACAGAGCCCAATGGCTCAATTTCATGGGCAGTTGTACTTCGTCAAAATCTAGGTAGATTCTAGAAACGACTAATGATCCTACTTAGTTTTAACTAAGCTATGAAGCAAATGCCGAGCTCCAGATCACTATGACGTCTATCCCCGTGGTAGATGTTTCTTAGGTAGGCTTTGGAATATCCTCAAACTAGGAATGGCCTTACATGTCTACCTGGTCTTATTGATATTCGAAGTGTTTTTACGTGACATAATATAGGTAGGTGCCTTGGAAACCTGAGTTCATACGCCCTAGTAGATTCAAATATGTCTCAGAGATATCGAAATATTTACGCATATCGAACTTTTCAAGTCCGTCGGTAGGCAGGTGAAGTTCTTGGCAATAACGACGTTTGACTTAACCCGCAAATCCCTAGGTTAATACATGATAACAGGAATTAGGCTTGTCTTTCAAACAACTCCAAGATAAGGCGAACTTCGAAATATAGTAGTTTGAGCAAAGCCAGGTATATGCCGACATTTCAACCATTCCCGAGAGTTCCGGTGTGTAAACTAACCACCACTTATATCGTCTAGGACATTCTCTTAAAGCACTCATGGGACTTTTGAACTTTTATATACCTATTAAGCTCCAGCAGATATATACATGGGAATATTCAGAGACTAAAAGTTTCCAAACGTTTCTGAACCAGTAGTAGGGTTGGGTATACCTTTTTTAAACGACTTGAAAGTCATTGCTGGCCCTGCAAAACAGGCGCCGAGACGCTGGTGTTATGCCTAACCTGCTTGATGAATTTATTTACCAGGAATAAATAATAAGAAACAAGTAGTTGCTCTCAAAAGACCTTCCCAGCACGATTTTCTATGAACCATGTGAATAGACTTGGTGAAACGTGAGGTAACTTGAATATCTATTAACTATTGTATACCTGCTATGGAGGTAGCAGTTCAAAGTTAAAACTGAACTATCTTGTGCGGTGTTTCATTTTTGCCTCTAATTAGTTTTTGAACCCTAACACAATTAATAAGTATGACCTCTAAGTGTGGTTCGAGATGATGCCATGAGGGTATGTGGTGTCCCTAGAATTTTTGGACGGATTCAGATCCAGTATGCTCGAAGGTGACCAAGGACCCTGGATAGGTAATCGAAGTCCCCTTAAGCTTGAAGTAGATGATCAGAATACCTATATCCGCCGTGGAGTATATTGATGGCTACTAATATTCGAATCGTTTATGGATAAGAAAGGCAAGGAAACGCATCTCCTATTACCCCTGAATTCCTTGCTGTGTCTTCTCATCTTAATCTTGTACAACTTGAATAAATTGTCACTTTCGTGAAACGGAGGCGGCTGTATTACTCATCTTGGCTATTGAAATATGTGCTGTATAATCACCTGTCGCATTGGATAGACGAATGCGTTAAAAACAGCGGGAAAATCTGTGATTAAAGTTATGTACCCCGAAGTGATAGTATGTCCATTGAATTAATCTTGTCAATTCCGAATCATTCCTATGATATGAATATACGATTATTAACCATCATAGGATAGACGTAACCTTCTAGGTTGCCTAACTCATTTGGTCCGGGTCGTCCGGAAAGTCTTGACCAGAGATTTTACCACTGAACAGGGAGCTGCAAGTTGTGATCATCGATTCCATTGCGCATATCCCATCTGATCGTTGACCAAACGCCTTGTATTGCCCTTCTTATAACGAGATATGTACACTTGACTGTAGCGCCGGCTCTATGATTCTTGGGGTTTGTTTGCCTTCTTTGCTGCCTCGTGTTCCCTTATTTGCTTACTCCAGCTGTAATAGGTATTAGCTTCCGAATCTTCGTAGGAAATACGCATGGTCGAACGTACTACCGGCTAGGGAAGAATCGTCCCTCTTCTGGCATCTTATGTCGGAATTCGCGATCAGCACTTAATTTCCACACCGCAGCCGTTAATGCGATAATGACGCCGAAGTATGCTGCAGTGTTCGCCTTCCAGTTGCTTGGTTGGGTGTACCAACCGCCAGACGGAGACCAGACATGCTTGGGGTAGCTAATGCGAGGTCAGGCTCATCATTCTATCGAGGTTTGAAGGCCGAATGTTGGTAGGAGACTGCTTCGACTTACGAGACTCGAGGACCGCCACCCTATTGATTGTTAGCGATACATCATCAGTAAAAATTCAAAGGTTATATACCATCTTGTCCGATTGTGTAGTGAGCAGATAACCAATTGAGGTGAATTGAGACGACGAGGAGCTTGGAGATTCAATGTTGGAACATTCAATGATACAATGGTACTATGGTACAAGCAATTAATTGCTTAGCACACACTTAATCGCACTGATGTAATTGGACTAAATAAGGGTAATGGTTAATCCGGCGGCACTTAACGATGTGGCACGTGCACGACCACTATCAATGGCCCTTGCACTTTGGCGTAGCTTCAATTCTCTGAAACTTTTTTTTCGAAAGTTCGATAGACACGAGATCCAACTGCAGCAATTGACTTAATCCCCCACAACCGTGTCGTGTCTCAACCCGCCCAGTGCGTTGGGGCGAGGTGATCTGGGTTTATCAAAAATGAAGAGAATACGGTTAGACAGGTTATCGAGTCAATTGCTCTCTTCAACCCCGGCAAGACCAGCGTCCACATCCCACTCCACTAGAATATGTCGAACAGCCCGAACATCTAGATTACAAACCCCTCTATTATGCCCCGGTCAAAGGAGATGGCAGTCCACAACACCTGACGTGTATACCGACCAAATAGACTATCAAGGAACTGAAGGAAATGAAGGGACTTCATACCCATCCGAAGAAGGAAAAATACAACCGCTCCCGTCGCCACCACCCGAACGAGCCTTATACTCGGCAAAACTTGCGGCCTTACATGCGCGACTCTCTCTCTCCTCCAAAATTCCCCTCCAGATTCTCGCCCGCACCCTAATAGACCCCTCGGCCGATTCCCACCCGCACTACAATAATGCGAACCTTGCATTCCTGGGCGCTGCCCTGCTCCAGTACCACACGTCCGAAATGCTCATCATGCGATATCCGCGCCTGCCCATGACGATTCTGTTCTCCGCCATGAAGGGCTACTCCGGCGTGCCGGCGCTGAACCAAGTTGCACGAGCCTGGGGTGTGGAGGCTTGCGCCGCGCCAGGCGAGGAAGTAGATCCCGGCGTCCTGCAATTTTCATCCGATAAGCCGACCGTCATGATGAACAAGTGGGGTTACGTGCGCGCCGAGTCGAAGGAGCTTCTGAAGTACAAGTGGCGCCGAGGTGTCAGTAGTAGAGTTATATACGACGACGCCTTCGGTGAGCTAGTACAGAAAGACGGAAAGCCGGCACAGGAAGCTCAGGAGCAGGCGCAGAAAGAGGGAGATGATAAGTCCGAGGTCAGCGACGCACGGAATTCTAGAGATCTAGTCGTGAATGATCCAAGCCAGAATGCGCACGCAAACTTCGTACGCGCCGTGGTCGGCGCCATCTACCAGTACTGCGGGCGCGAGACCGCCAAGATATTTGTGCAGTCGCACGTCCTCTCCCGGAAACTCGATTTGGAGAATCTGTTCTACTTCAAATTGCCCATAAGAGAGCTGGCGCGACTATGCGCCAGAGAAGATTTCGACGATCCCGTAGCGAGGCTGCTTAGTGAGACGGGACGGCTGAGCAGAACGCCGGTCTTTGTGGTGGGGATCTACAGCGGCCGGGACAAGCTCGGCGAGGGTACCGGGCCCAGTCTCGATGCCGCGAGGACGGCCGCGGCGATTAACTCGTTGAAGTCGTGGTACCTATACAGCCCCGGCGATGTCGGAGTACCTAGCGACACCTTCGATGAGGATGCCGTTCACTGGGAACCAGCGTACGTCGATATCGGCGAGATAATATCGTGATGCGTCGTCGTCGGATCTAGGCGAGGGGCTCTACAATGGGACGTAAGAGGTTTACAACCGCGAGAATTCTCCTCTCCTCTCCTCTGCGGAGCAAGGCGTACCAGTATAGCCATTGGATAAAAATAGGAGACGGCCGAAAAAAAGGACAAATAACATCTATTCGAAAATAAGAGATGATTGATGATTGATGTCTTGGCTGTCGGCGGGACTTATGTTATGAGGGTGGATTCAGGGGCCGGGTCTGCCAACGTTGTATCATTGTACCATACTTTCAAAAACGTCCATGAAGCTGGATGGCCCATGTAGAAAAACATACAAGGACAGCACCACCCGTAAACCACTCTTCAGCCGAGTGTAAATATCTACTTGCACAATTTACATTCGAGGGTGTCGTCCCTAGTCTTTTTCTGGTGCTGTCATTATTGTATATGACGTGACTCATTTTTTAATCGGTAATCTATTGGTGTACATAAAGCATTTGTGAGTATACAAAAAGAGGAGGTTGAAGAGAGGAACATATTATTAATATTATCAAACGGGTTGTATCCAACGCGGCGAACTCCTAACCATGAACCTTGACTACCGCAGTGTCAACTAAAATGGTCGCCCTCGCCCAGTTTATCCGCTATACCTAACCTAACCAACCGTCTATACACCTCCCTCTTGACAGCCGCCTCGTGGTCTTCACGCATCTTCTTCTTGCGCTCGTACACTGCCCTCACGCAGCGGCGGACCTGGTCCTTGCCTTCGGCGAAGTTGGCGCGTGCAAGCGCTACAACCTTGTCGACCTGCTCGGGGGTGTACACGAAGTTCCACGTGCTCATGTAATCGGACTCGGCCGGGTTGACGCCCTCAACTTTTGGGTTTGCCAGGAACGGCAGGTACACAATAGTCATGCCGGCGTTGGGCTCCTTAAGCTGCCAAGCCAGTGTATCGTCCGTAAGTGGCTTTGCTTTTGTGGGGGGAGGTGGCTCCGATGACCTTTCTTCCTTCGAGCCGACCCAAATCGTACAGTAGCCTAGGTCGGAGTCTTCCGGGTGCGATATATCGTGTTTCGCTTTGTCACTTGGCTCTGTGGTCGGCGTAGGCGGTTTGCTACGGGTTTCGACCCGACCATCTCCTTGTCCTTGCTGCGCTTGATGTACCTTCGCCTCAGCGTCGGCTGGTGATTTTGCTTGCGCTGACTCTAGTTGTTGCTCAATTGTTTGGACAGAATCTGTTGCTTTGGGCCACCCAACACCGACTGGCCAACCCTTAATACCTCGTTGGCGCGCATAGCCATCTGCTACAGACAGCCAGTTATCCGTCTTAACGTCGGCAGAGGCATCAAATGCCACGATAATATCAATATCCCGGCCAGGTCGAAGTAAAGGGTAGAGAGGTAAATTGTTTGACATTCCTGCGTCCATAAGTTGAATGTACTCATTATCACATATCGCAGTAGGCGTCGTAAATCGTAATTTTCCTTCCATATTATACGTAAAATTGGGTATTTGAGCCGGGTCGATTGGATGGACCTTCTCCAAGTCTGTATTATACCCATATATCATTCCGTCAATTGCGGCAAATCCAGTGAGACTTTTTACGAGAGGTCGAATTTCACGATAGTAGTGGCTAAGGGTCGCACAAAAGGCGCTACCGAAGATACCCATCATGATGGGCATTCGAAGCTCTGGGAGATGAAAGCCGTTGCTCTCCGGGGGCACGTCTTCTCCGTCGTTAAATCGACGACCAAGTGCCCAGGTCGGAATTCCGGCATTAAACTCCTCACAGAAAAATTCGTAGGGTGTTAACTCAAACCACTGAAACCACGCTTCCTTCTTTGCGATCTCCTCTGCTCGCTCTGGACTAGTAACGCCGGATTTCGACAATTTGTTGGCTATATCAGGGATCTCATGGCGTACGGCAGTATAAATTGGCAGTGGGTTCTCTCCATACTTGATGTATTCTCTCTGACTAGAAAGTTTAAAATCTTTTTCATTAACACCGAGCTCGCCTTTGGGCACTAGGAGCCTCGCGGCCAACAGAATTCCGTAAGCATCGACAAGTCCAAAATCGGCGTTCGGGTCTCCTCTGAGCTTTTCGACTAGACTGCTAAGGAGTAATTTACTGGTTGGCGCGGATGTCACCGATGAAAATGCAGCTGGAGGGTATGCAAAATGAACACCTATTCTCGATTTCAGGTGATCGACGATTCGGTCAAATTGGCGGTTTGTAACGGATGAATTGTATAAGGATTGAAGCCAGCATGAACCACTGACGCCCGCCGTATACGTGGTACAATCAAATAAACCATCTTCTTGGGTGGCAAGAAGCGAACCTGTGCCAGCAACCAAAGCTCGCAATCCGCCACCAGAGCCACATATGGCAATGGTGGGAACATCGTCAGGATGGACGTCCTTCTCATCAAGACCAAGATACTTAGCTAAAGCCGCAGTGGCGACTTTCTTCCGGCGAGCTAGAAACTCTTTTTCTTCGTCGCAGAGATCCTCCGAGACACGTACCCTAGCAGAATACTGAATTTCTGGATGGATAAAAGGGTCATGAGCATCCCGCCATATCTCATTCGCGAGTGACCCGTCCTTCACAGAAAGCTCACGTTGGAGTTTGCGGATTTGACTAGGAAGAGTCCTTGACCAATCAGGAAGGATCATATCGACAAGGCGATCAGATAATGTCGACCATTCAATATCGGTGACATTAGAAAAACGCTCAAAGCGACTGGCAAAGGCCGACCAGGCGGTGTCTTCGGCTTGAAGTTGCGCGTCATCATTTGTACGCTTCAAACCTTTCTCAGTCTGCGTGACAATGCGGGATCGCCGTAGTTCATCGCCTGGGTAAAGCGAGTATATGAGCAAGCCGCCTAAAATACCGGAGATGGCTACAGTGACGATAGTAGGGGGGCCTTTACTAAAACCTATATTCCTCTGGTTGGGCGAAGTAAAAAAGCCACGTGGGAACTGGTTTTGATGTAAGCGTGATGATCGACGAGAAATCTTTGATATACCGGTACGGATCGGCACCAGGGCTAATCGAGATGTTCCATGGACCAGTCTGGTTAACCGTCTCGCATAGCAAGTTGCTTTTAATTGTTGAGATCTTTGGAAGCATCCCATAGCTGTAAACTGGTACGAGCCTTTTTCGTATGACAAGATGAAATCTGCAACATGACTTCACTGTTGATTATGGATGGTAAACTTCGAATTAGAATACCTTGACTAGTAAAGAGAAGAGTTTATGAGAGTTACCTAATGGTTAGAGCTGCATGTGCTTCATTTCGACGCAAGGCTCGTCGTACTTGCCCATTGATATGGTACGATATCGTGACATCATTTTATTAAATCGATAACCGTAAGATCCGCCATCCCGCCATACCATTTTATCCATTTTGTTGCGCTAAAGTTACAGGAGCTTTAGCGCATCGTTATAGTGACTGATTTTCAAGCCATATTGGCCTGTGCTCTAGAAGTCATGTGATCACACAAACTCAGGCCTCCATTGCATTTCAAGGCGCAATATGATTGGTTAAGAAAACACACACTATAACTATGCGCTGAGACCCTCGTAATTCTGTGCTAGATAGCCACGAAGCCCCCTATAGCCATAGGGACCTTAGTGGATAAGTATGGTGCAAATACAGCCCTGAAGTGCAATGGATTGTATTGGAACGTACAGCGGATAAAATAATTTGGCGGGATGGCGGAACTTACGACTACCGCTCGATCTATGTTTAATAACATGCACTGCAAAGAAACATAGCGTGTCTCTGTAAACAATTTCAGAGTTTACAGACAGAGCATCATAGAAGACTCTGACGAGAATTGATATCTAAAGCGTTACTCAAGTTGACAGACTACCTACCTATAACTATGAGTATCTAGATACCTAACGAAACACTTTCCTATCTTCCTTCGCCTGTGGCTCTTGCTGACGTACATTGTTATACGAATCCTAGGTACCTAGCGAAAGGCAGAAGAGGAAATGTAAAAAGAGAAAGAGAAAGAGATCGAATAACCATACTAGGTGTTACTTCACCCGAGCCACGCAACACTGCTCCTCGTCGTGTCGCCCTTTACTCTTCGGCCACCAAAGTTAGTCGTGCTTTCCAGGAGCAGAAGCAATCTTCTCTACAGCGGTAGCGATGTTCCCCATATTAGCGCTGACATTCTCCTGTTACCCACAATTAGCTATATGAGTGACTTGGTGCAAGCATATACGCAGGCTCACCATCGATATCGCTAGTCTTTTGAGGACGTCGGGGATGTCAATTACATCAGCTCCTTCTGAACTAATGCCAACAGTGGAAGCAACGGTACGACCTGGCTGAACAGGCACTAGTGGCCCCTTCCCATTACGTCTGGATTGTTTCCCAAGAATCTTGCGTACCTCGTTGGATGCATTTATCCATTCGATATTGGTATGACCTACAAGATGCTTCTGAGGATCAATGCTCCCTAAGGCGGCGCGATATTTGACGGCACAGCGCAGACGATAGATAGCTGAAACCATTTTCGAGCTCATGTTTAGAGGTTCGCAACTTAGACCTCGCTCAAGGCAGTAGCTGCAGGTAACCTCGTTTTCATAGCCATCTGGATTTACTTAGCATAAAACACTTTGAGGTAATCAGGTAAAGGGCTTACTCAAGTGGACGCATCGTGCACCATAATCGTCACAGATCCGCAATGCGCATTTATGGCATGGAGGCCATCTGACTCCTTTAAACTCAGTCGAATATATCTCCGAATCCAAATCCCAATAGTCATCAGAAACCACGGTCTTGGGGCGTTTTGAAGATGGCCCTGGTGTATCATCTTCATTGGCATGCTTGTTTGGTTTTTTAGAATGTTTAGGCACTTTGAGGTTAACTTTACTAGGTATGCATCGAGAATGAGGACATGAAACTTACTAATGACGTTAAATAAGTTCTTTACAAGAGGTGGTCGTAAAATAGATGAATAGGTAAGATGACTAGTGAAGGGTATAACGGGTAACTAAGGGGGGAACTGGAATTTTTATATTGATAAGTGGGCGAATTAAGCTATGGGCTGTTAAATGTAGTGAAGCAATAGATGGTAGTACGTCACAATCACACGCCTTTAAGCTATGTGAAAGAGGTGATCATGCCGAACCTGTTAACGAGGCAGCGAGGCAGCAAGGCAGGCATCGCATTTTCACGATCGAGCACACGGCACTAGGCGCACACAAAAGCAAGTGTATATCAAGAGGATTGCATGGCTAGGGTATTTTACGATGTGATCACATATAATTGGAGTATGGAGTATGTACCATGTAAGTCGATGAGTTCACATCTAGTCCAACTTGGCCCCTTTATCAATTAACAGACATGACAACCTTCAATATTGCTAAGATTCCTAACCGCCTACCTAGCTAGGTATTCAATTGACCGCGATAGCTTCTTTGACATTTTCCCCCCATAAGTCTAGCAACGATTACTGACATAGTGACGATCACCAGCCTGACATCTGTTGGATTAACAACCGTTGTAATACAAGGTGAGGCTATTTCCAAAGTGGCTATTTTCTTCGATATAACCCTTGCTCGATGATTACGATTGCCCTCGGGGGGTGATATTATTCAATCAACAGCCAATTAGACTGGTGATTACCTCCAAATACCCCTCACCCAGCAGTGTATTCAACAACAGCTCAACAACAGCTTCAAACAAAATTTTATAGTTATATTCGCAAAATAGGTAGTTGATATAATGTGACCTACCTTGTACCTTGAATTAAAGCGTCTAGGTTAGTGAATTGAATGATATAACTAAGATCTACAGCCGTTGTTGGAAAGAGTGGACTGAAAAGCGCCAAGTCCTCTATTATTACAGGGGGTTTAGCAGTAAAAACGCCACTAATCGTACCCTATTTTCTACCTAGGCAGGTTATCGTTGCTATTGTTCTGTTTAACGTCTCTCTCTTCTCGCAATATCCCTAGGAGTATATAGGACGTGGCAGTGGCAAGCTCTACTACCTACCTATTTACATGATACTGATGATCTTGATGATACTATGATGCCAAATCTTGCCTCGGAGGCTTCACATTCACTGATTAGCGATTACTACCTTCTTGTGGGGTTTTATCGCCCTAGGTAGCTTTTGGGCTGCTCCGTTTAGATCGATTCATGGATTTGGTCATTTCGCCCCGCCGCCGTTGGTCGTCGTAGGACTAAGTTACTTCAAGATGATTTTGAGTAAGAATGTATGTATTACTTGCATATGTTGGTAGGTAAGTTGATGGCTGTATGGCGAATGGCGGATGGCGAATTTTTACGGTTGTCGCATCGCCCTCTCTCTCTGCATGCCGCTAAATACACAGCCCAATGAACTCAATTCTATTGAGGCAATCAATATGACCGTGGCATCTCTCTTCATCTTTCAATACCTCAAATATCTATTCCCAAATAACTCGAGTTATTAAAAAAATAAAAAAAAAATAAAAAAATACTTACCTGCCTAGCACCTAATATAACATTACTGGCTCGTTTACTGTTTAAAATGACTTCTCAAGATATCATAAATGCTACCTCAGATGTGGGAGGCTCGTCATGGTCCTTCGATGTATCTTCCTTCCTTGTCTTGTTAGGGGAGCACGAGGAAGTCAAATTTCGTCACATGCGCCGCTCGCTGCTCGAGTGTTTCTGTTCCGTCCCCGTTGCAGGTCTACAGTCTTATCTTAAGAAGCCAGACAGCGTCTTCAATGCGACCGGTTTACAATATACAAGTCCCTATGGCAGTAAGACTGCGCTTTTGAGGAACATGAAATTGAATTACTGCCTGGAGTCTAAGGAATTGCTTAACGATGGCAATTACGCTGTTTTTTCCATACCTCATGATGGCGAAGGCCAGGGCGCCCAGAAGAGCATCTTTCCTCTCGATCTCGCCACGGCCTGCCTGAGTTTGTTAAGTTGGGTTAGTACTGCGGGTATAATTACATTCCTTTGTCTCTACGAAGGAGCAAGTTGGATTGGCCTCGCAGGCTGTTTGATTCTTTCAATTTACTCGATTATTCTGAAAGTTGCGGAGAGAATATATGCCCAGCCAGCCGATTTAGTCACTAGCGGCGTAGACGACATAGATGCCATATACATTCTCGGTCGTCGGAATTCCTGTTTTGTGCTCGAAGGGAGCCGAGGGGACATTGCGAGGATGACAGGTCAAGGGCTACGCATGCGTAAGGACAAGTTCGCTACTGCGACTGCAAATTTCACCCGGGTTGGAACGTTCTGCGTCCTTGTATTCATCTTCGCTGTGATACCCAACGGTACAACTTGGGACCAACTAGCTTTCGTGGCTTTGAACGTCCTGGGTCAACTGAACGTGGTTGTCGGGCAGAAGCTGAATACCGCGAGATTCTTTCGAAAATTGCGACTCGTCGAACATAACGAGAATATCGCCAGCCGTACACATGTTTATGCAAATCTTATCCGAAGGTTCGGAAACGGATCATGGGTCGACGAGGTTGATTTGTTGCCCCGGACAGGATTGTGGCAGGAATGGAGAAGAGCGATAGTTAACGAGCCTCACAAGGATGCAAAACTCTTGTATGACCAGTGCAAACACCGCAAATCGAACAAGTCAGGAGGGGAAGAGGATCCAAGCAAGGAAACCGTGGAGAAGCAGAAAGCTACCTCGACCGGAATAGAAGTACGTAGATAGCCATGTCATTGAATACCTTACCTAGATCCTATATAGTATTTAGTCCTGCTCAGTCCTGCTTGTACATCTCTAAAATTGCGCTTAAATGGTCATCATCAAGCGGCTGCTTCCTCCGGGTTGCCAACATTTTGGCCAGCTTTACCACATTTTTGATCTGTCTCCCGTTCATGTCATGAGAAGCAAGACCACGTAATCTACTCTCACCCTGGGCCTCATCCTGGAAATATGCCTCTTTCCCGATAAAGTTCTTCCATACACTCAATCGAGAATCTTTCGAAAGTTGGCTGAAAGGAATTGTCAAGTCTATCCTCGATTGGAACGCGACGTCGATACTATCTTTCCTATTCGTCGTCAAGAACATCATACCCTTGAAGTATTCTAGTAGTCTTAGGAATACTAGACGTAGTTAGTGTGAGTGTGCCAATCCAAAGCTACCTACTATGAAACACTGAAACAGGGCTGAAATCTTACTGGACGCCAACTCATTCCTTTGCAAATTCGACTTGTTTCTCTTTTCTAGGAATACATCTGCCTCGTCAAGAAGTAACACGGCATCCCACTCCTGGCAAAGGGTAAGTGCCTGGTATAGCTGGCGTTCTACCGTCTCTGGGGATATCCCCAATTCGCCAGCGCTGAGTGGGTAGAGTGGAACGCGCATTTGATCCGCAACTATTCATATTAGTGTCGGGATCTTGCATAGGTAGGTACTTGAGGTACCTATGTACCTATGTACCTAATTGAGAATAAAAAAGTGGAACTCACTCGACTCGGCAGTCAAAGTCTTCCCCACCCCCGGAGGTCCGGCGAGAAGTATTATGACCCCATTTCCTTCATCATGTTAGTCGAGTTGGAAGTTAACGTTATCGCATAAGCAACGGATGGTTGTCAAACCTTTCCCAGCGACAACATCGTCAAACTGAGTCGATTGCTGCAGCTTCGTTTCGGCAAATCCGAGAAGAAGTTCCTTCTCGTTTGTTCCAAGAACCAAGCGGTCGAATGAATTATCCCAAGTAATGTCGGATATGTTGCTCACAAACAGATCGTCTAAAACTTCGTCAGCTAGTCTTATCATGGATAGTAGCGGAATATTGCCTAGTGTCGACTTACACCACTTCTTCTTTGACAAGGAGTATCCTCTAACTAGGGGACTACATATGAGACGCTCGGAATCGTCTATGGTTACTGGGTCTATCACTTGGGTTTTCTGACGGTCTCTGACCTTCCCATCCCACATAGCAGCGTCCACGACAATGCGCCCAGATATCTAATAAATGTAAGTAATGATATTTCGTGTAAAATCTGACTTTGTGGATTCTCACCCCATCCCATTGTGGTTTATCTTCCATCTGTTGTTTTTTGGCCATACCCAAGCCCAAGTATTCTTTGTAATGGCACCCAGTAAGAGCAATGAACTTTTCCCCACGTTTCAAGACTGCTTCTCTGATGGCTATTCCGTTGGGCTTTCTTGATAGTGGAACGACATTCAATTCTGCGATGGGACGGCTTCCGGTGAATGGACAAACGCATAGTTGGCACACCTGGTCTTGCAGCGCAAACCCATCCCAGATCCTCTGCTTGCAAAGTATCGAGAATTGAGATTCCTGCTGGTAGGTATCCAACACCTTTCCGACGACATGGTTCCGTTGAAGGTCCCACCAGACAGCCTCATTGGGTCCAAATAATAACCACAGGTGACTGTACTCGATGACTCCATGCTTATCTGCATCTTGCAAGATTTTGAAGTATGGCATCAATTCCTTTTCTAGAACCTTAACGAAACCATCAATGTGTCGTTTCACGTTCTCATCAGCTAACTCGATCGCCCTGCGGAATTCGCCCCAACGATGAAACATCGGTTCAAAGGGACTTTGCAATTTTATCGTGTCAAGGGCCGGCGAGACTCCAGGGTATCCGTCTAAACAGCGCCGAAGAATTTCCATGATGTGAGGGCTTTGGACAACTATCGAGTGTACTGTCCATGGCGCATTGCCGCCATTGGAGGTCTTGCGTACCAGGTACCCTGCGTCGTCATATCCCTTAGAGTTATGCTCATGCTTAGCTCCACGGGGAGGTTCGTCTTGCCAACGAAAAAAACCATGGCCAATTTCCTCTCCGTAAAGCACCTGTTCTTTAGCGGGAATAGTGCCGGTCTCGCGTAAATAGTTTTCTAAGATGGCCACTCGGCCCTGCATGAGGGGCAAGCCCGTATCTGTGTTCTTCATCCATATTGGAGTTGCTGGATGGAGTCGGGGGAAAGGTGGGAGTTGTGCAAACTGTTGGGCCATCACGAAGGCAATTTTTCATGAAGTACTAGATGGTAAGGAGAACAAGAAAAAGAAGGAAAGGTAGACACGAGACATGTACGTAAGTATGGGTATGAAAGCGAGCTCAAAGCGGGCGTGGGAGAGTGGCTGTAAGTCTCAAAAGGTTGAGTAGCAGAGCCTCATCTTCCCATATAGTTGGGCACAAACAGTTGAGCCTTAAAGGCAAAATCTTTTGCGGCTAGAAAACGAGGATGACGCATCTCTACCTAGTACGTAGGTAGGCAATTTCTCAATTTGGTATGATTTGATCGTTAATATTGCTGATATCATGATATCTAGGCCGGGCGCCCAACGAACGATTCGCATGCAATTGTCGCCTACCAAAAACAAGCTGTCCGCCTCTCATTGGGTATGGAATATATGAGCCATGTAATAAAATACTTGGAATCGATGCATAAATGCGACTGAAGTAAGGCTGTGTACCTGCCTACATGGTAAAAGTGTGAAGCCACTAGGTACCGAGCAATGACCTGTACAGAATCTGATGGCAGTCTTCTATTGGTACGAAAGTCATGCACGGAAAAGCTTGACATTGACTCATCAACACAGCGATATAACAGCATCTTGACTATATATTGTATCCTATTCGGGCAATGGGCATTAGGTACCTACCCAGTACATAGGTACCTACATATAGGTAGTATATAGGTTGTAAAAGACCTAATGATATACTAAAGAGAAAAGGACATATCTAGGTTAATCATCGTTCAGATATTACCACCACTATTCCACAAGCCTATCGACAACTACCTTCTCCTGTCGCTCGCTCACTCTGCGACGGTTTTCATCCACGGGATTATCCCCCTGGGAATACACGACTAAGGTAACCCCCATGATAACCTCCTGAAGGGTACATCCCTGGCCGGTCCTCTAGAGGCTGATATACACACCTGGGCAGAGAACACGCAGCATGGATCAGGGTCAGGAAACTTTGAGCAATCAACCCCAACTCGGGCCAGTGAATCCATTGTGGTTATCAACCTTCGATTCATCGGCGTGGAATAAACTTCTCGTCAACTTCTCCATATCGGAGGAAAGCGGCGTGTCTAAGTTAAACCAGCGTCTGCCTGGTGGAGATACTGGACTTCACCTTGCCGTCCAAGAAGGCAATCTTGATTTGGCCCAGTTCTTGCTCCAAAATGGTGCCGATCCGAACATTCTTAATGCGGATGGCTATGCGCCGCTGCATTTGGCGGTCATGAAGCCCCGCCACGAACATATACAATTGCTATTGAAATACAAAGCACAGCCTGACATTTTTCGCGGACCTTCCGCCGGCCGGGCGGGCTTACCCTATGCCACTCCTCTACATCTAGCTATTGAGAAAGGGGATGCCCTAGCGGCCACTGCGTTGCTCAGAGGGAAAGCCAACGTGAACATTTCTGACACCGTAAATTTCTCGACACCGTTGTCACTGGCGGTACTTAAGGGTAATGACGAGATGGTTCAGCTCCTTTTGACTGAGGGTGCAAATCCTGACGGCGACCGCCGCGCATCACACTGCCCTCTTATAGTAGCAGCGGTAGACGGACGATTTGACTTAGTGCAGACCCTTTATTGTTGTGGTGCCGACCTAAATCTACGGGACGAAGATGGTGACCCGGCAATCCATAGCGTTGCGATCCAAGGAAACATGGATATGGTCAAGCTTATACTTGGTATCTCTGATGATACTTTGGATTTCCAGGGTACTTCTGGTAGGCCTGCATGGTGGTTTGCACAGAAATATGGACATACGGCTGTCATGGAATTGTTGAGAGAAACAATGCAAAAAAGACAGAAACGGCCTCTCCGGGAGTTCTCGCCGGACATCGACGATGACTCTGGGCAGCAGTTCGATGAGATCGGATTGAACAAACTGCTGGGTGATACAACACGAGCTCAACAGTACGCCTATCGCACTCAGGATCCGTCGAAGCCAGAGATGTGGAAAGAGCGAATACGGTTCATTATCAAGGCCGAGGAGGGAGAGGACCATGACTTCGAGGTAATCGAACCCTATCGCGACGGCAAGGATAGCCTCGAGCCTTTCGTTGCAGTCTCGTATTGTTGGGCATCCCACGAAAATACAGGTAAACTTCGGATAAAAGTCCCTAAGAAAGATGGCTCGGGACCGATGATCAGGCCTACGCGCGCAAGTACACAGGTTATACTGAGAAGCCTTGAATTTGCGCATTCTAAGGGAATTAAACGGGTATGGATCGATCAGGAGTGTATTCACCAGGACGACTCAGATGATAAGCGGCTTCTTGTTGGCACGATGCATCGTCTTTATCGGCAGGCGACACTCACACTAGCCATACTTGGAAATCATATCCAGTCAGTTGATGACATTGAAGCGATAAAGGACCTTTACGACACAACGGGTCGTCCACATGTCGAAATCCTGCGCAATCGTATATTCAATGACAGGTGGTTCAAACGTTCCTGGACGACCCAGGAGGCGATTAGCGCGACCAGAGATAACATGGTCTATTTAATTGGATGGGAAAGTGATTTAGACAGTTCCAATATCCATTGGAAGCAAATGGCAGCGTCGCTTTCGAAGGCATTCCCCAGGCAGACAGTATCGAGAGAACTGATTCTCGACGGCTCGAACAAGTGGAGTCTCTCATTCCACATATTTGATGGTGGGATGGCCATGACCAACTCATTTATGGAGAGGTCAGTAGCCTCGACAGGGTCCTTCACGCTGTGCAGTTTTGACATAAAGCACCACCCATGGTATGCTTCTAGTGAGGGTGATTGGTAAGGCACATCTACTTTGTGATTATGGACGAATCTGACAGTTGTATAGGGCGATAGCCAACAAGATATCTCAGAAGCTTCTTCCTACAGCAGTATCAATATCCAATTCGATAGCCACGCTCTTTGGATTCTCTGGCAAGGAGGAATATACTCGTCGTTGCGATGTCGATCAGTCGAATCACAAACACAGTCTAAGCGACGTGTCTCGAACCGACCATCATGCAATATCCATAATCGGGGCATTGTCGTCACTCAAAGGAAAACGAAACCTAAAGACAATAGATAGGTTGAGTATACTTGCAAATTTGGCGCGTTACGAATATCATCTGGATATAGCTGCTATTCTAGAAAAGGAGCCTAAGATCAGCTATTCTGCATGCATCCTCGCGCTTGCATTCATAAACGGAGACCTGAGTCTCCTAACGGACCTCAGGTTCCTCGATCCAGCTGATTCGCACAACATTGAGCCATCATGGCTAATGCCAAATACTTGGCTGGCTGAATCACAAAATCAGATTGAATTAATGCCCAGGCATACGTTTACCGGCAAGATTACGGGCATCGGCAATCCTTGTATCGTGATGGAGGACAAGCTCCTGGCACGAGGGGTGTTGTGGAAAATCGAGAGCTACGAGTCTCTCTTACCTCTCCAGAAAGGAATAAGATCATGCCTTGACTCTTGTCAAAAGAATAAACTACTCCGTCGCCGAGCAGGGTTAGAAGTTCTGAAGGCAACCGTCAAGCAACTCTTCGTGACAGGGAATGATTCTTTGGTTCCTCTCGTCGTCATCCTTGCCCGGAAGGATAAATGGGAATCACCCGCTGAAGTTCGATCTACCGTGCAACAATTGCAGAATTGGCATCAGAAAGGTGGTAGTTGGCCGTGTCAAATCCATCCTGATTACGGGTTTGGCGGATCGGGGAATAAGCAAGGCGAGGACTCAGTTGAGTATGACAAACCCTTCGATACCAATGTGTTCGAAAACGCGGAATTCCAACAGGATTCAACCCCCCTAACGGATGAGGTGCTGGAAAAGATTATTCCAACAGATTGGGGGATTGGGCTGCTACGATGGATCTACCTAACGATTTACTTTGGAGTCCCCCTGGCCCTCGGCAGATACCAGCTACAACACGAAGGTGAAGATGATGATGTAGATGAGTATGCGATTTTCAAGCTGAACCCAAAGAAGTCGAAGATGGTATTTGTGCCACTCGGGGAACTTAATTATGAGTTTAACGGTGGACTACACTTTGAGGTATCCTCTGTTAAGGATCTCTTCTGGTGCGTGCAAGAGAGGCACGAGCATACAGTGCCGATTGAAGAAGTACACAGAAGACTTAACGAACTCGATCAGAGTGACCGGCCAATTGCAGATGGCGCATTGTCAATTGAGCAGTCTAAAGATCTTGAAGGATGTTGGTCTCCCATGCTTTGCTCCAATGGAGTTTTGAAATGGGATGACAAATTACGGTCATACCATATGACCACTCCGAAAGATTGTAAGTAGTACCCCCTTCTCTAATACACCTATTTCTACTGGTAAATTCCAAGTTAACAAACGGTGTCGCAGTTGCATCATACCGCATATTTGTATAAAGGAACGAAATACCCGGAGTTAAAAAGGGGTATCGTATGTATTGAGATATAGGATATAAACCTGTTAGAGTTTACTAGTTCGAGTTATGAGATGTTGGATGGGTAATAGGTAGGTATATAGGTAGAAAGGGTATAATTCGCCAATGGTAATGACCGCTAAACCGAATATGAGGGACTGTAAAGAATATTGGTGCATTGGACATTCCTCCATCTTATTGTCTGCAGGTAGGGACTACCTACCCTACATAGGTACTATCCATCAAAGCACTTTCATAACAGAATACCTGAGTCGTAGTTTCTTAAAAATGTGCCAAGTCATTACTGCAAGCACGTACTAGGTAATTAATCGTTCAACTTTAGCTAATATGTTCACATGGCGAGATAACCAGCGACACCCTTCTCCCCCCAACTATCCCCTAGTCATCGACTCTGAACGCATTGCCTATCCCTCAAAGCTTGTAAAGTAACAATAAAATACGTTGAAGTAACGCAATACGTATAAGGTGTATTGGTAGACACTTTAGCCGAGTACACTTACATTCCCCTATTTCCATGTCTCTTCATAGGTGGTCGTTGCCCAGCAGGGGTTTCAACCGAGAAAAATCACACGATAGCGACTCAAGTCAACGCAAAAAATTCCCAACTATCCATATCGGCAATCCTGGTTCTCGTCGCCGGGCAAATCTCTCTTCTGCTTTTGCCTGCCTCTTTGACAAGGATGAGAACCGCCAAATTCCCCTATTTCCTGCCGATGGAAATAACACAAAGGAGTTGTTACCACTTTCGAATCGCATCGAAAATATCCCATCACCTTCTAGGCTGAAAGACGGAAAACAAGATCCACCGATTCACCAACTGGATGCTCCCAATTATAAAATTCCCAAGGATCAAGTTGCTGATATTTTTACCAAACAAGATGAAGTTTTAAAACAGCTTCATCCAGTCGTACTGTTGAACGAATGTGGACTGCATGTCCGGTCTTCAGGAGTAAACACTTTGGGAGCTATAAAGTCGCCAACAAACTTCCCTAGTGTTCGCAGTGCCTCGTCATCCTATCCTTCAGAAGGTCTCCGCTCTCCACCCGAACATTCGGTCTCACCACCGCTAAATACTTGGTCCGAAAGTTTCATGTCAGAGATGACTCGATATGGGCCTTATCCATCGCAGAAGAGTTCAAGCAGGTCCACTATCTCGACAACCGATATTTCAACCCCTAGTGATAAGGTTGGCCAATGTCTCATGGAAGAACTGGCTGCAGTTGGCGGCATCTCCGATTCGGAAACGAGGACAACCAGTAGGGATTATACCAGCAACCCTCTTTCGGATATTACAACAATTGGATCCTCGAAAGAATTAGAGGACAACTCCTCCGAAACCTGCCATGATAGCGAGTCCACCACCAGGCCCGAACAAGAGGTTCGGGGCTTATCCCTTACCCGTGGAAATGGAATACATTTGTTAGATGGTCAATTCTCAAGTACCTCGGCTGTTTATGGAAGCTTTCTTGAGTTAGAATCATCTTTTCGCCATGGCTCTTCGTCTGAAGAATTTCCATTTCGACCAAGTAACACGGGCTCTTTGGACCGTCTGCGCCAGAGCATAGAAACAAGTGAGACGCGCCCTACAAAGATTCAATGGGGGAAGTGCAACACCATGCCCGCGTCCATATCGCAAAAGCCTCCTTTACGAGATCGCCTCGCTATAACATCAGCGCACTTCGATAACCAAAATTTACCAGGGTTGCACTTCAGGGGCTCCAGTGAGTCTTCAAGTAATCTGGTCCAACGAATCCATAAGTTCAAGTTCAGAAAATGGATTAAAAAGGTATGCCTCAGAACCAAGGTGCGCTTCGATAGCGCCATCAGGATCGAAGCATCGTCGCCAAAAGCGTTGGGTAGGAGAAAGTTGATATCTCAGAAATTGCAGCGAGCGAAGCGGGGTAAAGGGGCCTATAAAGCTAAGTCGAAGCCGAAGAAGGTTCATTGGAAACATCCCAAAGTCGCGACGAAAATCGGGGGGAAGCCTAAGGATCAGAAGGGTAGAGGGCATCGCTTCATACGTTCACTCCACAAGAAAAACAGCATCCAATTGCCGGTACAATTGCCCGACGAGGAAAAGTCCAGTGTCGGCCACAGGAGAGTACAGTCTTGCCCGGCTTAAGAATAGTTGATATGGAATAAGAGGATGGGTGCATTGCGGTGTGAGTATGGATCACTTGGGTATTGCTTGAAACCAAAGGCCATTCTGTTAGGTTAGAAGGTAATGTTCATAAGGAACATGGATGGGTATCAGGTCTGGACCCTCTCACCCGGAGTTAGTCGGAGTTAGCATGATATAGTACCGTAGACCGACCTAATTATAACATGGTACCTGAAGAGAGATGGATTCTCTAAATGCTATCAATTGTGATACTTGACAATTCATAGGATATTTCCGTGTAAGTATAAAATCTAATATTCGTCAAATCGTGCATCCTCCAGAGCCTCTAGTTAGGGGAGTATGTTGCCCCCTAGTTCCGCTTATGTCTATGAGTCCTCGTCATGCCGAAACCCCAACCATCTATACCGCACGAATTCTCATTAGCAACAACCCGAAAAGACCGATATAAAAGAGGGAGGGGAGTGATGGCAGGTAACTCACATTGACTCGGCACATGGATATCCAAGTCCAACTCATCCGCCCAATGCCAAACCAAATCCGGATCCTTCAAGAACGCGCGCCCAACCACAATCGCATCCGCGCTGCCCGCGTCCAGAATCCCTTGCGCTTGCTTCCCCGACGTGATCTCCCCTACCGTTCCCACCAACGCCCCGGTTCCTGCTACCGCCTTCCTGATCGCATCCGCGTACGGCACTTGGTACCCGGGCTTGGCGGTGATACGCTGGCGAGCGTCGGTTCCACCACCCGTCACGTCGAGGAAATGGACACCTCGCGCCACGAGGATTTTTGACAGCTCGATGGCGTCGGAGAGTGTCCACTGCGGCGTGTCGGGGTCGTGCTCGAGGTAGTCTGTTGCGGGCACCCGCGCGAGGATCGGGAAGCCGCTTGGGACTTCGGCTTTGAGCAGGTCGACGGCTTCGAGGTACAGCCGGATGCGGTTCTCGAAGGAGCCGCCGTATTCGTCGGTGCGCTTGTTGGAGCTGGGCGAGAGGAACTCGTTTAGGAGATAGCCGTCTAGGGGGTGTTAGTTTTTTCTGGGCCCTTTTGGGAGGCAGGTTTGTGTTTCTTTTGCTGTTGGATATGGAAAGGGATGAAATTGATAAGATCTTGGGATATGAGTTTTTATATGTACGTACGAGCTCCGTGAACTTCGATGGTCTATTTTACGTGTTAGAATTTCTAGAAATTCATTCATTGGATGTGGGATGAGTAACTTACATCTACACCGGCTTTCAATGCACGACGAATTGCGGCAACCCAATCCTTTTTGAACTTTTCGATGTCCTCTTTGGTCGCCTCTCTAGGGACGAGCGTTTGTGCGCTGTAAGCTTCAGGGGACGGGGCGATTACATCATCTGGCCATCCTTCGGACTATATCAAATATTAATTTGAGTATACGATTGAATTTGGTAGAAGTTCAGTCCTTGACTTACATGTTCGCGAGCCGCGGCTTTTCGATCAACCCAGGGAGCAACCGTACTTGCTTTACGCCCGGCGTGGGCCAGCTGCACGCCAATCTTCACGCCTTGGCAATGCGCGAATTCTACAATCTTCTGCAACGGCTCGATTTGCCCATCCTCCCAAAGGCCTAGGTCCTGGGGTGAAATGCGTCCTTCAGGTGAAACGGCAGTAGCTTCAGTCAGAATGAGACCTGGTCCTCGGGCCGCGAAACTTCCAAGGTGAACTATAATAATAAGATCAACAATGTCTTCATCTAGAAAGATGCTTAAAATTGGGCAAAGAGAAGGCAAGCTCCAGGAACTTCATACCGTGGTGCCACATAGTCATGTACCCATCTTTGGCGGAATATCTAGAGACAAAACGATTAGATCTACCAAATCCAAAGTAAATAGAGATAACCAAATAATTCTCACTGGCACATGGGTGAGACGATAATTCGGTTATGAAGAACAGTCTCATTGATCTTTAGGGGGGAGAATAATGAGCCTTCTGGCTGAACATCCCACGGAGATCCCGCCGGAGGGTCTTGGATTGGCGTGAAGAATGGAACCTTTCGAACTTGTGAGCGCATATCTCTAAGATACATCATGTCGATGTCCTATATTGATGGAGTCTTACATTCGGAGCGCCGTGATTTATCAAATGCTTCTCGGTCGAGCAAGGCTCACCGGCTACAGGAGCTTGATCAGCTTGAACTACTACTTTCGCCATATCGGTTTGAGACAAGGGGTTAAGGAGTTTCTGTGATGAAGAGAGAGTGTAACCGAGATTGTAAACAGAAACGCTAGAGTCGGTTCATATATACTCTAGATATAAAATCTTATACCTTAGGTAAAGTCCCTTGCAAGCGATAGGCTCTTAATATCCTCCCGGCTCTTGCGACATATACATACATTATCAAATTGACTTTCTGGAGACCTTGGCAAATCCCTATAATCCAATTAGCAGACGTCAGGCGTTAATCATGGTAACTTTCTAAGCAGGCTGTCCCTTAGTAATGCCCATACATGATTCCCCTCGTGTGACATGACTTGGGCACTGCATATGAACCCGCCAAATGATTACGTGTTAGAAAATTGCTAGACCTACTTAGGTATCATTCCACGAGAAGCTTAAATAACCCTTGAGGAGAAGGCCTCTCCACATATAGCTCGTTAACGTTGATATCTTCAATTGGGAATAGGCGCTATTAAGGTATTCCATATTAAAAGATAACATGATTCTTGGACGATGCATCACGTATTTGGCCAATTAGATGTGAGTTTTGATAGGCTATATCCGTTCTATAGGACCGAATAGACTATACGCTCGAGTGCTTTAAATAGTGTTGAGATAGTTAGCTTAATTGAACTCTATAGAATTTCTCTTCGTTGGCCTAATTTAAAACTCCACGGTGTTTGTAAGGTGGAAATATGAGGGGGAAATAGAGGAAGAAAAAAAAAAGCAAAGTTAACAAGCACTGATTATGACGCAATACAATCTATGTGAGTATCAATCACCGTTACACAACATTATTCCCTTTTTAATGAAAATATGATCCCAGGTTTCAGCGCCACGTCCACCAAGTCTTCAATAAACGGACGAATTGAACATTTTTATTGGCATATAATAGTCGGAGAAACTATTGAGCTGCGTTTACCAATTTGAGAACCAATCCCTGAGTGGTAGATTGGTGAAGATGGCTTGATCATTGCCGTTCTTTGATGTTGATCATACGCCGGTTGTGCGTATGCAGTTGCACAAGGCAATTGTATGAATTGCTAGCAAGAGATATGTATATTTCGCTTATTCCGGAAAATATTATTAATTTTTACATTTACTCTAGATTGAGAGCCGAGGCTGCTGGTTCATTCGCGTAGGCATTGAATTCAATGATTGTGACTTCCCAGCCGAGATCTACGATGCGGAATAAAACGGCTCGCATCGCACCTGCATCTCTAAATAAAGATTGCTTAGTCCTAGAATTTATAAGTGCAAACGCTAATCCGTGACTCAGAGTTTACACGCACCCTCCGAGCTCCGAGCATCACCCGTGACCCAGCCACAAGGATCCCACTGCTTGATCGTCCGCCGGTAAGAATCCGGTTTCCCAAGTTGAGATCTTTCCGTTCCTGATGTCCCCTCTCCGCCGTCCGCTAATTCGCTCTAGCACATCTCTTTTCCGGAGCGAGCCGCAAATTGTGTCCGGAATAGGCAAGCTGAACTGAGGCCTTTTCTAGAATGTTACTAGTCATCTATGAGCTATCAGATCATCTGCATGAGCTGCATTGGACCTAGTGAATAGCTTCAGCAGTCGCAAGCTATGTGAACCGTTTTAATTATTATATGAATAAATATGCCCGTTCTTGCTCCAATCTCTTATGTGCTGTGCTTCATTAGATATTGATTCATAGTCGTCACATTGAAACGAAATCATAATTTAATCGCAACCCGAACCTGTAAAACTCACGCGTCAACTTATCCGTCACCTACAATGGCATCCCAAAAACCCGTCATCGTCATCATCCACGGCGCCTTCTTTTCGCCGATGCACTATAGGAGACTGATCGACCCATTGCGTGCCCAAGGATATGTCGTTATAAGCCCGCCCATGACTACAACAGGCCTTGACGACACTGTGGGGGGCAAGACTTATGTCGACGACGTGAACCGCATCCTCGAGTATCTTACTCCCTACTTAGATGAGGGGAGGGAAGCTGTAGTACTTGGACATAGCCAGGGCGGCATCGCAGCTAGTGCCTTGACTGAGAACCAGACCGTGGAAGACCGCAAAGCCAAGGGGTTGAAGGGAGGCATCAAAGCAGTCATATATCTCACTGCCCTCGCTATTCCTACGAAAGGGGCTACTTTGATGGGTATTCTGGGAGGCACGCCGCCACCAATCTATAAAGCTGAGGTTTGTCGTATAATCTCATCATCCCAACTCTAGGAACCTTGAACTTGCTGGTTTCATACTAATGCGATGTGATATTTATAGGGTCCTTTCTATGTCCTAACCGAACTAGCCCTCTCTCCACAAGCCGGCGACCTGAGGATACCCGAAGAAGACCGAATAGGTCTGTCGAAGAGCTTAGTGCATCAGAGTAAAGCCAGCCTCGAAGCCCCGGTACAATATACTGCAGTTGACGTCACTGTTCCTAAAACATACATCGTATGTTCCGAGGACCCGTCCTTACCGGCTGCTCTTCAGGAGACTATGGCTGAAACTGCTGGTTGCAAGATCGTGAAGATTGCAGCTGGTCACTTTCCATTTTTAGAGAGTGTCGAGAAAGCGAAAGAGGTTGTTGATATCATCGTGGAGGTTGCTGGGCAATGATGAGACTAGGTAAGAATGGGAATAATGACCCTAAATATAGATCATCTCTCAGCTCAACCTTTTGTACAATATAAAACTACCTTGTAGGTATCTGTATATTATTAAACGTCAGCCATATTAGGCCAAACCAACTGAAGCTAATCAACTTTACCTAAATGACGATAATTCACAATGTCTGAACTCTCAATTGAACAGGTTCTTTTGTAATTTTGTCAGCATTACAACTTAGGTATTTGTTTAACTCCCTAGTGCTGAGATCTTGTCAAGGGTATCGTAAAAGCAATGTATTTATTGTACGATACGGGTTCACTGTGAAGACAGGGATATACAATATTGCCAAAAGGTGCTCTTACGGCATTGAGTAAAGCAATATAATTTTTACAAGGCGTAGAACCTTAGCAACTAGCAAAGACAAAAATTAAAGGGAACCAACAAGCAGAGAAAATGGTAATAGTCCATTCCGTACTTATGTAATGCAACGATCTGTACCTAACAACTCAATCCTATTTTACAGCCATTTTTCCCTACTGACGTAACTCCTCGAACGCCTGTCGCTGCAAATATGCTACAGCAATCATGCTTATTCATCGTCGGCAAGCTCCTCGACTCTGGGAGCTACATATGCTCGCTGCTGCGGAGCAGTCTGGACTTGAGTAGTTGTCGCGGTGGTGGTTGCGGTCGCCGGAGGAGGGTGGCCTGTGTGGCCTGCAAGTTGAGCGGCGGATTCGGCATTGACCGCGTTGGAACTCTTCTTCTTCTTCTTAGGCTTCGTAGTCTAAAAATAGTTAGTAAGCGCCTTTCAATATAATGTCAAGTAACAACTCACCTCATGCCAAGCCCACACTGGGCGGAAACTATCCATGAAAGAGACATCCTCCCAGAGGTTAGGGTACAGCCACAGACCAGGGGGTACAACGAAGTACGTGATGCAGAATAGAATGACACGGAAGATAGCCATGAGGAAGAATAGACCAAGAAGCATCAAGAAACCCCAACTAAGGTAGTAGACGCCCTGTCGCAAAACAAGTGGCCATAGCGGGTATAAGACGACGATGAAGATAAGGACCAATGCAAGGGCAGCGTAGACTTTGCGCATAATCTGGCTACCCTCGTACAACCAGACATAGTACATGTCATCAGCGGCATCTTGCTGCTGCTCGATCCTGACGGTCCAAAGTCCCTTAATCCGCTTTCCTTTCTTGGGAGGATGGTCATGCCCTGCGTGGGGGTCTACCTTGCTGACACGTAAGGCCAACATGGACATAGGTAGCAGTTTAAAGGTGTTCTCAAGCGATGCGCGATCAGTGATTTCGGGAAGTCCAGGGTTCTTAGCGCGGAGCTTCGCATAGGCGGGTGATTGGAGAGCTCGGAGTGCTCGCTTGACTGATGAAGAATTGTGTAAGTTGCATATAAGATATAAATAGCCTTAGGTTTGACTATATAATTATAGTCAACAACTTGAACTTACCTCTGAACATATCCTTGCGCTCTCCATTGATAATACAAGTACGTGGCTTCAAAGGCTGACCCCTCAGGAAATTGGCAAGAGTAACTGCGAGGGGATTGGGAGGACCGGGACGGATAGGCTGAGGTTGACCTTGGGCTCCCGGAGGAGGACCGGGGCGTGGCGGTCCCTGAGGTCCTTGTTGTCCCTGCTGCTGCTGCTGCTGCCCTCCTTGCTGCTGAGCTTGGCCACCTTGGCCTTGCTGTTGTTGCTGCAGCTGCGCTTGTCTCTGAGCTTGCTGCAACTGTGCTAAACGTTGTGCTTTGATGTTCTCGATGAATTGAGGAACGGTCATGCCATGTTTCTGGGCTTCAGCTGCAATTTGTTGTTGCATGGCGGCAATCTGCTGAGGCGATGGCATCTGGCCTCCAGGGCCCACTGGTATTGGGATAGCTCCCGGAGGAGGAGTAGGAGCTTGCATGGTGATTAATTCTTACGCGTCTTTCCGATTGATGATTTACAAGAGCGAAGTGAAGGGAAAAAGAAACAAGGAAAAAAGTAAATAATTAACGGTGAGAAAGTGGAAAGGGACGATGGAGTTTAGTCAAGTCCTTTCCAAATGGATAATTTTGGTCTGACGCAAACCGAACAACCTGTCATTCTCAGCCTTACCTAAGGAAATTTTAGCACTAACGTAGGTACTTCCTTCCATTATTCCATACAACTTCCATGGATTAGCCGGCACTCTTTGTGCACGGACCACATAAATCGTTCATGTCAAATACATATCTACATGGGTATACGTACCCATAAATCTGCAGCCAATTAATTCTCGTATCGATAACATTTGATTATTAATGAACTAGGATCTTTAAAGATTTAAGATTCAAGATTCAAGATTCACTCAATTCTTCGTAAACGGTGGAAGGTGAAAGGTGAACATTTTTAACAATCGGATTAATTCAGCCCTACCTTCTAGAAATAATTGACCGAACCAGATCTTTGTCAGATCGATCAACTTATTTTTCAAGATCTAAAGATGCTGAAAGTTCTTTTGACCGACGATATTGCCACACCTTTTTATAATCAATAACTAATGTTGGATGATGGCGTTCTTTATGTTCTGATGTTCCGATGTTCTTACACCTCCTTACGTCGTCGTCTCCGGCCAAATGATGGTTCATTTCTAAAACAAACCGATGCGCTTACGATGGCCATGTTACCTTGACGCGTTAAGCAGACATCTAATTATTTTGAAAATAAGAGAAAAAACATTTAACCAGGTAATAATAGAAACTCGATGTGAAACAGATGGGACAATCAACAAACAACACGTTCAACCTTGCGACCTGGAAGAGTTGGCAGAGTTCCCCATGGCAGAACTAACTCAAACTAGGTACCTACCTACATAACTAACAAAGCCACTTCGAGCCACTTGCTTCGCTCCATCTGCGGATATCCGTCCAACCCTATCCATATTTTGACACTTCTAACTTCTGCAATGTAAAACAAAAAAAAACGCGGTCTCCCGAACATGCTACCGTGTGGAGACATCTTCTTCACGCAAAAATACTATGTACGCACCTAGTACCGTTTTTATTGTCTGACGAACCATAAGGCAGACGCCCATCGTCATCCATTGAAACTCACTCCGTCGGGGATGACGAGAGACATGCGCTTGCAGGCTTCCCACGCTTTCCGACTCCAAAATGCCTTAGCTGGTTACACCTAAGGCCAATCTTCGAAGCCCACGAGACACCCCCTCTCGGGATTCTGTGGCAATGTTCCTCCAAAACATTTCTAAGGGTGGGCAAAAGGTGGATGAAGGATAAACGAAGGGTGGACTCCTTAAGTTCCTTCTGGTACTTCTAGTACTTCTAGTACATCTGGTCCTTCTAGATTGATCACGAAGCAGGGAAAACTAAGACAAAAGACTGGCTGTGCAGACTCGTCCATAATACAACTGAGTGGGGTCCTGCAATCTTGGTGTGTGTCGCCAACCATCCGACTCCCCTCCTGCACCCTGGTTCGTAAGCGCCGACTGGACCACGACTTTTACACTACAGCCTATCAACGTCACGGACATCTGCATCTAAACCGTCAACGCTTCCCATCCAAACCCATCCAAAAATCTGTAGCCCGCGAGACCCAAATAGTCAGCACCCGCTCTCAGCTGCTTAATTGTTTGAGTCTAAAAGATAGGTCCAGAAGCTAATTTCCTTTCACGTCTTTTTCATAAACATAAAGGTGTTATGGATCTCATAACTAGTTGGGGCTCTCCTTCATGGTTGCTCTTTTAGCTCTCCTAGCTCTCTTATCTCTCTCCAACCGCTGGCCGTCTTCCTTTGCGCCCAGTGCGATATGAAGTCACCATGAAAGCTCTAGGTGGGATACTTGCTGAGGCTTATGCGTCGTGGTCCTATTCTATCTCTCATTGCTGTCAATCTCTAACTTCTCATTCCGATGAAAAGACTCATCACCCTGGTAAGTATTAGATGATATACAGATAATTATTTCATTCTTCTAACCAAACTCAACTAGTCGACCATAAGTCGATAGATGTCATTTATGATGAGCCTTCGTTTATTTCGCCTCCCACCGCGGCACCGTCTTGGCCGAGTAGAGGGCCATACAGCATGGAGCGAGCTCCTAGGAAAAGGCATGGTTCCGGATGGAGTAGCTTCTCTGCGAGAAGGCTTCTAGTACGACCAGGTTCGTCGTCATCGCGCAGGCCGCATATATCTGCTCCTACCGAATTTCGTCATCTTTATTCAGAGTCTTTTCGTTTTCCGGATCATGGCCCAGCGCACGTGGGACAGCAGCCGGCTTCTTTTCGTCCTCTCGAACTCAGCATATATATGACCGATAATCGACTTTCCCCTATCTTACCTCACATTGACTATTCTACTCCTGCACCCCCACCTCCACCTCCTGTCACGCCTCCTCAACGTGCTTTCACTCTCTCGAGTCGCGATGAAGACAGTCCCCACATGACACATTCACGTAGCTACTCATCTATGTCGTTCCACATTCCTCGGAGGCCAGTCAATGGTGGGTCCGTCTTCGATTCTCCGCGATCAGATGACAGCATGCCGCAACGACCTCAGCCGGCCAAAGTTAGGAGTCGCGCGTCACCGGAAACATCGAGTCCGATGATGGAGGACCTCGTTGAAAGAGTTGCAACTGCTATGCTGGAACGGGATATGCTACAGGAGAGGATTGAGGACGTTATTGAAAGGCAGAGCATCTACATTAGCAGCCGGCCGTCAACTGCACACGGAGAGCCGGGTAGGTACCTCGGCGCAACTTAATTGTGTCCACATCAGAACACCTATTGACAAATTTGCAGAAATGGGGCCTATGCCAGACATTCCAGCGCTACCTCCTAATGCTCCCTCATTTAGCGAGCGCCTCAGCTCCGATCGCCCGCAGACTGCCCCATCTCAAACGCCAGTTCGCGCACCATATAAAGCTAACTCGTCGCGCAAAGTAGAGGGACGAATCCCTCCTCCGCCATTGCCGCTTCGACTGCGACCACCATTGCGCAAGAAGAAATCCTTTTCGCGAGTTTCTACCTGGGTGCTATCTGGAGGGGAGCACAAACGAGACATCAGCCTCGACTCCTTTACTAACGTTCCTATGCCCGTAACCGATTCCGATGGATTCTACCAAATTGCGAAACCCGAGGGAGACCAAAGGTGTAGCATCGATACGTTATCTACCAGCTCGGACTGGACTGTGGAGGAAGAACAGACATTACCGACGAGTCTATCACCTAGCAGTACGGCGACTCTAAAAGCGAGGCTGGAGCCTCCCATCTCTATTGCATCCGGACTACAACAACCGATAGTGCTGCCTCAACGGCGGAGCGTTGGTGTTGCTGTCTAATTTTTATTCTTCTGTACGATACCATTCTATGATACCATCCGGTACTGAGGGACCGTGTATATATTTACGCTACGTCATTTGGAGGCATGATATTGGGTGGGGTATATAGATGTGGGCTGGAAAATAGCATCTGAAGCTGGATCTGATCACGATGCTGGTTTATGAGATAGAACTGGAAGGTGCTGGAGCCTTCGACCTCTGGGCCTTCCCACCCGTGCTGCTGGCAATGCAGAGATGATACCCAACAGGTTAGGTAATGAAAATGAAGCCGGGCTCATACTAGGTATTTTGAGACCTCGAGAGGCTTGATTATCAGGATAAATTTAATATGGTGTTACCTTTGCGCTTATTGAAACATCAAATTTCGAAATACCCGTCTTGACATAAGTGACACCAAATATACCTAGTCGCTTTAGATCGTACTACGTTATGCAGTTTCCCTTGATTAAAGTAATATAAATACCTTGATAGGTAGGTACTTAATCAAACATCGAGACATATATCCAAGTATACTAAACACTTACTGGTAACCATTCACGATTAAGATTTTATTATAGTCTATGTTACTATTTGTAGGTACCATGTTGGGGGTGACATTTGGGGGCATATTCAAATACTAGAGTTTGGGGGACGTTTAGTTGGGGTCAATGGCAGGTGTTCCTTAGCCGTTAGCAGCTGGCCCCACTCCGCTAAATGTTTTACAGTTGGGTACAAATTGGGAGTGATTGGTTATCAAGACTTGACCACTTCGGTACAGAGATACAGCTAGATACAGTGCCCAGTGGCAATGCGGCGGTGCGGGACCTTGTACCTTGGGTTTCGAAAATCGGCGACAATTTGAAATTCACTTATTCACATCTTCACCTACTTTCGACGATATCGCATTATCGACGAGAAACACACTGCGCACATCAATCTCTCATCTATTCTCCGAAGATTCTTCACATTAAACCAGTCATACGGCGATGAAGAAAAGTAGGCGATTTTACCTTTCGCCATGGTCTTCACCGACTTGAGACACCAACTGAAGGCCTTCGTTGCCGGACGCTGGTGGCACAGATATACTCTACTTCCCGGAAATGTTTCTCATGATTCCGCAAAGAAGCGCACCATAAGCTTGATTGACACCAATTCCCGTATCTGCAGGCTCATTATCTTGGCCATAGCCTGTATCGCCTTGATCGCATTCTCTGCGATGTTCATGTATGTCCAGTAGGTTGTTGGGGTGCAACATAAATAGCTCATCTCGTACTAACCGCGACATTCTGCTTAGGGGTGACCTCTCGGCACAAAAATGCAATGGTTCCACTCTTGACCGTCACTGCAGAAACCTGCTTACTCAGTTATGGGGTCAATACACCTCTACATTCTCTGTTCCCTCTGAAATCTCACCAGACACTCCTAAGAATTGCGAGGTCACTTTCGCGCAAGCGCTCTCACGGCACGGTGCTCGTTACCCCACAGCACATAAGTCCTTAGCCTATGGTTCTCTCATTGACCATATCCACGATAGTGTAACACATTATGGCAAGGGCTTTGAGTTCATCAAGGACTATAAATATACCCTTGGTGCTGACCAGTTAACGGGTTATGGCGAACAGCAGATGGTAAAGTCCGGCCAGGTCTTCTATGAACGGTACAACCATTTAACAAGAGTCTACACCCCCTTTGTGCGTTCCTCTGGCCAGGAGCGTGTAGTTGACTCAGCAAAAAGATGGACAGAGGGCTTCCACAAGGCACGGCTGGCGGACGGGGGTTCACATGCCCCGGATACATATCCCTATAAAATGCTGGTCATCCCTGAGGCAGATGGATTCAACAACTCACTTAGTCCCGACCTCTGCCCTGCATTCGAGGATAGCAAACACGATAGTGATGATGAGCAAGACCTGTGGACTGAGAAGGTCGTGCCACCCTTGACAGATAGATTGAACCAGAATCTTCCAGGCGCTAATCTCACCGACGAAGAGACTATCTACATGATGGACCTATGCCCTTTCGAGACTGTGGCCGATGAGAAGACTAGACTTTCAAGGTTCTGTCGGTTGTTCACGATGGATGATTGGCGCAACTATGACTACTATCAGTCATTGGGCAAGTGGTATGGATTCGGAAATGGAAGTCCTCTCGGACCAACTCAAGGGGTTGGATTTGTTAATGAACTTCTTTCAAGACTTACCGGCAAGCCAGTTGATGATCATACAACCACCAATTCAACACTTGATGGATTTGAAGATACATTCCCACATGGTCTTGCCTTGTACGCCGACTTCAGCCATGATAACGATATGATGGACATCTATGGTGCACTTGGTCTCTACAATCTTACGGCCCCACTACCGGGTAATCGCAGAGTCAGTGCACAGAAAGCCAAAGGATTCTCCGCTAGCTGGGCCGTCCCGTTCGCAGCCAGGTTATACGTGGAGAAGATGACTTGCGCAGGCGAAGATGAGGAGATGGTGAGGATTTTGGTCAATGATCGGGTGATACCCTTGCAAAACTGTGGTGCTGATGTGTTCGGACGCTGCACTCTTAGCAGATTCGTCGAAAGCCAGAGTTTCGCAAGGAATGGTGGACATTGGGACCAGTGCTTTGTCTAGAAGCCTTTCAACATTTATCATTCGACCAATATTCCCCATGATATGAAGAAGATCGCTTGAAGTTCCACATCGTGGTCGAGCCTTACTTGCTTAGTTTGATATGCATTCCATAGTTAGAAATCGCGATTCTTACTGGTTAGGAGATCCTGCAAAGAACCTGGGCTGCATACGGCATGTTCCTTCAAGAGAACATACACGAAAGTCCGGCTTCGCTGGCCCCTTATCCAGTCATGACAGCACAGGATACTAATAATAACTTTAATCAACGACCATGTCGTGAATTTTCACATGGCTAAAATAGTGATTTCAGAAAGAGTAAGAATCAGTATCATTAGGCAGAATTTCTGCAAGAGTCGTAAGAGAACTAAGACATATCAAGGCTGAGAAGCGGTGCAGTGAGGTGACGATGATAGTTGATAGGCTTGAGTAGGGTCTTAAAAGTGAGACAACTCTAACAGTCTTTGAGGCTTGTCGGATCGCATATCCCACCTTTGATATGTACCTGTAAGTACATGTATGATTAGCGAGCACAGGCCACATCCACTATTAGACTTAGCCTGTATGTACCTAACGTCATTTTAAGTGGAGTCCTTGTAATACCCCAAATGCCCTAAATGCTCCATAAGAGAAGGTCCCCAATAGCCGGATCCACTGATTAAAGCAAGGGCCTGCACCTAAATTAGGGAACTCCATACCCTAGGTCCACCGAAAACGACCTAAAGCTTCCCAGTTCTTAGCTAGACCCGCACCGCAACACCCGATAACAGTTACAGACGTTGTTTCCAAGGAAGGAACACGCCGGAAACCTTGGAAGAATGTACATTTGAAAATTGTCGGAATTATCATCCATGGATGTCATCAGCCTCAACTCCAACTTCGTAAATTTCACATTCTAAGACATACTAACGACGAGATACCACCTCTTCCTTCACCAACATCTTCTGTTGTCCTATCGTCTAACACCCCACAAACAACCATCCATCCCCTCCATCCTTCGGTCTCCATTAGCTTCGCCACACTTTTCTTCGATCTGATTTTATCTGACCATTCAATTCCGTTCGTTCATCTGACGATCCTCCCCAACGAGAGAAATAAATAAAAAAAGAACCGAACAAAAACCATACCAAGTATCGCCGTAACGGACGGACCCGTAGTCCGCATTCGCGACCGAAAATGGTCAGCCCCGTCGGAACGTTCTTCATAGTCGTGCTCGTCATTGCGGTCGTCGGCCTGATCGGCTGGGTCGTCTTCACCCAGTTCCGCGCAAGGCGATTAGGCGTAAGTGCTCCATCTCCCTTCCCTTTCCTCTCTCCTGCATTTTGTCGCCGAACCAACCACCACACTCTATCCCCTCCCCCCTTCATAGCCGCATCATGTCTGTCTTACCCTACGGGCATCGCCGGTCCGAATCCCCATCTCTTCCCCATCATCCTACCCATTATCCACATCTACACCCATATCCGTAACAACACCGTATCGTCATCCCATCCGTCACCGAACCAGCTAACCAAGCCAAACCATCAACAGCTCCCCGCCCCACCCATCTCCTCGTACAACCCCTTCGCGCGCTCAGAACCCACCTCGTACGTAGGTCCCCAACCCGCACCCAGCGGCATCCGCGGCTGGATCAGCGACAAATGGCGCGCGCTACGCAGTCGAGGTAGCGGAGGCGGAGGCGGCAGCCGCTCCGCGACGGGGGCGGGCTACGAGCGCGCTTCCCGCCGCGGCTACGCACTCGACCCGGACGAGGCGTGGGACACGCGTGTCGGCCACGAGGCCGATGCTTATTACGGGTACGGCGCGTACGAAGAGCAGGAGCTGGGGTTGCGCGGACAGGCGCAACAAGCACATCCCTCGCAGCAACAACAGCAACATCAACAGCAGCAGCAACAGCCGCAGAACCCGTTCCAGTCGCACGGCGATATAGGTTCCGGGAGCTCGTATAACGGCGCGGGATACAGCAACGTGGCGCTCGGCGCGGACGAGAACCGCGGACGCACGCTTAGCCGTAGCCCCGGTGTTGGGCTCGGTGTTGAGAGTGCGCGTAACCCGTTCGATGACGATGCGGCGGAGCCGAGTAATATCAGTTTGCGCGGGGTTAGTCCTAGGCCTATTGATACGGCGGCCGCGAACGCGGGGAAGGTGAAGGGCGGTGTCGCGCATCATCATGATAGCCCGACTTCGGAGCGGAGATCGATTTTTAGGGAGGATGTTTAGGGTGAGGGCGCTGGTGAGGGTGAGAGAGGGTACGATAGGAGTGGTGGTGATGGCGTTTGCGCTCGCGCTTGTGGGTTTGCTTGGGTTTGGAGCCGGGTGGATTCTGAGATGCGATGCCTGCTTGGGCGTGGAGGTTGGCGTGGAGGTTGGCGTAGAAGTTCAAGGGGAACAGTCGAGATAATGCCTACACCTCTCATATCCTCACTCTACCTCTACTACACCCACCTTCCTTTCACCAAGGGAGGCGAGGGTCTTAATTTTCTTCTTCTTCCCCGAGACGGGCGACGGATAGGAAAAGGACTGGAATTCTGCGGGAAGACATATTGATCTAATTTCTTCGGAGAGGAGTTTGCGGAGTTCTCTCTTCTTGTTTTTTTTTTTTTTCAATTTTCTTTTTCATCATGGCACACCGCGCGGTGAAAAGGATGGATCTGGGGAAAGGAAATGTATTCAAATGAACCTGTACTTCTTGCTTCGGCTGCTCCTGGTGCTCGGGGAGCTATGGCGTTCTAGGTCCCCGCGGTGGCTGGGCTGTTTCAATACACATTCGCACGCGGCATCGCGATTCTTACTCGTTTAGTTTTTGTCTTGCTTGGGTGTGATTTTGTGCTGGTTATGCGTGTCTTGATTCTCGTAGAGTTGAGGGTGTCGTAATGGCTATCCATAATGTGTTGGGGATCGTGGGAGAGAGTGGGTGGAGAGGACGGTTGTTGGTTTATACTGGTAGCTGCTCGAACTTCCTGGTGGTGCCTTGGTTTGGGCACAATTGCTGTTTATGTTGTTCGCTTTCAAGGGGGGAGCTGCGAGATCGGGAGTTATGTGAGCACAAATCACCAACTGTGATCTATGGCCGCAGCTTCGGCCGTGGTGGCACACTTTCTTATGATGTAGGACTTGATAGTCGTTATATCTAAGTAGGTACATTCAGTATAATGTAGAACCCCCATTTCTCTTCCGCTTCTTGTAGGCCCTCAACTTATATGTATTTATCACCTATTTCTCCTCCTAGAAGGTCGAGGCTTAGGGAACCACAACCCTGGTAAATCTTAGTAACCAGGTTGTTTCTAGAGACAGGTCTTATCAGACTGTTTCCATGAAGATATTGTATAGCCTATATGAAGATTGAAGCCATGTTTATCACCAGAGCTGATATAATTGATGTGGGATGATCCGCTAGATAGTTGAATATTTTCATTGCCAATACCCCTACTTCCAATCTAATATTCTATTGTACTCGTTTACCATATATTCATTCAACAATCCAGGAACACGTCATCTCATACCTTCATAAATAGGGAAATATAGGTAATAGGAACCAGTACCTCCAACTCTTATATCCAGAATCTAAATCAAGTTTATATCCTGAACCTCTTTATCAGTCCAGAAATTGTCACCAAAATCTTGCAGTTTAAGAGGCCCGCTTTCTACCTTAAAGCGACCTAGAAAGATGTAATTTTCTCCCGACGCTCGAATCAAACATGGAGCGTGTGCGCTCTTGAATATGCACACCAAGTCATCCGCTTTCACTTCGACACCTTCCCTCATCAGACGTAAAATGGTGCCGTCGGCCATGAGCACCCAAGGAGAACTAAACTGATCCGCTATCGATTCTTCTTTCAAACGAGTATTGCGTGTTGATTTCCTTCTTTTATACCAAGGTACTTTACCCGCAGTTGTCATGCTCATCCGGCGGTGTACTTGGTAGAACGACTCATGACCGTCCGCGCGAATAATTCTCGTCGTCTCTCTGACGACTTCCTCGAATACTTCTTGAACAACCATCCCTCTGAGTCTAGCCGATGGTTCGATAATGTGTTTTTCGATTTCGTTTAGACGTTTGGATAGCGCACGCGGTATTGCGTTATTTCGTGGCATTATATCGGCGGCGGTGCATCCATCGATAGAACTATGGCGGGTTCCAAGCACATAGCCTTGTAGGTACAGTGTCCGCTTGTCAGCCGATATATGTATGGTTTGCTTCGGACCCTTCCTAGCTCCTAAGGCTAAACGCCGAAAATCGGGAACCCAGGACGGGACATTTGGAAGCCTGCTGCCCATATAACCAAGTAGTTCCAATCTCCCAACACCTTGAAGTAAAAAGACAGTATAATCCCAATATACTTGCTCATATGGTAGATCATAATTCGGCGTTAGTTCCCTCGGCAGCTGTTCATTCTTTACATGCTTGAGCAGACCTAGCAGCCCATATATTTGATCCAAAGGGTCTGATGCTTGTTTTATATTCACAAAAGCAAGTAACTCCCACAGGACCTCAGCGAGCTCCAACTTTTGTGGGTCTTTATCGCTACCCGTACCGATAGAGTTGTAAAAAGTCCGAATGGCTTTTAAGCTAGCCATCCGCTTGCCCCCTGGAGTGAGATACAGAGAACTGTCGATCTGAGAAAAGATATCAAATAGATCACCGAAATCAGATGAATGTATGCTGTGGCGTCCAGCAAAGAATCTTGGCACAGAATCCAAGCAAGCCTCTTGGAGGGTCCAAACTCTTGTGTACCATGGACGACACAAAAGCCATATCATCACCTGCAAGATGTCACCAAATAGGTCTCCGAACTCTTCATGGAAAGTTATGTTTTCATCCTCATCAATAGGATCCCAGTCCGCCCACATTGAGCCAGCCTTCTTGAATAACAATTTGACAGCTTTTTCTCGTGATAGCCGGTGTCGGCCGGTTTGTTTTGACGAAACAAGCACTTTGAAAAGACTGGCTGGTGGCCGCTCAGGGATAGGGCCGAGCCACACAACAGTAAGACCAGCATGATATATGTCCATCATTCGTGATACCTGACGAGACCTCTCGGCAACGTCTTTCTGGTTGATACAAATAGCATCGATCCAGAAGTAGTCTCTCGGGTGGCCAATGTCGTGGGGCCGCTGCCTGAATTGGTGCAGTGCGCTATATAAGTTCTTTGAGACCTGGAAAGGTTGCCCCTCTAACATGATGGTCTCCTGGTGGGTTGTGTCGCCCCATACATAGGATAAAGGGTAGAAGGTGGTTGCATCTTCTAAAGGCATTTGATGGAGAAGACACTCAATCATACCCGTTCCTGGTACAATTCGGAGCAATCGAACTTCGCATTCGCCCAGTCGGCGATAGGGGTATGCTGGTGGTTGCCATGGTTCTGGGTGAGTTCGAATGTATTCTTCGTACTCTTCGTCTTCTTCGATTTCTTCGTCTTCGTCGTCATCGTCGTCTGAAACCTGATGTTTAGTAGTGAGAAATGTAGAAATTTGATATTTCGATCTAAGGCGTTTAGTAATTGATTCGACCAACATTGCTTAAATTACCGACAAGCAAACATCAATATCTTCATCGGCCCAAGGTCCATGATAAAATTCTGTGTTGGCTTACACCGCGTACCATGCAGGCAGTATATGTTGGCGGTGCGGTGCAGTGCGTTGGTGACGATAACCAATCACCCCCCTGTTTCAGCCGCCATGCTGGCTTAGATACCCACAAGTCGCCAATATTTTATGGCAACTGATGGAATTGAATAGGTAACTTGCTCTTAAGAGAGAATTGAAGGCTGTGAGATATTATTGTAAATTATTTACCTAGGTACATATGATACCAAAGATATCAACACCGTTTATGCCTTGTATGTAACAATTGATCTAAAGAGAAGAGAACTTGGTATCATAAGCTTGCCAAAATGCTGAGATAAGATACATCTTGCATGGCTGGGTATATCCCGGTCGTTTCCAATAGGCAGGCACTTGAGAGGTGCATAATGATGGAGCCAACAACCCCTCTGGCCCTGCCCCGCCTCCCGGTTCTCTAGTAAACGCAACCTCGTGGTTTCCCATCATCCCATATCGGTGGATAGGATTGTGATACGCAAACAAACGTTGGTTGCGACCATTACCCAGCACCTACCTAGCATATACGTCTATCTGATCTATATATAGATTAGATATAGATCCGGGATCATGGCCGGTAAAAAAGGTGAAAACAGCAAGAAGGCAGCCGGCCAAGCTCGAAAAGCAGAGACAGCCGCAAAAAAAGCCGCGACGGAAGATGCGAAGAAAGCGGCAGTAGAGGACGCGGATTGGGAAAGGGGTTCTAAAAATAATTCCAAGAAGTGAGTTTTCTTCTGATCTATGTTGTGAATGGTCAATTGTTAGACACAAGCATAATTCCCGTGATTTCAGACCCATTGAGTTGGGACGGAACAATCACATTATGACGGACAGGGGTACGATTTTAATAAGCGCTCTACTAATTGATATGTTCGACATGTAGGGAAGCACAAGCTGCAAAGAAAGCAGAGCAGGCTCAGAAAAAGGCCGATCGAGAAGCTGCCCTTGCCGAAGAAGAGAAGAGCCTGCCGAGCCGCCCCGGTCCAAAGAATTCTAAGACCGCCACTAAAAAGACAAACCGAGGCCTCGACAATGCATTGTCCGAACTTAATGCCAGCGAAAACAATAGCAATAGCGACAACAAACTTCCAACACTCGAGGCCTCAGGCATTGAAAACATTCTAGATGCTCTAGGTTTGATCTTGGATACAAACGATGAAAAATATGACAGGCATGCGGAAAGAAGAGTTGGGGCTGCATTTGCCGCCTTCGAGAAGAGGCGACTCGAAGAGATGAGCGCAGACGGGAGCGGAAAAGGATTGCGCCTGAGCAAGAAGCGGGAGTTGCTCTTCAAAGAATTCAGGAAGAGCCCGGAAAACCCCCTCAACAATAATTACAACGTCAGGCACAACGCCACGAAGGCTGAGGTCCAAGAGATCAAAGAACAGGAGAAGGCGAAGACCGAGGCTAGGCTTACGTCTAAGTAGGAATTAGACGTGCCTCTCTCGGTGCCGTGCTTCTGGTTTGAACATGGCGAGAAGAGCTGTTCGGAATCAGTTGTGGTAGGGTGCGCAATGAAAATGAAGCTCGAAAGAGTGAGACCTTTGGTTCTTGCTCTAGTATAGAGTTGAACTCATAAGATGGAGAAAAGGGGTACTACAGATCAGCACTCCTTGATCCACACAATGGGTGTGACGCAAATATTTCACTCTGTCTGTCGCCATTACTTATCTCCTCTAATTATTTTCTAGTCGGTCATTTCATCCCGAAAACCTTCATTTTCCAGATTCAAGTCACTTCAGACATGAACAGCCAGGTAGTGTCCGGGCTAATTTGACTAAAGTATATAGATAAGGAGAGAAGCCTGATAGTGGATCGGTATACCTAGCATATATTAGGATGGCTAGAATGCATTCATAGATCATATACTTACGATAGACATCTACACTTCACGCTGACTAAGCAGAGAAGTTATCATTCTTTGACAATTGATTTAGACGTTCAATCGTTAGATTTCGGAGGTGATGCACCAACCTACAATCAATAGCTGACTTTTAAATTTCCGTGGTTTTTCGACTTTCTTGTTGTTTGAGGTCTCGTGATAGAAATACCCCGGACTCGCCCCAGATTGTCTATTGCTGTTCGGGGATTGGACGAGGAGGGCGGGTAGAGGGGCTAAGCTTCGGCAACCCTCGGCTTGCGGACCTCGGTGGAGATAATAAAATGGCAGTGACGTTCACGGCTGTTTATGGATTGGAAATCGCCCTTTGCCAGCGTGCGCTGTAAAATCCGCAATCTCCAATCTCCAATTTGATTTATTCTTGCTTGGGGTGATCTAACCCTTTACTACCCTTGACCAACACCCCTCATCGTCATCCGCGCGACCGAAACCTATTAAAAATATCCCCGATATGTACTTTTAGTGTTTTCTTCTTCTTTCTTTTTTTAAGCCTGTCGCGTTCTACTAGGACATCGAGTCGGTGGCGCAGTAATGCCATCGGCTTCCCCAAACCATGTCACGATGTCCGAGTTACCATCTAAAAGAGAAGGAAACGCAAGCGCTCTCTTCGATAAGATGGACGGAGTCGTTAGAAAGGCCGGTAATGTTGTCGCGGGCAAAGGCGCAACCGCTCCCAACGCGAATCCAGACTCAATCAGAGATGACGCATCTCCGATAACAGCGAAGGGGAAGCAACCAGATAAGCACAGCATGGATTATGTGATTCGTTCTGGTATTGCTGGTGGTCTTGCAGGGTGTGCTGTATGTCTTATCTCCTTCCTAAGAATGAAGTCTGTAAATTGATCTCATGTTAACAACGCAATAAGGCTAAAACAACCGTTGCGCCTCTCGACCGAGTCAAGATCCTCTTCCAAACCAGAAATCCGCAATTCGTAAAATACCAGGGCTCATGGACTGGCTTCGGGTTAGCGATTCGCGATATTTATGCACACGATGGAATACTGGGTTTATTCCGCGGTCACTCGGCGACTCTCCTAAAAATCTACCCCTACGCCGCTATAAAATTTGTCGCATATGAACAATACCGCGCTATGATAATAGGGTCGAACCGTCAGAACGAAACGTGGTTGCGACGATTCTCCTCCGGTGCACTTGCTGGTGTATCATCTGTCTTTCTTACCTATCCCCTAGAAATCATCCGCGTGCGATTAGCCTTCGAGACGAAACATACGCGCATGTCCCTTGCCGGCATCTGCAAAAAGATATATCAAGAACAACCACTGCTGAAACAAACTGCCTCGAAAACCGTCGCCGAAGCTACGATATCCCCAGTGGAGGTAGTAGCACCCCGTTCCGGTCTTATCAATTTCTACAGAGGGTTCTCGACGACTATGTTGGGTATGGTGCCATACGCTGGCGTGTCTTTCTTAACACATGATACTGCGGGCGATTTTTTCCGTTCGCCATCCCTTCGAAAATATACCACCCTACCCAAACCTGCCAATGCACCCGCCGACAAGCCAGCACCCCTCCAGGCGTGGGCCGAATTAACAGCCGGAGGAATCTCGGGCGTAGTATCACAGACGGTAGCTTACCCACTTGAAGTTATACGGCGACGAATGCAAGTAAGCGGCGCTGTTGGAGACGGCCACCGTCTTCGGATAGGAGAGACGGCAAGCTTGATCTTCAGAGAGCGCGGACTTCCCGGTTTCTTTGTTGGCTTATCGATTGGTTACTTAAAAGTGATGCCTCTGGCGGCTGTAAGTTTCTATACTTACGAACGGTTAAAGACACTGTTCAACATATGAATTGTTAACACCCCGTCTATTTGGAGGAATCGCGACAGCATCATCGGAGTGTAGGCGTTTACGGTATTTACTTCCTAGGGATACCTAGGTGGTACAGGCATAGCATGTGTAGAAGCTCGACTCGCGGTTATCAGAGGATTAGATATTACAGGATTGGATATATGGGCTATGAAGCATGGCATAGAGAGAAGTATACATACATTGGTTATTGACAATTTCATCTCTACATTTACAAGTTTGAAATGAGTGACTACAATATAGGATAATATTTACTGCATGTCACATAGTCCTCTATTCTGAACGTATACATACATTTTAGGTGTGGTAGTATTCTAGAGACAAATAATCTCAATTTCCCATTTCTATCCAATCTATTTGCTTTTTCTCATTCCAACGAACGCCACCCACCTGTCATAATTCGGATTTACGATATCGCCTTTGAAACAGACTCAGATATTTATCCCCAAATGCAGGCACCCACATTTAATATTCCAATTTACCGTGTCTCGATGTTATAATAAGCTTCTCATCCTATCTAATAAGGATCTGTCATTTATAGATTGAATCTTAAGATAAGGTAGTTAAAAGCCGCAGACACGGTCAGGGGTACTCTAAATTCCCGAATCCTTCAGCTGCTGCAGCTAATCGCAACATACCAAGCAGCCAATGTACAAGTCATAAGCTGTCAATGGTCATCGCTAGACGCCACTATTCGCTGCACCTAGCACGAATGCGCAGGCGAGCTAAACTACGATGATCGACCACGTCTCTCGAATGAACCAGAAGTGATATTTCTTGCATCTAGAGCAAGCCACTCGTTACACAGAACCCCTATCTGAAATCCTCCATGTCTCTGTTATATCCGGCAACTCGAAGCTATTAGATTAGGATGGCTGATGTCATCCACTATCCCGAGGAACCCGTCTCCATCAAGCTGAAAAAAGTATGGGTAGATCTCGAATGTGACTTGTCAATGCTTTTCGCTAAGGGGGCGAGATAAGGGTAGTATTTTCTCGCTCTTTTTTCACTTTTCTTGAAGAGATCTGCTATTTCCTCAGATCTCTGTTTATTGTTACCTAGATTCACGGCGAGCTGATGTTTGAATACGCGATCGTCGAAGATACTGGAGCATATCGTATACCATAGACTATGATATCTTGAGCGCCTCATTGATTATACACTATACCATTATACCATTATACCCTTCATAACACTCTCCCTTTTTCTCTATTTAGTTCTCAAGTAAAGTGATCGCACTTCACATGTTTAAAATGTCCACCACTCCGACCCAAGTCCTAAAGCCGCACTCCCCATCCACAAACTACCACCAATCCGTTGCAGACCCCCTCGCGCACTTCCAAGCGATACCATGGTGTGCCGCGCTCCTCTCCGACCCAAGCAACATCCAAGTTGCCGTCCCGGACCGAAAACTACTCCCCAACAACGAATCGAGCTTCGTGCATAAGGTGATGAACAGTCCGACCACCGTCCGCGCCTGTGTAACCTTCATCCGACTGGTCAAGCCCTCTAGATCCCAGACCAAATCCTCTCTTCCGCCAAGTTCAGGGGCAAACAAAACCAGCAATGGGGAAGAAACCACAAAAAAGGACCCGAAGGCAAGCCCTGCCATCTTCAGCGGCGGCGGCAGGGAAAACGGCGAAGACCCGCGAAACCCATTCCTGTTGCTCCACGCCCTAGCCGAGCTAGGCGTCGACTGCCAAAGTTTCCCGGGGATAATGCACGGCGGGCTGTACGGTGTGTTATTAGACGAAGTTATGGGGACAGCGGCGAATTCACAAACCGGTGAGATTTCCCTACCCCTAAAAAGTGTGAAAGAGATGAGGAATAAAAGATACAACATACTAACAAACCACCATAGCAAACGGAGCCTACACAGTCCGCTTCACAACGAACTTCCGACGCGCCGTCCGAACACCGCAGATCGTCCTGATCAGAGGCCGAGTCGTGCGGAAGGAAGGGCGTAAACTCCACGTCAGGGGCACGATCGAAGATAAAGACGGTAAGCAGGATCGCTCTTCACCCCCTTTCCCCAAGAAACTTTCCCCGGTACTAACACCGCATAGGAAACATAATGGCCGAAGGCGACGGCCTCTGGCTCGACCGAAACATCGGCCAAAGCAAGCTATAAGCACGAAATCTCCCATCCCAGGACCCGAACCGACCATACCTACCATCACACCAAGTAAACGACGAGCAAAGACAAGAGTAGCATATACATATCCCCTAGGCAGCAAAGTACGGAGTTGAGGCACGGTTGATAAATTCCAATAATCCACATACACCTCTGTAACCGAGCAAGCGAGAAGTCTTATCCTTGATATATTCATAGCTCAAGTATAAAGTATATACAAGACATAGTTATTTATAATATAAATGCCCTTACAAATTGATACAACACCACGTAGCCGCTAATTAGGACGGTTAGCAACACCGCCCCAATAATTATAAAACAGTGCAGCGACACGTGTGTAGGGCCGATATAACCAACGAGCGGTAAGTTTTGAGTCAGCCGGAAGCCCCCTTTCAAGAGAACGCCTATTCCAACCTCGTCTCTTCCTAGCGCCAAAATTACGGGCTTCGAATTATTCGTATTGACCGCGAACGCCAAAAGAAAATATATGGTTTACTAGATCCTACTCATTATTACGTTATCGCGTTCGTTCATTGATTAATATGATTATTTAGTCCGCCTTAATAGCACTGTCATAACTCATGTTAGTGATATCTGTAAAAGAACTGGGAAAAATCGGGCAGGGCTTACCCATATATCCTCCTGACAAAAGCATAAGCCGTCAGGAATCCCACAGTACCGGTAAGGAGCCCGTACACGCAACAAGCCATGAAGCTATAGACGAAGAATAGCAAGGAGCTTACAAAGCCCGATATATGTAAGTTGGCAAAGTAGTACCAAACGCAGTATAGGAACACCCATATAGCGCTTCCACCACCCACGAAGAAAGACTGCCACCACCAGTGATAATTCTCGGAGCATAACTGCACGTAGATTGTGACGACCGTAACTTCGGCAATGGTGAGAATTAGGATCACAGATACCACCGCCAGGAAGCCGAAGACATAGTAGTAGCCGCTCTTATCCTGCCATAACGATTGGAAGACGAAGAGAAGCTCGATGAAGATAACAGCGAATGGAACCAAACCAGCAAGGAATATAGACTGCAAATTCTTCGCATACCATGCTTGATTTGGAACCTGCCGAGGCACACTGGCTGTCTTTGTAGGGTGTTCCCATGAGCCCGTACGGACAAACCCGTACCAGGAACCAAGATAGACCAACGGAACCTGAATGCACAGCCAGAGAAGAACAATTGCGATCAAAGTTCCAAACGGTATGGCAGTGCTGGAAGCTTGAGCCCAGACAAAGAGGTTCAAAATGAAGACCAATCCAAAGAGAAGACCGGGAAAGAGACACGCAGTAACCAACGCATTCTTGACAAAATTCTTCCCATCGAAGGTCTTATACACTCTGGCGGAGAAATAACCGGAGAAGACACCCGCGAAGACGAATAGACCGATAGCGGCACTGATGAAGCCTCCTCGGAAGCTAGGATTCAAGATACCAATAGCACTTAGCAGAACCAAGCCGACGGCCATAAATAGAAGTTGCATGCCGGATCCAACAAGAGGGGCGAGTAGATATCCGTACTCAGGTTTCCTGAAAACATCCCCATGAAGCAGCTTCCATCCCGTCACATCTTCTAGAGCCTCATCTTCAGATGAAATGTCAATTTCCTTATCGGCTTCTCCTTCCTTCTCAAGGAGGCCGAACCCGGCCTTCTCGGACTTAGGAGTACGGCTCCCCTTGCGCTTAATTCGAAGTTTACCATCCTCAACAGAGCCTTCCTTATACCCTTTGATGTCGGATCTAATTGTCTTGGCCAAGATCATAAGGACAATACCGGTAAGAAGGCCACAGATGATCAAGGAGTTGACAATGGCAAGCCAGTGGATTCTAGAGCCCTCCTCTGAGTTAACAAAGTATAGGTCCCAACGGCGACTCCACTCGATTGACTCATCTTCACGGAAATACACCGAGTAGGAGTATGGAATAGTGATAGTGTCATCGTCATCACCCTCCTCGATAGCCTCCGGGTGGTAGGACGAGTACGCGTATTGTGATTGGAATTCGGTGGTCTTGTTTGGAGCCATGTAGAGCTCGAAGTGGTCTTCGACATCGTGAAGGTCTGTAGGACACCCATTCTCTCGCTTGACATTTGCACCGACGCTCTTGGTATAGACCTCAAAGCCAACTACTACTTTACCGCCTTTCTCACCCGCTCGACCCGGTGCTCTCCTGTATCGGATAACGATAGTGTGGTGATTGTTCAAAAAGTACCGAGGCTTGCCCGTGCTCGATGAATAGTCCGTGAAACCAAGTTTAAAGCCCGCTGCGTAATATTTGCGCGACTTGTCGACTGTGACAAAGCTTGTGGCTCCCGGAAGGTTATCTACGATCCACTCCACAACGTAACCCTCTTTAACTAACTCCTTGGCTCTTCTTAGATCCCGTCTTGTAATTTCTTGATTGCAGAGAAAGCTACATTCCTTATCTTGGCCCATGGTAAGATCGATATCCGAAGTCATGATCCTGTCGCCACGAAGAACTTCTCCGAGGTTGAGAGAGATGCTCTGGCCGCTCAACAAACCCGGACCATGGCTTTTACCAGTAGGTGGGCATACGAATGGAAGGTCGTAGTAGGCATATTGGAGCTGTGTATTATCCGAATACACTTTATTGACAAGTAAGGGGATATGCTCGTTTTCTTTATAGCTCTTTACCGACCAGCCTGTATTGGTATAAACGTATTAGACGCCATGTACTTCAGATGAATGGGCCGATGTCAATCAGACGCTTGAGCTGATCTTACCAGGAATGTAAAAAGCCTGAACCCGAGAGACTACTAGAGACGAGAGTAGCCATTTTAGACTATTCCTTAGCATCTTTCCCATTTTTGCGTATATTCCTCCTATTATGTATTATTGCGTCTCACGATACATTAACTCGGTCGAATTTAATTAGAATATCGAAATGTCTAGTTGTCGCTTATTTTACTTTTTCGCGGAAGCCAGAGGAATATCCCCCGGATAGGTCTTCGCCTTATAGGATTTGTGGGGTTGGCAAGCCGAGTGTCTATTTGCGGCGCAACGAGGTTATCGTAAATCCTATGACTACTGCGGTTTCGTGGGTTTCGTGGCTGTAAGAGAAACGCCACGGAGGAGGAAGATCGGAGGATCAGACCGAGCGGTTGGTAAAAAAGCGTGATTAAACGAATGTAATTGGTACCTAGTACCCGGTGGACGGAAGGCTACCCAGACTACCTAGGTAAAGTGCAAAGTAGGATGTATTGAGCTGAATATTGATGCTGACGCTGATCTTGGTGCTGCTGATCTTACAGTACGTGTACAATTGTTCTGACACGCGTGTATCTGCCAGTGGTGTTGTTTTTAAGTTCCGGGTTGTTGGAAGAGGAGAGGCGGGAGAGGCGGGAGAAGCGGGAGAAGTGAAAGAAAAGGAAGTTATCGCTTAAGATACCTAGTAGGAAAGGAGACAAGTGGTAGAATGGAAGAGGCACGGACAGCTGACAGATATACCCCCTGGTTGTTATGCTACCTTTGCTACAGCATGTAATGATTTTACGAGGTTTAGAGACGTTCTAGTCCGCCCGATCGCGCTATAATTCGTTCTTGGCAGATTCCTCATCCCTGTCACGTCTTTTAAAGTTGACTTCTCCGCTTCTCGACACGCAGGTAAAGAACTACCAGGGCAAGTTGTTTATGGCCGGTCACGGGAAAGGTCGCAAGGATGTCTTATCTATGCGTACAGCATATAAGGCATATAAAAGTATATAAACACCCGAGATAAAACCTACGTTGCAGTAGTTAGGTACGCACACGTACTACCTACCTCGGTATATCAATTGATCTTTACAAGGTACATATGTAGGTAAGTTTAAGAGCTGGCCTATAAAACATCTAAATATAGGCGCATGTCCGATTGCCTAGTGACTAATGCCGAAACTGTGAACTGTACGCGTAGTATTAAGGTTACGAGGTGATCTGTCTGCAAGGAATATCATGCGTATTTACCTAGTACTTACCTACCTCCTACCTATGTCGGTATACATCCACATCTACGTACGTACTATGTCTCGGACTTCAAATCGCTTTACTTATCATATGACTCTCGTGTTTCAATGCACCCGGACACGCACCTTACGGCATGATTTCTAAATGCTGAAAATACCTGAAGCGCCGCTTGAGTCTTACAAAATAATTACAATTACATATGTCTATATACCTAACCCAACTTCTCACCCACCCAACCAATTTTCGAGACCTCACCCCCCTCAACGCCCTTAAGGAATGTTTATTCAGTCACGTTCACGTTGACTCTTTAGCACAAGCTTAGGCAAAATCCAAAATCCAGAATCCAATGCCTCTTTGATCCGGGGTCTATTTGCAAATAATAATAATGCTAATGCAACATTGGGGTATAGTTCTCCGCATGCTATGCAACAATCCCAGACTGGTCATTCCATCGTATGTTTCTATATACAATCCAGTTCACCTCTGTTCATCTGTCTCCTCCTCTTCAGAGACTGATAATATCTAATTCTGAGAAGTCTGGGGGCGCCCGCCCGTAGACAACCCGTACTTTGCTGTCGAGCGCGGTACCTTCGTTGGAGATCCATATGTGCTCGCTGAACTCTTTCGTTCTTCTTATTTCATCGTCGCTGACTCCGATATCATCGCGGGGAATCCAGACCGTCGGTCGTCTTGCACGGAGCGCCGAGTGCATGAATGCGCGTCTCACAAGCACGTCTCGTTCTTCGGGAGTGAGATCCTCTATTTCATCGTGGAAATCACCGTATAGAGCGTCACCGATGGCTCTCTGCGCTTCTAGATCCCTCTTTCGACGTTCCTCTCGGTACTTGTTGATAGTATTGTTGACATTCATGAGTCCTCTTCCTGCCTTGCCGAGAGTGCGGTCATAAGTGGTCTTCCCGCCACGGGTAGCCCACGTACCAGCACGGACAATGCCTTTAACAGGTTTGAAATTAGTAAACTTGTTACCTCGCCCGGTCTTGTCGTCGGCGCCGTCCATAGAAGTGATGTGACTTCCGTCTTCGTGATGTCGCGGTGCCTCCTCTTTCCCATCATCGTCGTCATCTCCGACAAGGCCGAAACGGCGATCCTGTGCACGCTGGAATGCTTCATCACGCAGTACAGCTTCGTCCTCGAATGTAATAGGTAGGTATCGGAATAATGGTCCAAAAGACCTATTCAGAAGAAACTGGTATATGAGGGTGAGGAAGATTGAGATAATCATGATGATCGCTTGCGGGACACATGCGACTTCGCCGTTTTGGTCTCGGACAAGGAAAAACAAGCCGACAAGGCATAATTCCATCACATAGAGCCCCGTAAACGTCTGGTTGATGGCCTGGGGATAAAGCACGCCGCCAGTGTCGATGGTGAATCGGTTCACGTAAATCATGGCGTATCTGTTCGCCATCCAGAGCAGGCTGAAGGTGATGATAGCGAAAATAGAAATAATCGGGGCGACGACGGAATAGATCAATGCGATACAGGCGAAGTTCGTATATACAGGGAAGTACGTTCCCCAGTTAACCTCGGGAAGCTTGGTATTGGTAGACCACTTATTTCGAGCAGTCTTGTTCATCATTCTCGCGATTACATACCAATTGAGGAGGGCGCCGATTTGTAACAATGTACCTGAGCTCACACTGAGAGCTTGTAGAATCATGTAAGAGAAGAAGTAATTAGCAGCTTTCGGCAAATTCTCCGCTAAAAGATCCGGTATCATCGTTGGGTGGTTCGCAAGATCCTCTAGTGTCTGGAGTACACCGGTAGCAAGGGAAACGACCAGAAACACTTGAACGAATAGGAACGAGAAATAGAACTTTTGGACAGTCTCTGATCTCTGGGCCCCTGTCTTAGCTCCTTTAAAGCCAGCAAGGAAGCCCATTAGAATGGGCACCAACCAGAGAAGGAGGGCGAGGATAATGGCGGGCAGAACACCGGCAACACCTGAAACGATATTCTGAATCGTCTTGTTATCGTCGATAAAACTTAACCACGGGAATTCGTCTGTCAACGTGCTGACTTGCGAAATCGAAGACGTGAAGGCGACCGGGAAAGCCCATAGTATGATCATACCGACCACGACGGCCACGGAAACAGCAGTTCGGAGCCACTCTGACCACCAGCTAATAGCCATATTTTCCCACAGCACATCGTCGGGAGAGATTTCAACGGTACGAGGGGCCATGTGTCTCGGGACGTGATGGATGACGCTCTGGCAGGCCATGTGAGCGGCGACTTGGTGGTTGAATTGGATAAATGCCGATTTCATGAGCGGGTAACGTTCTGGATTTTTCTGGTCGATTTCGATCTCTAGGTTGAGCCGCGCCAATTCTTTCCTGCACCAATAAATAGTATCAACCTTTTTGTTGAGAAGGGGAAGTCCAGGAAGCCAAGTGGGCGTCCATTCAAAGATAGCAAGACGATGGGTCGGTCGTTTGGACTTCTTAACCCACTTCTCCCATTCTGCTCCAGCGTCTTGCTCCTCTTTCCATTCTCCATTGTAGGCTTCAGGGTATTCCACTGGCTCGAGCTCCTCGCCGCCCATGAATGGAATGCATGACTTAACCTTCTCCCAACCCGTTTTCTCCTTCTTCTTAGACGGAAAATCGTCGCCCTGGTATCCCTGGGGGACAGGGGACGCGTATCCACCCTCCGGAGGTTTCCAGAACTGATACCATTGTTTAGGTTCGTTGTCTTGCATGTCTTCAAGGTTGGTAAGCTTGCGGGTAGTGTTTCCTAAGTGTCGCAGTTCAACGCTGTCCTTCTTGATCATGGAATCCTGAGATATGCTGGAGCCGGCATGCGAATGTCCCTGTGCTGTTTGTGCTCCCATGACACGATCCTCAGATCTCATACCTTGGGGATGATTTGAGCTCTGAAATGATGGTCTCGGTAGATCTTTCTCATCCGGCAGTTGTACATGGCGGCGGTCTGATTCACGACTAGGGGGGGCAGACGAGGAGCCCTGCGGCGGTCCTATCGCCACAAAGCCGCTCGTCGTTTCGATTTGATTGTCGAGACCGCGCGTGATCCTTTTAGCACCTCCAAAAACCTCGTGGCCCACAGCACCGACTCCCTTGCCAATCCCTCCGGTTACTTTCGTCACTTTTGAAAACCCGGTTGTCATACTGTGCCCAGTAGATGGTCTAACACCGTGGTTAATTTCGGCTTCGGCTTCGGCCTCGGCCTCCTCTAAATCATGCGGCACCTCGTGTCGATCACCACTACTTATTCCATGGCCACCTTCAGCTTGTCTTTTCGCTGCGTCATCCTCTCTCTTTTGGCGCTCAAGTTTCTCTCCCTTGGTGGGACGGTGAGACTTGGACGCTCTGCGTGCCTGTTTCTCATCTTGCTCCCTCTTCTTAAGCTGTGCTCTCTTGGCCATTATGATAAGATCAGTTAGGGCATCTTCTAATTGCTGATGAATGAGGTCTCGTTTGGCGATCTTGTCCAAAAGGTGTGTTAGATCTCGTGTAAGATATACGTTTCGAAGTCCTCCTGGAAATACATCGAAGAGACCTCTAAGGGCATCTTCAGTCAGCCATTTGTCGGGAATACCGCTCACCAGAACAGTAGTGGCGGAAGCTCGTAGACGGTGCTCTGCTGTTGTTAACCAATCCTGGCGAATCTTGATATAAACTCTTAGCTCGGTAAAGAAGACACCGCAAACCCATATGATGACTAATACTGCGAGGACGAGGTGTGCCCAGTATCTGTTAGTCTGATCCTTCTTCACATTTCCCCAAGCTAAAGTATCTAATCCAGTGATATTGGATCTTGGCTCACTAGGGTCGCTATAATCGACACCTTGGGGATCGGTAGAGTTGACATTGTCATCTTCGGTGCTATTTGATGAAAAGTTGCGACTAATTCCGCCAACGTAATTGACCGGTACTAAGATCGGAATGATGACTAAGGCCATGGGTATAAATATAACGAGTAGGGTCTGAAGGTATCGGAGGAAAAAGTAGGCGTCGAGGCCGCATTTTTTAATGATTTCACGATCTCGGAACCGGAGTAGAGTACTAACTAAACCCCACGGACTACTAGGCGGAGGTTCTGTTCGTTCGCGTTCGGGTACGAGATATGTTTTGGGCTTGCTGCGATATCGAGAAGGTTAGAATGAAGTTTAACACATATATCGTAAATTGAAGGGTTTCATACAATATTCTAGAGATCTTATTTCTCAATAATAGGAAAAGTCCCGTTTGGACACCGAAGACCACCAACGAGACATTGAGGGCAGTAACGAAGGCGATCAGGGTGATGCCCTGGGTTTTCTGAGCGCTGCCGCTGTCTATACCAAGCTTGTTAGCACCATGCGCAAGAATAAAATCATTCCTTACAATGATATCGCAACTTACCACTCATCTTTTCACTGTGGTCGACGCTCGACCCAGGATCCCAGCTCGAAAATTCAACGTTATAACACCAACCTCATAAGTAGGTTCAAGGAGCGAATAGTTGAGATATGATAGGAAAGGTCGAGTGACTGTCGGAGTGATGAATAATTGGGATGGCTATTGTATTCGACGATGACGATTGTATTTTGTTGTATAGGTAATAAGTTATGTATTTGCGTACTATGCGTACTATGCGTAGATGGCAATTACTGCGAAAGGGTTTCATATAAATCCAGGGGATAAATAGATATCCACAGGCGAAAACAAACGTGTAGGAGAAGATGATTCAATGAAAGAAAAATGAGGCATGGTCGAATTCGGGGTCATTCGTCCCAAATACCAAATACCTGGAGTAACAGGCAAAGAGGAGAATGGGCGGCTAGATTGTAATTTTTAGAGAGAAGCTATATCGAATTGGTGGGAGGTCTTGGCTGAATAATTGATGTGCACGATGCCTGGGTGCGTCACGTCCAGCCATACCAGGAAGTTGCAATCCAAAACTACATATCCTGGACAGGCGAACAACAAAGTACACAATTATACCCTGGATACATCCTGGATCTATCCATGGGTGCATAATGAAGGTGCGAACAGGTCGATAAGAGGTACCATCCAAAATAGGTAGTACAAGATCTACAGCAAGATTCAAACTCCATGTCATCAACGACCTGCGACGGCCATTCACGTCGTTTAATTGACCCACTATAAATGCATGTCCGACGTCACAGACACCCGCTTTAACCCATCTTGTCAAATATAGCCCCTGATTGGATCCACTTGACTATCCCAATCAAGCTGCCGCAATGCCGACTTTTGCTTCATATCTTCACCAAGACAACGGAAAATCGGCTATGATTGGCCTACATTCACGCGCGGCTGTTCCATTTTCCTTCCTTGTCGAACATAACATTGGCGGTAATACCTCAATCTTTTTATGCTTACGATACGCCTTGCTTTAATCAGATGTTTTCAAAAAGGACATGAGAACCAATGATCTAGACTTTAGAATCTTCCTTGGTCGATGAAGTCGCTTAAGTAATCCAAAAGGACCACAAGACAACGATTTGGTCTTAAATTCTTGGTGGAGACTGGTTTTAGAGGCAACCTACAAGGTTTAGTGTGAGCTAGATCCATTCTCAATCCGAACTAAGAGGATCTTGGCTGACAAGAACCTGATGTAATTAGCCAATGTGCAAATACTATGTAAATCGAACAGCACATCATCGGCACAGTTTGGCTGTGGAAATTGTCAATTCGTCGCAAGATAGGGAGACCCATGTTATCGTCACTCCTTTTCTCACCAAATTCTACACACACGGATATACGGACGTATTGATTCAACATATGTATGTCATTGATGCCTACCTACTTGTTGTAGCCAGAAAATGTCGCACGTATTCGCAAAGATGTGTGCATCTTGGAAACGTGTGCGACTTCCAATTTGTGAAGGGCTTTCTCACATTCCATGAGTAGGTAGTAAACAAACATCATTTTGAAAAGCCATGTCTTCAGAGGCACACACGCAGCAACAAACCGCATCTTGCATACTTTTCGAGAACTCGGATAAATCAGTCGTTCTGATAGATATCCCTCGCTCTATCGAAGAAGCACAGCAATTACCGGGGGAAGTTATTAAGAGACATATCATTTCGTCTAATCCGATTGAGGCGCCATGGAATACCCCTGAGCCGAAGAAAGCTTTGCATCATTCGGCTTCGGCATCCGCGGCGATAGCTGAGTTGATGACTCTAGAAAGTGTTAAGGCCGCGCTGCAAGACATCAAACACTGTTACAAAGGGCCGTGGTGTCTGCCACGTGTGTTAAGACATGCAAACAATATCAACCATGACGGATTAAACTCTAACAAGTCACACAAAAGAAAGCAGGTTTGTGACAGTGAAGAAATTGACGTGATCCCGGAACCGCATATTCCAGATCAGTCAAAATATCTTCTCGGGAGTATAGAATCTCAAAGAGAAACATTCCTCGCAGATGCTCCCATGTTCGATCTTATAGTTCTCGACCCACCATGGCCTAGTCGGTCTGTGAAGCGAAAACAGAACAGCTACAAAATAGCAAATGATATGCGAGAAACCAAAAATCTCTTAACTAAGATACCAGTTGCATCACACCTAAAACCCGATGGTCTTGTGGCTATATGGGTTACTAATAAGACAGCAGTTTCCGACTTGTTACTATCACCCTCGGGAATATTCTCGGAATGGGGTATCGAATTTATCGGCGAATGGATCTGGGTGAAGATTACGAATTCTGGCGATCCCGTCGTTGATATAGAAGCGCAATGGAAAAAACCATGGGAACGCTTGCTACTCGGTAGAAAAAGAGGTAGCACACAGCAAGCGCCAATTTCGACAAAAGTTATCTTAGGAGTTCCAGATGTTCATTCCAGGAAGCCGAATTTAAAGCCTTTATTTCAGAGCATGATGCCAGAGAACTATAGTGGACTTGAAGTGTTCGCAAGGAATCTCACTGCGAATTGGTGGAGTTGGGGAGACGAGGTGCTTCATTTTCAACAAAGGCACCATTGGGTAGAGATGGTAGCCGATGAATAGCACTATAAATACACCCGAACCCTTACCTATTCGGCGTCTTCGCCATGCGCATATAATACACATCTTAGGTAGCCCATAATCATACAGCCATTATCCACGAGCCTCATAGATTCTAAACGGCGAACGAGTTCTTTTTTTTCTTTTATTTTCCGAGTAGCCATCCTAGCCATCCTTCTTCCCCACGTTAAATTTCGGGTCCGAGAATTTGGGATCCAATTTCTCCTCGTTGCTCCATGACCCGGCCTTCAATAGCTTTTCCGCGGCCTTTCTGAGCTCTATCTTGACCTTACTTGGCTTCCTCTCGTCTCTAAGCGAGAGCGTGCCCTTCTTCCTAAGCTCCTTCTGCGGATTAAACTTGTTATTCATCGCCTTCGTTCGATGTCGTTCTACGTCTGGATACCACGGGGTAGGGTCCGCGGGCCTCTCGGGCCACACGAACGGCTTTTCCATCTCTATCGTCATTATCTTCGCCGGTAAAGGCCTGACGACATGGCCGTTCCTCTTTTTCACGGCCTGCCTCGGCTTTAGATGTGATCGCACATTCAACGCAGCGACATTGTAGACATGTAATAAGTAGTCGCGCAGATCGAACTTGTTGAAGCGTAAGGGGACTTTGAAAGTAGCGAAATTTGGCCGTTGAGCACCTCTTCGTAATAAGGCGATAGAGAATTTCGGTCTACATTCGGGATTGAAGTTAGCGAGGAAGACAATTGACAATTAGATAAGTTGGTAATTCCTACAAGAAAACCTGTTTTTTCCCTATCGGGAATGTTCGTGCTGCTGGCGGCATCGTGTCTTGGTAGCCGTTCTTGTAGAGATGCTCTTTTGAGATCGTCCAACAAAATATTCTTCAAAATTCAGCAAATACGAAGTACAAAGCATCAGTTTGACCTTGCAGCACTGGTCCCCACTAGTCGGCGGTTGAAAATTCCGTTTCAGAGGCAGAGAGGGGTCCTATCCTGGCGGGACCCGCTACATACACCTTATATGATTGGTTGGAACCCATGTCTTGGCCACAACGGGTAGCTGCGTAAAATGTTTAGGTTTCGAGAGCACAGAATGCACATTTAGTTGAATTTGAGATATGAAAAGAAGCTTAGAACTTATTGGAGGCAAAAAACGAGTTCACTTTTAACTATTTATTCATTCGTAGCTAGGTTAGGTATTTAATCATCTAGGACTTTTTAATCCCTTTTTTGAAACTTGAATACATGAGCAAGATCCTGTCACATCCATACACTAATAAACCCTTTATGTAGTTCCCTTTCTAGCAAATCTAGATATGTAACTTCTAGACATCAAGACCATCGACAATAGTACCCTTAACCCATTCGTGCTGAACGAATCGGGCCACCTCGTTGGCGGTGTCCTCGTCGACGAGGATGCTGACCAGGTACAGGGCTGCATCCTGGCCAGCAGATATTCCCCCAGCCGTGATGACCCGAAGCCCGCCTAGACGCATCGCGGCGCGACGAGCCATGGACTCACGACGTCCGTTTGAGCCTTTAAACGAGATACTTCCCTTTCTAAATAGCTCTTATTAGTAACTCCAGGTGTGTAGACATCATTGAAGGGCTACACATACCGCGCCGCAGAGGGGCGTCTTCCAGCATCCGACTTGCGACGAATGTAGGGGTTCTCATCCTCGTCTCCGAGATCGAAACGAAGGTTGTTCACGATATATCGAGCATCTTCTACGACATCGGTTCTCTCTTGCAGATCACGTTGAGCTGCATTACTGCAGACAATCTCAAACTTGGTCATGTAGTCTGGGTGGGTTGTAGCGGACAAGCCTGCTAGGATACCCGCCTCGGCCAGCAAGATGGAACCGGTGCACACAGACATCAATGTGCGTTCTCGTGTGTAATCATTTCTCTGGAGTTCTGCGAAGGCTTCGATGATAGGGAGGGGTTCGGATTTCTCCTTCAGGATAGCATCATGGTTGCCACCTACGACGATGAGCACGTCAAAGTCATTGAGACGCTCGTGAGCTTCCTTGTATGTAATCTGGGCACCAATGACAACTCCCTGTTCAGAGAGTACCTTTGGTTCGGCTGCAGCAATCGTGCAATCGAAAGCTTTCGTGCCTACAAATGAGAGCCTCCTTTAGCATTCTGATAACGGGGACACAAAAAGAGGCAGTTTGTAGGCGGGGCATTCAGATAAATGACATACTTTCGTCGTTCTTGTCATGACGTGCCCAGTCGAGGATCTCGAGAGGTCCAGCGAAGTCCAACAAGTCAAATTTGGGATGAAGGGCGAAAAGTACCTCAATGGGCTCATCGGCCACTGCAGAAGTCTTGTGCGCCATGATTGAAGGTAATTGATTACGTGTTTAAAAAGAAATGATGATTACTGATGAATGTCTAGATGTCAAGATATTTAGAGGCTAATTGCTGAATAAAGAGAATTAGGTTTCTAGGGCTCGAGAAGCTTATATTGAAATGTCGAATATGGAAAAGAGATGGATTCAATCGCTTTGTGGTCGAGGTCAACTGACTTGTGAGTTGTGACTAAGTGGATGGTCTCTTTGAAAAACGAAAGAAGAGATTGGATTGGGAAATGGCCAGACAAAATCAAGCGAGGAATTTGAACCTATGGGCCGATGGAGGACTGATCGATGGAGTGATTGAGGGGCCTCAGTCTTCGATACCTGCCCACGCCGGAGAGTTACGTAGAAGGTATGCAGCTTGAGGAGGGGCAGGGTTAGGTTTGTAGGTACCGGGATGGTACTACCCCACAAGAGCATGTATATCATTCCCCTCCCCCAGATTTACAGGTCGTTAGCCTGTGGAGTCAAAAGGGATCGACCTTCTTTAGTGGATCTGATGGTCACGCTCTCACCGTAAGAAATACAGTATTTGGATTCTACGAGAGACTGTAGGTTGCGATCGACCTTCTTGCAAAACTGCCTGAAGTTTAAAGAAACTTAATGTTGACAAATTCATCAGATTGCAACTCAAAATAGGGCAGGTGGGTATTGAGCATAATACCTACTTGATAGCGAGGCGTAACTTCTAAAACATCTGACGCTTATCCTAATAAATCCTAGTCTCGATACTGAAGCAGGTGTCAATGGGCTGATATATGTACATTTAGCAGGATAATTCCTAGGTACATAGTATAAATACGATAGGGCTTGAGGAGAATACACTGTATGGCACGTTTAAAAGCGGGCTAACGAATGAGTCGGGATGAGACCAACTGACGACCCCACCACGGAACTTGCAAAGCTAAACAGCGACAGCTGGACAGCCTGACTGTACTCCCTAGCAGCCTAGCAGCCTAGGTACGAATGGAGCCAACCAGCTTTTACCTTTCAAACGTCATCAATCCTTGATTCAAAGCTCCTGTGGGACTACTGTACGATTGCATGTAGGCTTGCAGCTCTACTATGCGCATCCTCAATTTGGAAATCTATTTCGTGACGGCCTGTTCCCCCTTATCGAGCGACTGTTATTATCGTTGAGTTGCTCCATTTGGAGCTTCGGTCCGCAATGTCATCAGCGCCGTATGTTGATTCCGTCCTACTCAATCCTACCATCCCATTTTAAAGGAGATTAAAGTAGTTTCGTCGCTCTTTGGTTCTTTTATCCATATGCTAACTTGTTATCTACAACTGTAGGACTATCAAGGACCTTACGAAAGCCGTGAATAATTTTGTACCGATAGCGAAGTTTCCGTTGCCTGACGACCTTGTCGAGATCATCGACGCATATCTTTGCAAACATGAGAAGTTCGACGAGAGTGCTGCCGACAAATTAAACGACGAGTTACTTTCTTTATTTCATAAAGATGTATCCCATGTCCCGTCTCGCTATACGGCTTTCGTTGCGCTTCTTCGCCGTTTGCGCCCTATAGTTGGACAACCAGACAAGATATTCCAGTGGTTTGACTTGTTATTACTAGTACTCAACTACCTAAATCAGGAGAAAGATCTTGCTGCCGAGGTAGAAGGTACAATTCTGGATATTCTTACGGCGGACGATGGCCATGATTCCAGCTCCCCGACTGGAGGTGCAGCCCCTCAACTTGCAGAGCGCATCCTGCTGCTATGGCTCGATGAGTACGAGACTATAGGGAAAAGTCCCGATGCAATATCAGAATTTAAAGAGAAACAAATGCAAAGGACATTGTTACATTACGGGAAGAGACGTCCAAAAGTATGCTCCAAACCCTCTCTCTCTCCATCTCCATCTACATCAACATCTATACTTTGAATAGCATGCTAAGTATCTATCTTAGGATCTTTTGACTGTTCTCGACCAATATGTGGCCAAGAAAACATATCGTGCCCGTGCTTTATCATTCCTGGCCTTTTTCGTACAAAGTCAACCACCACATCTACATCTTATATTGCAGACACCATTGTTTAATAACTTAATCAACTGTCTCCAAATAGACACATCGACGACTATCGTGTCTCTCGCCTTGACCGCTCTGACAATGATTCTTCCGCATATGCCAAGCTCTCTCGTCCCTCACCTCCCCACGCTGTTTAACATATATGCGCGGCTTCTCTTCTGGGAGCGAGAGCTATCTTCTCAAGTGGCGACTGAGATAGATCAGGAGCGAAGGCTCTCTCCTAATACTCTAGCCTGGGAAAAACTCGCCTATTCTCCCGATTTTGATGACACGGCTATCCCGCAACTCCTTCACTATTTCACTATTCTGTATGGCCTGTATCCGATCAATTTCATGGACTACATTCGTAAGCCGCAAAGATATCTTCGGCACGCCGAGGTGCCCGATGCCGACGACATTGAAGTCCAGCCCACTGAAATCCGCGATGCATCGGAGCGTTTCCGGCAATGCCATCTCCTTCACGAGAATTTCTATACTCTTACTATCGATTCAGAGAAGGATAATTTCGGGAGATGGATCAAAAGTGAACCATCCGAAGTCGTAGCCGACTGCGTAGCTCTCTGTCAGGCCGGCGAGGCGTTGCCTAACCAGGGTATCGTAGACGCTATTAATATAGGGGCGTCCGAAAAGGATGAACCCGAAAAAGACGGCCACGATTCCGCGCTGCTCAGTGGTTCTTATCCGTTCGGCGTGTCTTTCAGTCCCTTCCCAGGGGACAACAGACGAAACACGGGATCGACGTTCGCTGAATCTATCACAAGTAGCCGAAAGCAGTCCGTCATAGTTCGTCAGTCATCCATAGGCAGTTATCACTCTAACCGGGACGTATCGAGTCCAAGGCCGTCTGGACTCGGTAACGAGAGCCCGACTCTTTCTCGTCAACTAGTTCAGTCTGGATCACAGACACAGCTTCAAGATTTGATTAACTCTAATAAGGTCATCAAATCAGGCTTGCATCAATCGATGGCGAATGACAGTGTGCCATCTCTTGCCTTAAGCCACCATGATTCCATCTCAGACCGCCAGGGATCGCAGCTTCAACCAAGTTCTCAATTAGGCAATACTTCATCCCCGACAGATAGTATTAGCGCTCAGATTGCCCACCTCCAGCGCCAAATCTTGCTTTTGTATAATGATCTCACGTTTGAACGATTCATGAAGCAGCAGCACCTTACTCATATGGGTGCGCTGCGAAGGCGACACGTGCGAGAGGCAGCAAGTGAGGCAGAAACCCAGAACTTGATTATACAGAATCGCCAGCTTAAGCAAAGGCTAAAAGATGCAAAAGATTCGGAAACCCAAGCTAAAAAGGAGTCTGAGAAGAGTCGTACATTATCGAAGAAGTGGGAGGCAGACCTAACAACTAAATTAAGGGGACTTCGCGAAGAACAAAAGAAATGGAATGCTGAAGGAGACACATTGCGAACTGAACTAGATGCAGCAAAGGGTGAATCGGAACGATTGCGGTTGTTGGTTTGCGAAGCCGAGGTTAGGGAACTGGATTTAAAGCAAAATATGCAGTCCGTCGAGATCAATGTTGGTGAGCTAGTAAGGCTAAGAGAAGAGGTTCAGCGACTAGCAGAATGCGAACGAAATTATCACGCCAAAGAGACGGAACGCCAAAACATGGCAACACATGCGGCGGAGGCGGAAGGTCGAGCTGAGATGCTAGAGATGAAGCTTAAAGCACACGACTCCGATATCCAGAAAACACATGAAATGTATAAATCACAGATCGCGGAACTGAATGCAAGGCTGCAAGGTGCGCTCAAAACTGGCACGGGGCACAGGTCTGAAGCTCTCAAGACACAGCTAGAGAATACCCTAGCAGCAAACCGAGAGCAGCAAACGGAACTGAAGAACCGCATCGCAGAAGTTACGAGGAAAAATTCGATATTGCAAGCTACCATACTGGAATTGCAATCTACAATATCCAGCCTATCGAAGCCAGATCCTCATCCGTCGGCAGATACCGAGGTCGACTTTTCGTCCGACTCAGGTAGCCCTTTGGGTTATCGCAACCGCCAGCATCGTGGGTTTTCCGAACCGGATATGTTTGAGGCGACATCGTACAACCCCACCCCGCCACTTGAGCCTTACAGCAGTGTTGGATCGGCAGGTAGCCAGGGACGACGGCCTTCTACGCCGTTGCAGAATGATCCGCTTTCCGCAGGCAAAGGCAGCCCGACGACAGAGCGATATTTCGGACGAGGTAGGTCTTGCTTGGTCGTGACATTCAAGGTTGCTTCTTATACTAATTTCTAATAGGTGGCGTACAAAACCTCCGCAAGGAAAAAGAAAAGAAGAAGGAAGAAAAGGAGAAAAAGAAATCAACTGGACTACGCGGTATTAGAGGTTTCGTCTAGCCCGGCGTCAATATTTCTGAGATGTCGTAATGAAGCAGTCCTGTCAAGTTTATGTTTACCAGAGGTCTAGGCAAAGAGCCTAGAGTGTCTACATCGACGAAGAAAGCATAGCTAATGGATATCCTGCGGCGTGAGCATTTCATAATTTGATACCCTAACACCCAGTAGCAAACATGAATCGCACGAAATGAACCAAGCTAGCTATACACTTGCGTTAATGTGCAATGACCCTGACCTTGGCTCTGATGAGCAACGTGATTCGTTCCCTACGGCTATCTTTCCCATAGAGATTTTGAAGGAGTTAAGAGAATTGTTCGTTATGATAGAGGTACCATTTTCCAATGTATTACATTCCCCAACCATTTATGAACTCTCTCTGTCGTGTTACTAAATAAACAAGATATAGAAGCTCCACTTCCCCTGGCCCTACCCCATAGTTCTCTGGGTAGTTCATCGGATGCCATGTTTTGTAACCTTGCAGCGAACCGGTTCGTATCCCCAAAGACCCTTCGGTATTGCAATTTTGCGTACCTCATATATTTACTACGGTTAGCGCCGTCCGAAAACACATGTTCAAGCCGTATTTCATGGTCGGCATAGTCTTGATTTTACTACACGCATGTTCCAAGGTCATGCTTAACTTTCACATAGGCTATTTAGGTACATCGTTGTGAATCGTGATAGAATGTTGAATATTTCGCTCTTGTCATCTAGTGCATTGCTAGCTCAACGGATGTGACCTCGAAGACCCGACATGATGGATCTGGGCTCTAGTTACGAGTCATACACACGCTGTAGGTACACCAACATACTGGCTAGACAGGCAGCTAGAAAATTACAAATGTCCTAAAATGCCCACGATTTCGTCAATGGGTTCAAAAATTTTACCGACATGGAAACCGCTCGAGCGATCAGAACTATACAGATTATTTGTTTTTGGTTAAAATTAGGTGTAAAGCCCAAGTGTAAGACAAAAATGAGCACATATTTACATCCGGATGACTCGGAAGTATCCGATAGTGCTTCGTGTTCCTCCAATGCTAGCCGCAGGTACACAGGTGCATGATGTTTTCGAAGACAGCAGCGACGGAATAGCCTACTACATAATATTTACCTAGAAGCCGCTCTCTTTCTGAAACTGCGCACAGAATAGATTCTGTGTTGATTATTTTTCTTGGGTGGTTTCCTTTATTCATTAGCGTTCTAAGATGCTCTTGTTTTGATCCCCTATTCGCTAGATACCTAAACCTGACTTCACGTGAATTTGCAAATTTGTTAATGGTGGCTGAGTGTACTAGCCAGTCATTAATCGAGCTCAATAAGCCGGCTTAATGCAGGAACAGAGTGCGGTCCCAATGCACGAGTAAGGGGTCCCGGCAATGACTGGCATCTCGCTGTAAAAGCTGGGTTTCACTTTGACCTGAGTGAAGGAATTGAAGAGGAATTCGTTCCCCTTAACCCCTGAGGCGTAATGAAGATTCCATTGGTAGTTCTACAACATCTAGATCAGTGTTTTCTTTCCAAGCGATAACAAGTCCTTGGAATGTTTGGATTGATCTGTCTAGGTTGATGTGCTCGAAGATCATGTAACATGAATATACAGTGGATATAATACTGTTCGGACTGTACTATCTCGTGAAGATCATAGGGTGCTAGAGATGTTTATGGGTCAAATACGAGATTTATGCACGTCATTGCCAAGTTATTGATTTTTTCTTTGACTGGATTTGACCCGTGTACGCTGTAGCCGAGTCGGGCAGCTGGACTTTCTGTTGGTACTCACAATAATAATGTATGAAACTGAGGATTCATCCAGATAAATAAACATCCTCAGACGTTTCACAACTGACAGCGAAAACCTTTTAACACCTAAAGTTGCACACGTGAAGCCGCAATAGAGTTGCTATTTCTTCGCATTCAATTGATCAAGGGAAGTCGTGGGCTGTGTTCCGCAAAGAAGGGGGACAACTGGGGCAAGTGGTCTCTTCGGAGCTTGTTTCCTGACTTGCGCAGGGGTAAATCGGGTAGCTACACCTGATTGGGTCGATCGGTGGCCACTCAGAGACTCCGCTGCGTCGGGACCAAGATGGGAAAGCAGGGCACGCAAGGATCCACCAAGGATAGTATTCTGGGACGGTGGGGCCGTGGCGGCTTAGGTCCACCTAGATCCACTTAAAGAGTCTTGACACTGTCTTCTTCGAGCGAATCAGAAGTTGGCAAGATGGAAACTGGCGCGTCTTCTTTGCTAGGAATATGCTTACCGGTATGTTTGTAGCACCACTGGGCTAGGAATGTAAGGAATAGAAGAAAGAAGTATTTTGTATTGTGCTATTTTTATTATTGTTGTGTGTGTTGGTACAAGTATCATGCCATCTGCTGTCATGTCACCACACAGCCTTCTAGTCTTTTCTTTCATCCCGTATTCTCATTTTCTAGTTGCTTGAGTCGTTAATCCTGAGTCTTGGGTTGTTACTGTATTTCTAGGGGATTGTCCAGCACCACGTGAATCACCTTCATTAACCCTAACTAACCCCTTCTTAAGTAGTCTCTCTTTTGGAATACATATTATCGATCTTTCTTCCTTCTTAATACAATCTAGACTACATACATTTACACTCGCTTTGGTTTACCTACTGTTTGAGGCCGACGTTCTTTCTTCTCAGCCTGAATCACTTGAAACCGACTTGGCTACACTGCGCCTACCTGACTCCGATCCTGACGATACGATCACTCCGAAGAACAGTTCAAGTCTAGAAAGCTTCACTGCTTTTCTACCTAAACCTGTTTCTGTAAAAACAATATCCCTATCAATATAATTTCCTAGGAGTATCCTAGAAACCTCACATTACTCAACATGCATTCTCTCACATCCCTCCTCGCCTTGGCCTCCACGGCCTCGGCCATCCAAGGTTTTAACTATGGTTCTACCTTCACCACAGGTGCTGCCAAGCAACAGTCCGACTTCGAGAATGAATTCACCACAGCACAGAACCTTGTGGGAACTTCCGGTTGGACCAGTGCTCGTCTCTACACCATGGTGGTAAGTTTAAATTGAGACCAATCTCATAAAAATAAAAAGTTCTCATCATTCTAACTCATACGCGTTTAGCAAGGAGGAACCGCCAGTGACCCTATCTCTGCCATCCCCGCCGCCATCAAGACGAAGACCACCCTTCTTCTCGGTCTCTGGGCCTCTGGAGGTGACACTTCTTTCTCCAACGAGATCCTTGCCTTGAAGGCCGCCATCAAGCAGTATGGAGATGATTTCGCCAAGCTAGTTGACGGTATCTCCGTTGGTAGCGAAGACTTGTACCGAAACTCGCCTCAGGGAATCGCGGCCGGCTCTAACGTCGGAGTTGGACCCGACGTCATCGCTCGTTATATTAAAGAGACCAAGGAGGCTATCGCAGGCACCGGTTTGGCCAAGGCTCCCATTGGTCACGTTGACACTTGGACCGCTTGGTACAACGGAACCAACCAGCCCGTCATTGACGCCTGCGATTGGATCGGCATGGACGCCTACCCTTACTTCCAGGACTCGATGCCCAACGACATCTCTCAGTCCAAGTCTCTCTTCCAGGACGCTCTTGGCAAGACTCAGCAAGCTGGCGGCGGAAAGCCTGTCTGGATTACCGAGACTGGCCAGCCCGTCAGTGGTAAGACTGTTGGACAGTCTATAGCATCCACTTCCAACGCCGAGACTTACTGGAAGGACGTCGTCTGCCCTCTGATCGACAGCAAGACCAACCTCTGGTACTACACCCTCCAGGACGCTGCTCCCGACACCCCGAGCCCCAGCTTCGGTATCGTCGGCAACAAGCTCCAGACCACGCCTCTCTTCGACCTAGGTTGTAACAACACCAAGTCCGAATCCTCCTCTTCTGCTAGCGCCTCCGCTTCTGCCACTGCGTCTGGTTCTTCTGGCTCTGGCTCCGGCTCCGGATCTAGCGCATCCGCTACCGCGTCTGGCAGCAGCTCCACTGCTATTTCCGGCGGAAGCCCCGGTGGTGTAGGCAGCGGTCAGATCTCCAGCCAGGGATCCGCCACCGTGACCCCTACCGCCCTTAGCCCCGGCGCGACTGGCACCGGTTCCGGCTCTGGCTCCTCTGGCTCTGGTTCTGGTTCTAACGGAACCTTTACCTCGCTACCGCCTTCCAGCAGCACGTCCGTCCCCGCTAGCAGCGGCACGGGCCTGCAGTCCGGTGCCTTCGCTGCCGCGTTCGCGGCCATCATGGGCGCTATCTACGCCTTGTAAACGGATCGTCTCAGTACATAAACCCACCAACATGTTTTTCTCTCTTTAAGGACAGGTTTTTATGATCGGCGTTACGAGGCGGCCGTACCGGGTCTCCATAGGTTCAATGCCGACGGCAAGGAAGCCGCGGCTGGGCTATAGGGGATACACGGATATAGACAAGGTCTTCTCTTTTTTATTTAATGAATAAACAAAAATCCCTCCGACGCGGAATGGAAAAGGAGCGGATGGATGGGTTGGGATGGACAAAGTGAAGTGTTGCCAGATTGAGGTTATGGTGCACATTAGATCTTGTAATGAATGCTCTCCACGTAAAAGCAGAGAAGGCTTGCCCACTGTTCAATTCATGAGATATATTTTCCACCCTAGGACTTGGAATTGTGATGAAATGAAATGAAAATGTCAACCTAATTACGAATGGTAGCTCATTAGGACTCCAGATTTATGACACCCACTGGATGCTTCACTACCAAAACCTTAAAGAGCAGGCTTATGTTCAAGCTTACATATTATCTTACTTCACATCACTCATTAAATTGCTAAGTGGACGAGGTTCAGACTCTATCTCATCAATGCTTATACTTATCAAGTGAAGTATCTCCTAAAAATATTAGGTAACACAACATCTAAAACGAAGATTTATTTAACGTTGGTTAACCTCAAATAAGGTTCACTAAAGCCAACGTTCGACTAATCAACTCCCAGCATCTCAACGACAAGTATCCCAAAGGGGAAGGAGGAAGGGTGGAGACTAGATACCCTAAGTAGGTTGAAAATGGGTCTCGTGAAGCACGTCAACTTACGTTCGTCTAACGACATTATTCTGAGAAGCCTGCCTCTCAAAGCTCCCGAGACATGGGTACCCAATCGGCTATTTTATGCAGTATATGTTCCTTATCCTTAGATCCATCGTGCACATGCATTTAGTTCTTAGAATAGAGTTACGGGTCCACACTTGAAAGTTGAGGCTCAACTGACGTGCCTCGAGACTACATGTATGACACTACACGAATGATTTGTGCATGTATGTACTACGCAGAACTTACTCTGACATACAGATAGCTGCTTAGGAATCAACAAGATATATTGCACAAACTAACGGATAGTTCAAGTATCTAAATTTGAATATATTATATTATTATCTACCTCGTAGTAGGTAGTTTAACGATTGTCGTGATATGCTAAGTAACTCAACTATGCAGACATGCTACCTCGCTGAAAACCTAACATGCAGCAAGGATATATAACGTAAACCATATTCTATCCATGGGCGCGTTGGAGGATATCGTTGCATAGGTACAAAACTCCAACCCGTTTTTTTCCAGACCTGCCCCTGAACGCCAAACAAATACACACATGTAACGCCAGAACCCGCAAAATTTGTTCCTGTAACCATCAACATCTACATAAATGGACCATGATTCATCAAAAGTTCATCCGGATAGTCGGCAAACGGCCATCCCATTGCTCATGACCGAGTATTTAGCAACGCCATCATTTATGGCTCTGCCAATTCGCCCTCTTGTTCATCGTTGTTCACCTCCATAACCGTCACCAAGCCACGATGTCCCTTAGGGCTCATTCCAGCCTCTTCGGTGGCGGTTTCATTTTGGGTTCGTTTGACCGAAAAGCACTGAAATGCGCCGATTATGGCAACAACAGCACTCCCGTACCAAGCAAGGCCAGTGCAGTCAATTTGTGACCCAATCGAATAGAGATATCCAGCAACGGGTGGAGCAATCATACGACAGGCAGCACCAGCGCTAGCTGCAAGTCCGTTCACCTTTCCGAGAATAGACGAGCTAGGAGTGGCCTCCTTAATAAGGATGAGGAGGAGAGGGTATATGATAATCGAGAATATGTTCCGAATAGTTAAGCAAAAGTAGATTCCGGGATATAGAAGAGACTCCGGTAGATGTACTAACGTTGGGACGATGACGTAGACAAGCGGGTGTAGGACAGCGACAAGGACGAAGAGCCTATAGATACCAATCTTCTCGGCTGCCAGAGGGAATACGACGACCTGGATAAATAGTGCAATAGCGCCGTTTATTGCCATCACGAACCCCACGGACTGCATCGAAAGGCCTAAGCCACCAGGCGAGTACAAAGGGTTAAACTTTGATAGGAAACTCTCATCCGGAATTTGGTCAATTGGAACTCTCTCATCTTCGAAGAAGATTGGCAAAAGATGGTCGTAAGTCATCGAATGATACGTAAAAATTGAGAGTGCGATGACCAGAGCCATGATACGCTTAGTAAAGATGTTGAAGTGCTCCTTCTTCTCTGGTTCTTTTACACAAACCGCATCACGGTTCAATTCGACACTACCCCGGAAAGTTCCGTAGGTTTCGGAGCGTAGATCGACAGCTGGCTGCTTGATGGCATCGGAGGTCTCCATAAGAGGTGTTTCGTCGGAAACATAAGTGTCATCGGGAAGCATAACTCGCGGTATCATATCAGGATGCGTCTCCTCGAGCAGGAAATATCCCAGGCAAATACTAATTAATAGAAGGGCAGCACAGCAAATATTGGGGAGGAGATAGGGGAAATCAGCAAATAGAGTGCCTGTTGGAAAGGTGCTTGGCCAAGTCTCGTGGGGATCTGCCAACATCCCACCAATTGCTGGGCCGATGATTGTTCCAATGGACCAAACGAACGGCATCACAGAATAGGCGCGGGCTGCGACATTAGCATTGTGCTATAAGTTCGTGGAGAATATGTGTGGCTTCAACTTACGCTCATGCTCGGGTTTGCTGACCAATTCTCCAACCATTGTTTGGATTACGCCGATATTTCCATTAAGAAGTCCGCCGAGTGCTCGACCGATCAAGGCAACCCAGATGTTAGTAGCAAAGCCAACCATGACCATGCTGAACATCGTGCCAAGACATCCTACTAGAAGGACAGGCTTTCGACCGACTCTGTCAGACAGGCCGCCCCAAAACATGCCCATCAAGGCCTCAGCGAGCGAGAAGGAGGAAATCTAGATGATTAAGCATTAATACTCATTGCTAATATTTTGGAAAATATTTTATGAAAACTAATATGCCTGCAGTGTGGGCGTGTTGTGTGGTTATAAGACTGTTAAAATAGTTAGAGAAGTTGAAAATACATACGAGGAGACCGGCGTAGAACGAGGCATCTTGCTCGTTGCCGATTTTGAATCGTTTAACAAGGGCCCAGGCATATGGGAAGATGGAGGTTAGAGCGATAGGCTCAGCTAGGCGAACGATAGCTAATAGAAAAAGCTGAACTGTCGGGAAGTCATCCGGGTTTCGGGGTGATCTCTGCTTTGTTAGGACCATTGCTTCACAACTTAGTATCGATCTTACGACTAGCTGACACAACACTTAGCGCTTGATCTTAAGCTAGCAAGATGCTGGAGCGAGAGAGCAAGCGTCAGGTGTTGTGGCGGCAGGCAGTGCCTTTCCTTTCCTCCAGTAATATTTTTTTTCTTCTCCCTCGAGAAGTTTGCTTCACAAATTCTTTCTTTTATCTACGCCACTAGACGTCAAGAAGACCGGTCAGAGGATGTAGGTAGGGTTGTAATGGCGTAAAAAACGTATGTCAAATCTCGAGTTCTCGTCTGGAGACTGGTTTAGATATAATGAACTGATGGGAGCAGAATATTATATGGAAGGAATCTGCATGTGCATCGACTGCATGAGAAGAAGTGGTAGGGTAGGGGTGGAAGAAGTTGAACAAGGAGGACCGCATCAGAGAATTATACCATGAATCGGAGGTGCTAGGAAAAAATGTGGGGATAAGCTAGTTTTGCTTTGGGATGTGGATCTAGGTAACCTTATTCAGTTACTAGAGTCGTTGGTCGTCCTTAACATATCGAATACCTACTATCAAGGGCAAGGGCAATGAGCTCCGAGCGCAAATCTGAACTTAGTCCTACCCATACTTCGCAGATATCTCCAAGGTCAGTTCCTATCTCGACTCCCATCATTTGCTAACTTTTGCGATCTCGATGTCTGTTGGAAGTCTCACAATGATTATTCATTGTCTATGCGTCTCTTCTCCTTTTTCACCTTCCACAATTTATCTCCACATATCCAGCAAATTTTGTTTGATGTCTTCCGTCTTCGCATGTGTCGGCAGGATGTCGATCTCACAGTCCAAGTATACAGTAAAATCCATGTGGTCCTTCCGAGTGACGGCCGAAGTGATAACCAGCCTGCCAGCAAGGAGGCTGCCGGGCTGTCGGGTAAATGATAGCAGAAGCGCACTTTGGCGGTCTGGAGGTGATAAGCTTTGCAGTGGGCTGAGTGGCTTTCTTGCACCCCCAGCTGCGCGCTACAGGTACCCAGCATACAAGATTCAATTATTTTTGGTTATCATTTTCATGGACCGTTACTCCAGCCGCCTAGGTATGCACGGCCATCACTTTTTGGTTCCCGCACCACACAGACACAAAATGGAACAGCATCTTGGTGCTACTACGTACCTGGGTAGTATCGTATAACATAGGTACCTATGTATAAAAAACCACCTAAGCAGCTAAGTTCTAGTGGATTCATTGGACGAGCCCAGAACCTTACGATCTACGGTCAACAAATGCGACCAATCATTTAATACGGATCTTGGACGACAATGTGGTATAATGTGGGGTTGGTCGCTGTGCTATGTCGTACTTGCGGCATCGCTTTGAATTATACTCACGTATAGAGCGTATCAACTTCCTCAAAATTTTCAGCCACTCCCTAATCGAGACATTGAATAGACGCTAACGGAGGGGCACGAACTAAATCTCCATTAGCCTACTAGTACACGTCTAGTAGCTGTGGATCATTTCACTTCTTCAGAACAATTTCTGCAGCTATTCTTCTAGATTCTTCTTGAAATCAATGCCCTACATAACTTTCCTAACCACTGACCCTCAATACCTGTTACATCAAAGATAACAGGAAGAAGCAATACTATCCAGACTGCCAGAGTCACAATTATTCTAACAGTATTACTTGGATAATGAGCTCATCGGTTTCAAATCAATATGACATTTGATAATTATAAGCTAACCAAGAACTAATACGATGGTAGTCAAGACTCAAGACTGACTTTTCTTTTGGTCACCCGAGCGGACAAGGTCAGACGTGGAGAAATCGAAACTCGAAGTGTTTATCTCTATACACATCCGGTATGTCAGAAGGTCTTTGAGGCTACGACTAGCGAAAATAGTCAAATCTCCGCTGTGACAGCTCAATGCATGACACATATAAATCCTTCTCTCGCGCTGAGTGTTGGAACTTATGGAATTACGTACGCTTTGTACGCTTCACTAGCGCACGCCAGTATTGTGCCTATCTCGGTTCAAATCCGCCACGACCGACACCGGAAATTCCTCACCTCTTCGGATTTGTACCTAACACACCTAACACCAGCACACCTTCGCCCAGAACTGTCCACTTGATCTCATTTTTGCCGGACCACAACAACATTGTCGAATCATCTTGAACGCTGAATAATTGGGTCTAATTAAGTGTCTATTACATATTTACGTATCACATTTAGCATCTATCAGACCCGACCCAGAAGACTGCGCGAATTGAGTTACTAACTAGTTGTATAATGCCCAGGCTTGATATCAAGTTCCAATATTTGCAGCTCTTTTTTACCTCCTACATAGCAGGATTTTAAATGTCTTATCATAGGTATCTGCGCTAGCACCCTTGGATAGCAGCACTCGAGGTCACTAATGCAATGCTATGCAGTCCCACCTTCCTGCCGAACCCCACAATAGTATTGCTGGGGTTTCTTGCATGCGGCTAGCCCATCGAGTTCCAGCGAACCTCCCTCAGTGGCCGTTCCGGGCCGGCTCTCCAAACTTAACTAGCGCAGTATAGCGCTTTTTTAACGCGCTTTGTTCTCTATCAGATGTTAATGGTCAGAGTGATAAGATGAAGCACCCTTACTTCGTCATAATGTAGCTCTGTTTTGGATATTAAAGTTACACCGAGGGAAATATATCTCTTCCTGTCTGCGGGAAATACTTGTGCGATTGTATAAAGCCATTTAGGTCATCCAAACCATTCTTCCCCCTTACGATTAATATACAATGCTAAATTTGGTGCAGATTACACGTTTTGTATAGTACACTTTCAAGCAAACAGCCGGCATCCCTTACCATGGTAAGTTACTTGAGCACAAACTTCTTGAAGATACAAAGCTTGCATATTAAGGGTCTAAAAAAGACCCTATAATACTGTATGAAGGGACCACGACACGCTTCAATATCCCGCGCCCGGTAACATTTTATTCTTGCGACCACACCTCGATAGCACGACGCAACCCTCCTTGCTACATATTCAGATAACGGCCAATCGGTATGCAACCACGGGCCTTATCCGCGGGCACAACATGAAATAAACCGCCGAATAAATATTAATAATATATGATATATGCTACGGAGGATGACGTTTTATCATGATATATGGCTACCTTACGATGAATGTTGACAACAACGTCTACGCAACAACAGACAAAACGTTACCTCAATTATCAGGTCACGATTAGGAAACTCTTTGCGAGTTATATCTTCTCTGATGTCATCCATCCCGATTTTCAGTATGCCTACCTCATCTATTCGTCGATGATATTCGACCACTAGAGGCGCTTCCTCAGCCGCATGTATATCCCGCATGGATGCTACCTCAAACGAATGTGTTGCTAGAGTAGCAGCAGAGTTATTGCCAAGAACAAGGCTATAATATGCCGTGTCGTAAAATCTATACCTATTCAATCTATGTCAACCCCATGCTCTATGTTTTATGTCAAGATAAGCGTGGGCACTCGTTGCTCTCATTATAACAGGTTGTCATAGGAGATAGACTCAATGTCACATTGTATCTCCAGAAGAGTTATGAGGCTATGTGATATACCACCTATATCCATTACTAGGTAGGTATAGTAAATTCGAGGGGCAACATTTTCCGAGTCATTACGCTTAAATAGATATTAACAAGTATCCTTATGTTTCTCAATTTCTATCCAATGACTTAGCCGAGTTTATATACAACATTTGGTCTAGTCGTATATTTACCTAGTATTCTCCATTACGAATTATTCCACTCCAGTACCTAATTACTCGCGATAATATTTCACGCGCACCGCGAAGCCTCGAAAAACCTCTCTAACTCATCAAACGAGATACCCAGGAGCTGCGAGAGCCGATTTCTCAACTCATCGACTGAGATCTCGGAACGGTCTGGACTCAGAGGCTTCTGCTCGTCCTTGGCTAGGCGGATGAAGCTCGGTGCTGTTTTCTTCTTATAATCTCCTTTACTCTCCCTAATCTCGCTCTTATTATTCTCTTTTATCTTCTCGGTATGCTCTCTTCTAAAGACCGGTTTGACCGGCTTTTTCTTATTCTTGATGTTCACTTTGATGTTAATATTGACGTTGGGTTTCCGTCGCGGCGGTTTGGGGAATAGTTCTATTCGAGGGGAATCGGGGAAGGGTGAGCTGGGTAACGCAGTGTCGTCTAGCGTTGCTGTTGTCACTGCTGTCCCGGGATTGGATGTTTTAGCTGTGCTAGCCGGCGTTATAACGGGAGATGGTTGAAGTGGGGGCAAAGGCCTGGGCTCTTCGATTACATCGTCCGTGGCGACGGGTAGGTCGAGGTCAGGACAAAGATGACCGTCGTACTGTGGTATACGGAATCGCGCTCCTAGCAACCGGTTCCACATCCAACCTTGACCAGAACAGTGAAAGTCCGGTATAGCGGCCATAGCATGATGTCCGTCCGCAGCAACCTGCGCAGACATACTGAGGTCTTTGGTAGCCGACTCAAGTGTTCGAGGTTGTATCAAACCACCTAGAGTATCGCTTTGTGCCTCTAGCCAGCATTTATCGGAGAACAGACGGGCTATGCTATCAGTAGTGTTAATACTTGCCCTTAGAAAACGAAGCATTGCTGTAGGGCTAGGACTTACTAGTCAACGGGTATCGAGTAGTGAGCGCGGTGTTTAGGCCGCAATCGGTGCAGGTCCCAGGTGAGAATCTGTCTCCATGCTAGACCTTCAGAGAAACTCAACCCATTTGGAAGTTGGGCGAAGTCTTTAATAGGGACTGGTATCCAGCCACCAAAGATAGATGCGACGAAACTATCACCCAATTCCATCTGTAGATCGGCACCATAGTACGGCTCGTGTAAGCCCAGTGTAAGAGCGCGGCTATCTTTCCAGTAGACGGCGTGACCGAGTCTAAAGTTGTCCATTTTATCAGCTTCAAGCTCACTTTAAGAAATGAGAGCGCGGAGAGAGAATATGCACTTACTCATGCAATAATGTTATAGCCGCCATGAATGATGTTAGGAGATACTCCTCATTATTTTCCTTCCCCTGCCGTCTCAACTCCGCCAGCCGTTGGGGAAACTCCGCCGCCACCAATATCGTCTGATTACGCCACCCATCCTCACATTTTTTGTCCCACTCTTGTATAGTCTCATACCTATCAATCTCATCAAGTGCCAACCCATCCCGTGGATGACGGCAGGTATATCCAACCCTGCCCTTTTCGCTAAACATATCAGCGTCAAGCTGCCATGTCAGAGACCTTGCCATTCGGCCCCTGATCTGACATTCCGCAGTACTTATCCACTCTCCCTTCACTTCGTCCGAAGCCCACGTTGCGCGGTGATGCCGCAAAATAGACCGTGGCACAATTTCACCATCCACCATCGGCCCAGCAGCAGAGTGCGTAAAGCTACACCGACAACTTGGTTTCCGCCCGGGATACTCCTCCGTGAAGAGGTCGTGGGAGAGGAAGTCGGAGATCCAGGGCAGACCCGCCGCATCTAACATCCGGCTTGCGAGTAGCAGTGATTGTTCCAATTCCTTGCGCAGCTCCAAGTCCGTGTCTACCCAGTTGGCAAAGATAGGGTGGATTTGCCCTTGCAGGTTGAGATCCAGCAGCTCCGTGGTTCCTATAGCGCAGCATTTTCGAAGTTCCTCTTTATTCCACCTTTTCGAAGTCGAGCCTGGCTGCGACGAGATGAAGCCATTCTGAGAGCCGCCGGTACTCTGGGGTGTCAACATCGTCGCCGCCTTCAAAAATCGTGAGGTATACGGGTATCAATCACCTAAACCCCGAGCTCAAAAATGAAAAAAAGAGAAGGGAAATGTAACCCACGTAGCCAATCCATTTCGAAAACGTTTTTGAAAGAAGATCTATAGTTAGCAAGTTCCCCCTAAAAGAGCCCGACATTCCAACCGAGGCAGTCAGGGAGGGGGTTCTGGAATGGGTGCATGCTAAGCCCCTTGATCTATTCAATTAATTGTCTATCCCTTCCTCTTTGTCTAACGCGACAAAAGCTATGTCATCTACATACCTCGAATAAAATGCCCTTCCGATAAACCACGCTCATCAGCCCTAGATAGCTCGACGTCCGCATACCTCGCGTCTCCTGTCTCTCAACTCTCATACTCCATCCTCCCATCCCCAATAACCTTCCAAAACTCCTCCACTATCTCCCTCTGCCCAGCCGGCGCGCCGCGCACCGCGAGATACTTGCGCGAATCGATCGCAGGCTCCCAATCGCCGGGATTCCCACTCGCCATGATACCGCCCGCCTCCCTCAGTATCGCCCACGCGGCGCACACATCCCACGCCCAACACCCGCCCTCCCAATACACATCGAGCTGCCCCGCCGCAACCGCGCACAGGTTGAGCGCGGCGCTGCCTAAGCTGCGTATAGAATGGACCATCGCGCCGCCCGTCTCCTTGCTCGCGCACAATTTCCTAAACACCTCAGTCTTGACATCGTAATTCACGCCATCCCTTGTACTCCCCCACTCCGCAGCAACAAGACACGTGTCCAATCCCGCCAAAGGCGCCGGGTTCTTCGACAACGGCAGCTTACTGACGCGCCCTTTACCCCCTTCGAGCCCCCACGCGGCGCCGAGTGTCAGGAACGCGCCTTGCCCGCGGATGGCCGTGTACAGCTTGTCCTGGTAAGGGTTATACACGACGCCAACGGCGGGGACGCGGTCGATCGCAAATCCGAGCGAGACGCAGGCTTCGGGTAGGCCGTGGACGAAGTTCGTAGTGCCGTCGATGGGGTCGACGATGAAGGTCGGGGCGGCGGTGACTTGCATGCCGGGTTTGTAGGTCTCCTCGCCGATGAAGGCGAAGGAGGGGTAGGCTTTGGAGAGGCGGGATGAGACGAGGGTTTCGACTGCTTTGTCGGTTTCGGTTACGATGTCCGCGGCTGTACGGGGGTAAGTGGTGTTGTTAGTTCATGTTGCCAGTAAAATGCCTTCTATTCTCGTAGGAGCAATGGCGGGGCAATTGATCATACAATTCAGCTTCGTTCCCGTGGCGATGTCCGTAGGGTTTGCGGACATGATCATACGGCCAGCCTCGCGGACTACCGATATCAAGGTCTCTTGAATCTCTTGGAGGTTAAGGTCTGCCATTGTTCCGGTCTTATAACCTTGAAAGGTAAAGCACTTAGTTGAATTAGAAGAGGAGACATTTTGAAGCTTTGCAAACAGCTATTAAGGTAAGGTTTAAGAGTTATTTAGGTGGGGTAGCGACGATGGTATGGCGGGGATTGGGGGAGTGACATTCGATTTTGACTGCATGTGGGCGAGCAGGGGTATACGATTAGCCGATTGTAGTTTCTCTATACTTGCAAGTATGTAGGTAGGTATATAAGTACAGTTACATACCTATATAATCAATTAACTCATTAAATTCAAGTTTCAATATTTACATGCTATTCACCTATGTTTAGTTGAGAATATCGGAGATTGCCTTGAAATTCCTCTGAAATTCTCACAAAATGGATCTCTCACAGGTTCGTACTGAGACTAAACCCGGCACCCTGCTAGCCGCTGTGGGGACCGACCGGCTCCGCTATTCTGACGTTTAGCGGTCGATTCGATTGCCGAGCTGAAGAAACAACCGTCCTCTTCCGTTCAACTATTTCCATTATCCCGGGTCGGATCTATTATACCAGGAGATAATATATAGACACAGAACCAAAACCTTTCTATATCCGTAAACCCAATCACACCCTTCACCCACACCCGCAACACCCCAACCATGGCGACCACCAAGCCCCTCATCACAGTCCTCGGCTCCCTAAACATGGACCTAGTCTCCTACGTCCCACACCATCCGCTACCAGGAGAAACCCTAACATCAACGCGCTTCGCCATATCCCCCGGCGGCAAAGGCGCGAACCAAGCCGTAGCCTGCGCCAAGCTATCCCGGTCTCAACCGCGCTCATCCGCACCCCCCTCCGCCGCCACCGCAGACCCCACAGCCACAGCCCAAATCCGCATGCTCGGCGCCGTCGGCCAGGACACCTACGGAACCCAACTCCTCACCAACCTCTCCGCGCACGGCGTCGACGTATCAGGGATCCTAACTCCGCCCAACACCAAGACCGGAATCGCCATAATCCTCGTCGACGAGCCGACGGGGCAGAACCGGATCGTGTTATCGCCGGAAGCAAACCACTCCCTGCTCGCCGCCCAATTCAGCACCTCTGCCTCCCTCGGAACCCCGCTTCCCAATCTCCTAATAATGCAATTGGAGATCCCCCTCCCCACCGTTCTAGCAGCCCTGCGTTCCGCGCGGGAAGCCCGGGTCCCAGTCCTATTGAACCCAGCGCCGGCGCAGGAATTACCGGGGTCCGCGTACGAGGGACTAGCGCATTTAGTTGTCAACGAAACCGAAGCCGCGATCCTAGGCGGAGTATCGGAAGCCGAGCTGGATACCCTACCCGGGATGGAGGGCGTAGGACGCACGTTTCTGGAGCGGGGCGTGCAGAACGTGATTATCACGCTCGGGGGACGCGGGGTATTCTACATGAGCGCGTCCGGGGCTAAGGGACTAGTTCCAGCCGAGAAGGCGAAGGTGGTTGATACGACAGCGGCGGGGGATACGTTTGTGGGGATGTACGCGTTGGATGTAGTTTCTAAGGATTTTAATATAGAGGAGGCGGTGAAGAAGGCGAATCGGGCGGCGGCGAAGACGGTAGAGAGGTTGGGTGCGCAAGATTCGATACCTTGGCGGGATGAGTTATGACATGTTATATGATAACGGGATATTGGTTACGTGGGCTAAGAGCTAAAAAGAATTAAGTAGAAAAAAGAGGGACTTGAATTGCTATAGAAAGCAGAGCCCAACGAATATACTTGCTATGTAGACTATCTAATGAAAACTCTGCCATTACTCCTGTTGTCTAAACCGGATTTTATGAGTCTAGTTTACTTAACTCATTACCACCAACTCCCCAAACTCCAACGTCCTTCCCGCTTTCGCCCATCAAACTGGAAGCCTCGCCCCCCACATGGGCTTGGGGAACTAGAAACACTGTTCTCCTTACCTTCAGGCGTTGATCCTGCAACTGATGGCACTAAACTCTTTAAACTATCGGCACCTATAGACCTCCTATTGCGCACTGCTGTCTCCCGTATTAGTTCCCGCTGCCGTTGGACATCTGACTTGGACTCTGATCGCGTTGGCTCCGGGCGAGATTTTGGTCCGGGGTTAGGCGCATCGACGAACGTCGTAGCCGCAGGAAGTCGATTAGCCTTGCTCACGTGGAAGGCCGGGCGATTACCTGAAGATGTCCTTCGTAGCTCCGTCCAGATCTTTCTGGCCGGGTCCGAGATTTTCTCCGGGGGCAACTGCCTGAGACTAGCCTGCCGTTGGGGTATAGGAGGAGCTCTTCCTGTTCGGTCGGGCAATTTGATTGTATCATCAATCCTGTCAATTTGAGAGACACCCATACTCGCCCATTTTGGTATCAGACAGGAATTAGCCCGGTTTGATACGATTCTTTGCATGACTTCGCCAGCCCGAGTTGGACCCCAGTGGGAGGCAATTATAGTGAACAAGTGGTTGGGCATACGGGTCTGTCTGGGGGACCACGCAGAAGCTGGGTTGTATCGATTTATAGTCCCAGTAGCTGTTGTCTCTAACCGGGTTTGATAATTGGTGATGCCGTCTTCGATAAGAGTGCTTCTAAATGCCGGGAATCCTGAATGGCAATAGTTAACCCGGACATGAATGTATTCTATTCGAACATCCCCCAGCTCAAGTTCAAGGTCAGCAATGAGATTATCTGAGTCACATTTGGATGTTTTAGACTTTTGGAATTTCGAAGCTCCTGGTTGGATGCAAACTAGTATGAGGAGGCTAGAGCCAGGACTCATTGTCCTACGTACTAGTATCAGCCCACATATCCGAAAGTGTGCTAAGATAACATACCTTATTACAGTATCGCCCATCAGATTTATTATACTACCTCCGGTTGCAGGTAAAATGTCTACCCTTACGTTATATAGATATCCATATCTCGATAATCCGGTATCACCATGGTGAGCGGGGAGGAAAGGAGCTTGATCGGCGGTAGAATATGCTAAGTCATGTGTTGAATTGCAGGTACGGGGGTGAAATAATTGACCAGATATCTCAACCGCCGTCCAAATGCCTGATTGCCCATCATTAAGACTTTTCGATTCCGGTGTGATTGAAACATGCGGGATAAGCATATATGGATCAGGGACAGGATCCGGAGTCTGAATATCCACCAAAGTATTACCACTGCTCAAACGATGTGTTGAGGACTCTTCAAACGACCGTGGTTCTGAAAATCCGGAATTTGAAGATTGTTCCCATGTAGTGGTCATCATAGGCTCATTAGACGATTTGAATACTGACTCATCTGAAGAGCCGCTTAGAACTCGCGAATCACGGTGATGAGTAGTTTTAGAAGACGGCCTTCTACGAATAGATAGCGATCGCAACTTCGTGAGAAACGTAGGAGACAGTGGGCGTGTAACATGTAAGCTTGGCGAGCGACGGCATACTGGAAGCTTTCTAGGTTTGGGGGTCGCGAGATCCCAAGTATCACTCGAGACTGTAAGTATTTTGTCAGTGGAGACTGGACACCCCAAATCAGGATTTGAATAGTTCACCTGAATCCCCAGTGACGTTTCGTGCCTGCCCCTTGAAGCCATGACCAGAAAGCGAGGTATTGACACTACTCTGCCTTCTCTTCACATTTGCTTTTCTCTGGGATTTCCGATTCTTCACAATCGTCAACGGTTGGTCAGGACCACTCTCAAGACTTTCGTTGCTGAATATCCTTGGACTTCTGAGGACCTGCATTGACTTTCCCTTCTTGATTACGCGCAACGGTAAAGGGATATCCGTGCTTGACGACTGATGTTCTCGCATGATGAACAGGTGGCGGTGGGGTAATGGTTGAACTGGACTCGTTCCTTGCTTGGCCGATAAAATTGCTCTCGATAGTTGTGAAGCTACCTCCTGCGGGATCTACGAGGCTAACTTGAGTTTGCTGTAGACGTTTTTGGCGTCGTAATTTTGGACAGGCACAGAGATTTGGGAGGAGATCAAACCCCTTCAAAATCGTCCCAGCAATAATTACAACTAAAATAGTAGGAATCAGAGCAATGGCGCAGATGATTCCTGGGTGCAGAGGTTGTTCGGACATATCCGATGCTTGAATCAATCCTGATAGTAAGATGAATACAGAAATCGAGGTCAAGTAAAAAGCGTAAGAAGCGTAGAAAAGAAGAATGGAAAAATACAGATAAAGCAAGATAGCTCGAGCCTTGAAGTTGTATTGGTAAAAGCGCGGTTAGGGGTAGAACTGAATTGTATATGGTATGGGTATCAAAAATCCATGATTAGAAGACTTCTTTAAGTTCTCTTCATAAGGACATCTCAGGCGTAAAAAGATGCACTTTCCTCCCTTTCCACCATACATATATACACCTACGCATTTATGGGAAAGCACAATCATGATTCGTTATCCAGGGTTCGCAGAAGGTTATCCTTGACAACATCTACGTCATTGTCCTCCATACTCAGAAAGCGGATCTGTATCAGAGTTAGCTGGAGTGTACCTGTCTAACTTGTGCTTCAGATGAAATAGACGCAAACTTACCACATCATCGGCAGCACCTACTCCACCATACAAAACTGGCTCAGATAAACTTGCAGTCACCGCTTTCTTAACTCTTTCTTCCCATACACCTTCCCAATTCCATTCGCCGGGTTTTCTTGCCGGATCGGGGGTCTTTACTTCGGGGTTGGTATCCGTCGCACCGGCGCTGCTAGTAGTTTCGGAGAACACTTTCCCGTTGTCGATACGATATTGTCGCCATGCACGCCAGGCACCAGGGTTTCCAGCAGCTTCGATAGGAACAGAATCCAGGACGTCGTCGTCATTAAATGTGCTGCGTATGTATCGCAGGACTTCGTATGTAGATATTTCATTTCCCTTTGTTTCTGCGAATCCAGGTGACGCGCCGACGGCGGACCCTTTCGAGCCGGGAGTGCCTGCGCTGCTCATCGACGGAGGAGGCGGGCGGTGAGGCGTCTGTATACCATCCTGTTGCCCGCTCGATTGTCTACCACTACTGACATTTTGGCTCCGGCTTGACCGCCTAAACCAGCCGGGAAATCCATGCCTTAAACTAAACCCTCCGGGCGGCAATCGTTCGGCATCGGTGGCGCTCACTGTTCCATTGTCTTGGACGTCGGTCGAGTACATATACGTGCTTAGAGGAGTAATTAAAGGGTGAAACATGTCGGTCGAGAAGGTAACCAGTGGCGGCAGTCTTGGGTACGAATCGGGAAAGGAGATTTGGAATCGCAGTACGGCGGGAGCGTAAGGGCCTTTGCCAATCAATTAGAACATCTTTGAGCGCAGCTATGCAGGTACCCGATCTCTCACCATCCCGAACGAACAATACTCCGGACCAAAGACTAGGATCGCCCGGTGTAAGGCTTACAAAGACGCCTTCAGGACAAGCCTGCTTAAGCCCTGCGCTTTAATTGCCAGTTAGCTATCGCAGTGGATAATGGGTGCTTTCTACACCGTAACACGCACAACTCAACCAAAAGATGCTGTCTTCTCAACGCCGGCAGCGAGCTTAATTTGGAGGCCATCTTGCCGCCTCGCAGATTAGAAGTGATTGCATTCAAAATAGAAAAAGAAAAGGAGAGGTTCTTATAGCAGCTAACGGCAGTTGAGACATTGGGTCCCTAGTCATTTCATGCGTTCCAAGGTTACCACCAGGACAATTGGTTTAATGAGGATGTCATTAGCTCTTATCGATAAGATAGATTGTACATTCACGGCAACTTCCTTAAAGATCTGTACTTCCAAGGTTGACCCTAGTATTGCCCCACTTACCAAGATGGGGAGGGTGGGCATAGTCATCTCTCTAGTATCGCAGCTTCGGTTTACTGCAGGTTCATCTTAACTTATTCACAAGACAATACATTAGAATAGATATACTAAATTAATCCATACTAAGTCATTATCTTCTCTCTAACAAGCTTCCTCGGAAGTCATGGCTTCATGCTTTGAGTAAATATAGTTAGCTTTTATATAAATGAGAAAAGGATGAACCTGCTAAAGCTTGGGTTTCGAAGCCTCAGTTCCCTGGATCGGCTAGGTACCTAATTTATAGGTTCAACAATAATAGCAACACTGTCTCTTTCAACATTTGCTTAACCGCCGCAACTCGGAAAATACTGGGAAGATATGATTCAATAAAAACCCGATGCAAAACACACTTCCATTTTATATCCGAAGTGTAATGTAGGTAGGTATGTTTCAGTTGCTATCGATCTATCTTGCAATCAGTACAACTTACGTACCTCGGATGAGTACCTGGGCTAATAAATCATGAAGACGGCTAGGTACCTAATTATTATAGCAAACATCAGACGAGGAAACTAGATACCTGACACTCCGAAGACAGATTTCTCGATAAGGCAGAAAAGGCTAAGGAGTGTATTCAAAAGTATTCCAAATCATCGGAATCGATCCATCTCAATCGGACTGCGAGAAACGAAAAAGTCAACCTCCCCTCCTCGTCGTCGGCTCTATAACTCATGCTCTTCCCCTTTCTACTAAGAGCCTGATTTTCTCTTCCCCTCCCCATTTTGTCTTCTCTGTACGTACATTGGTGGACGTAATTCATCATCAAAATAAGGGTATTAAGAACTTTATCATACAAAAGCAAGCTCTCAACACACACACTGTAGGCGAAAAAAAAATAACCTGCCTCATACTCTCCGTGACTAAATGTCTCGCCTGGGTAGGAAGTAATTATCACTCCATTCCTCGTGGCCTCGTTTAAATATAAATCTGAAAAAAATCCGTCCAAGGTAAATCCCCGTACTCCAAAATTCGACATTGATCAAACCTGAGTCTGATGCTCTTTTTGGTTTGCTTTTTGGTTTTATTTCCCATTACCCGCCCCCTTGCTGCCCCCCAAAGAAGAATCCATCGAAGAGGTCGACTTGCTGTCCGTCACTGAAATCATGATGCATCCCCTCCCAACCTAAACCAAAGCCCATGTCCATCTGAAGATCACTGTTAATAATACCATCGCCGTTAGGTTGATCCTGAATACCCTGCAGAAAGTCCATGCCCTGTAAGTCCGAATAGTTTATCCCACCGGGTGTGAAATTGCTCGCCGGTGACCTAATCAGGTTATAATTTGAGTTGCCGGTGTTCTGGGAATATTGTCCCTGGTTGGATTGTGGCGTTAGACTATTGACGGATACAGGAGAGTTGGTGTGTGCGCCCGGAGAAGGAAGGAGGACGGGATCTATGGCTGAATTATCAGGGAGCGAAGCTGCGTCAGATATGCTACCTGCACTAAGGTTCGATTGTGGCATAGAGCGTAACATCGAGTACCCGTCTTGTTCTGTCTTAACGTTAGGCATAGAGAGGCGGAAACCGCCGGATTGCGCCCCTCCCTGTATGGAACCCATCTGAGAAGGTGTCTCAAGTGAATTGTAACTTTCCTGCCCCGGAGTATTATATGATGATGCAGTACGGGATCCAGAGTGATGGGCCTTATGCCGATTGGCTGTCGCATCTCTCGCGTTGATATAGTCGCCCCTTTCATTGTTAGTTCTTGAAGAGCGCTTATTCCGGTGTAACACCTGTCCAAACCCTCCAGTAGAATTTGCCATTTTAATAGTAGCTTTCGCTGTTCGATCAAAAGCATCACGACAAGCTTCCGCTGGCGGGCATTTCTCAATGAGATCCGTAAAAACCGACGTGGCTGCTAGTATCGTGAAATCGACTTCATCCATTGTCTATAGCTATATTAGTCATGTAGTTGCAATCTTGGACTGCTAACTTACAAGTCGACTTCGAACAACGTGTGAATGCCAAATTGCATAAAGATAAGAGATTCCAGCCATGAAAAGATGATGGGTGGCTAGGTAGGTATAGTTGACGAGGCCAACGAGATGCAACTGCCTATACAGTCGTAAAATCTTCTGACCGGCCTCAGCGACTTTGACATATACCCTCTCTTCATCTTCTCGTGACTCGGCGGCGTAGATAGACGGGCTATTGACTTCTTTCGAGGTATTATATTCACCTTCAAACATGGCCGGTACGCTTAGACTTTGTCGATAAAGCATGATTATGGCCTGCCAGTAGTTCAGTTCTAGAAACTCCGGTGAAAATGCGACTCCCGTTTCCTGCTTCGTTGGAGCCGAATTTTTCCATTCGTATAGTCGTGAGTCGATATTTCTCCGCCAGTTTCTGAAGGAATCAAATTTTTGCAAGAAAGGTGATGGGAGTTGAGTATGCATATACTCGTTTCTGTTATTCTGGCCGTTGAACCTCGCCATCTGTGTTTGCTGATATTGCAAAACTTGCAAAATCTCAGATTGTAACAGTCGGAGTCGAAAGTAATGTCTGGCTACAATTTTGTAAGTGGGCTCTCCCTCAGACGGACGCCCCATAAAACCGGCATGAGTGATATAGCGGTCATCTAACATGGAGGGAAATTCTGTCGTGATTACCTGATCTGACACGCCAAATGGTCGTCCGACACAAGTACTGACAAGTCGGTCAAACGAATAAGTGCACCACCAAAGTCGTCGTCTAAGGTCGCGGGTAAATTCTCTTCTGCCTCTTTCACGCAGGTATGCTTCTCGTTTATCACCTGTCTCATCAACCTTAGCCTTAGTAGCAAGATCGAATTCGACATCCTTTCCATCTTCATAGTGAAGACCTAGGTCAACTGCTAATCTCACAGCAACGCCGACAATGTACCTATTTTCAATGTTAATGTTTATCGATATAGCAATAGAAACTCGTGGGATCAGTAATGCGTACCATAATCCAGGTGGGACCGGGCGAAGTAGAGCAAAATTGGCGAGGAGTAACACGGCTTGCAGCTCCTCTAATCCCCCACCACTGTTGCTCAGACAAGCCTCCAGATGAACGACGGCACTAGCGTGATATTCCTCGGGCTGAGCTTGTTTTCTCTCCTCGCCGCCGACTTTGGCGGACGTTGTCTGTGCGTCCATAATAATACCTCCTCCGATTGCATAAACCATATTTAAGACATAAAGCTCCTTTGGACCTCGTACCCTGCCTTCGTCCGCATATGCACGGTCAAACATTTGCATGAAGTCATCTCGGTGGAGAACAGGTATCTGAGGGTTGGCATGCTCGAAATACAACTCTACCAATTTGATGGCCAGGTCTTTTGGAGGGAATTCGGCCGGTCTGATAGTGGGCCGCGTATGGAGGCCGAAGAATGAATCACGCATTGACGTGCTCGAGGCCGTGGCCCCATTCCCGGCAATTGGTCTGTACGGCCGGACACCGGTCTTATCAGAAGTCGACTTCTGGTCGCCGACGGAAGATTGGACGGCGGCGAATACCACGCGCGCAAATGATATCCCGTTAGCAGATCCGAGGTGTCTCTGTCCGCCACCATGTCTCACTATCTTGGCTGGCTTCTCCATCTCATCGCTATTCTTTTGTGGTTTTGCGCTACCTAAGGTTTCTGCGGTTCCAGCAGCGGCCGAGGGCGCACCATCCGTAGCCGTCCTTCCAAGTCCTCCGTCGGTTCCAGGGCGCGAACAATACTCGAGGTTATCAGAAGGCGGGAATTGGATGTTGTTGCGACGAAGCAGCGTTTCTAATTGGTCGACACGGGTTTCCAGATAGTAAACATAGCTAAGGTGTGTATCAGCCGCGCGAATGCATAGATCAGCGATATTGGGTATACTCGACGGCGAACTGACCTGCGCGGTATCTCTCTTTTCGTTATAGGGTCGTAGCCAACGCAAGCAACCCTAGCTTTCTCACAACTAGCGCAGCTAGGCAACTTTTGGTCGCATCTATTCTTGCGCAACCGACAGCGGTTACAAGCGCTGACATTGCGGAAACTGCTGGATTGACCAATCTTAGAGCCGTGACCGGCACCATCATGCGACGAGTGTTCGGTAATGGGAGAGGTAGGGCCGCCATTTCCAACTGACAAAGGCGAATCCTTATCCGGAGATGAAGCACGTTGGCGTTTCGAAGGGTGCGGGTCCGGGGACGGCGGTGAGTGTGGTGGCATGGCGCCGAGTTCCAGGTCCATCTGTAAGCAAAAATTGCCAGTCGCGGAGGCTGCCTGAATAGCGTCCGACTACCCACAAGAGGCACGAATGGTTGGTATTAGGTTGCGCCAACCAGGAGTCGTCTGCGGTGGTTCTTCGGCTGAGGTAAGCTGGATTCGGGCGGCTACTCGAAGGAACAAAATATCCCCCGCTCCATTTCAAGGCTCGACTGAGTGAAATAGCTAGCTACCAAGGTAAGCAATGAAAAAAGTAGAGCTCGAAAAAAACACGAGATCTAAGGGCGCCAAGGTGTAGATGAGCCAGGGTGTGACAATATGAAAATTTGGTAATTGTAATGTGTCAAAGCTATGAGCTATGACGATGCGGGTGTTGTCGTTTCAACCAAAGCGTCAAGGGTGGGCGAGGCTCGAGGAGGCTGAAATGGAAAAGTTGTAAAAAGGTAGATGGGAATTTGTAAAAAGCGAAACGGACTTCGGCGGCGGGAGGGACGGCGGAGACAGACAGGGTCGCTCCTCCTGCATGCAACTCTAGTAAGCTGTAACCGGATCTTTTGCTCCTGCTACATACGTAGATATGTATGTATGTAGATTATATGTAGATAGATGAGATTTCTCCAGCTGACGGGGTTATTCGGCGATTTGGAACAGACAAGCCCACGACGTCACTACCAAGCTCGCAAGCTGATTTGCACAAAACTCGAACAAATACTTTCGAGCAATTGGAGTTCTACAGTTGGGGGTTATCTTTTATCTCCAAAGCTAGTAGAGGTTTTACTGATAAGCCACCTGAGCTGCGCTGCGTGCTAGAATAGGTGGGAAAGCTGGAGCGGATACACTAGATTCAGGGTTCCGAGACACTAACGAACTCCCATTTTGCTTTCCAACTGCGCTGTACGGGATGCAGAGAACCGGTAGAATTACCTAGCAGTTGCGCTTACCCTTTTTTAGGGGAGTTCTGTACAAGGTAACAATGTAACGACCCCCACAGACTCCACTTCTGTTCCACACGCCCGCCTCGTTACAACTTCCAGAAGCGAGCTAGGTTGATCCTTCGTCCAATCAATTATCCCGGAATGCTTGCCAAATCATTTTTAAACCGAGCTCCTAACATCCGCTGTCGTCCGGGTACTTGGCGCATAGCTTTGATACAAGCATACATCCTATGCTTTTGGAAGCTTAAATCCAAGTATCGGATATTCATTTAATAGAAGTTGAGATCTACGTCAAAAGCCACGTCCATCCCCGCATTTGACCATGCATGTTCGCACCTGGAAATATGGATGGCAGTGTATTATCGATGTTACATTTCTTGCTATTGCTATTGCCGATACTAATTTTCGCTATCAATACAAAAGCTCGGCATGGTCGGGGTGAGTCGACTTGCCTAGACTTTGACATTTCTACCTACCTAGATGGGTGGTGGTAAATCTCCATATTGGTTGACGCAATAGTAGAAGTTCATCGCAGATATTTCTCTATGTTTCAGTCGAGATACTAGGTACAATCCAAACTTGACCTATCAAACTTACTACGTACAGATATTTATGGATATTCATTGTCACATCTCACATTAGGATATAACAGGACTCATATCAGGATATAGGTACCGTTTATGTGATATGTTTCACGACATGAACTCTCGAAAGTGTAGGTAGTACTATGGAATGACCATCAGCCCATCTCTTGATAGCTATACTCAATTGCGGTAATAGACACGAATTTTTCGTCGCGGCTTCGTCCCATTTGAATTATCGGGAACTACCCAAACTTTATCCAGATATACTCGATTTCCTCCAATGAGAAGGCTTGAATATATTAGGTGTGGTTACTTACATATACGAGTAGTCTTCAAGGTTCTTACCTTCACCAGACTGGTATAGCCTTATATACATGCCTAGCGAGTTATAGTCGGTCTTTCCCAGTATAGTCACTTACCTACTAGGTACATATAGCTTACCTATGAGTTCTTTCCAAAGAACATATTGGTGGCTTAAGAAAGATAAAGAGTATGGAAGCCGCCCTCCGTCTTCTGGACTAGAAGATAGTCTGAATTTCTAATCACATAATAGAAAATCAAGTCATCGGGGATCTTTCAACTTGTCAAACGAACACTTTATGCCTTCATCCTATCTACATGTCAATAACTATACACTCTCGAGGAACCTCCACGGCCTTCTTAGGGTAACAACAGACCGCGGTAATGTTCTATACCTGTAGTGGCACTTATGTTCCGATTGTACAGTTACCGCCGACATGTCGTATGGTTTCTTCATCTGATTCATTCCACAGACGCCGACTCACCAGAGCCAAAAATCGCAACCAATCGTGCGGACATTCTACCCACCAGAAACGCACGATTCGACGAGCTTTGACCGATGAGCAAAGGCAGTATCTAATAGATTCCTAGCAGGATCTTGTCAACAATGTCCCGGACAAAGATGCTACAGCTGATGACGTTCGAACATGGCTATTAATGGTCCTTCATCGCCGGTCCCATCCGGATCCCGAACGTATCAGTAAGTGATATCGAGAGTCCCGTGTCATATGGGGATGAGAATTTCTTAGTCAAGCTAGATGGATTTAGTATTTTCTTCTCTATAGTACGACTAGAACTTACGAATTCTAGTCTAAAATATATGTATTTATTCACTAACTCATGTTGAAGTGGACAAACTCAACTGGTCGGGGCGGGACCTACATCGTGCTTCGCATTTTGTCACAAAACGGCGACTCCGGGCAGAAGCTGATGGGTCGAACATCGCTCATGACGTACACGATGCCGCTAAAGTGAGTGTCGTTGGGTATAAATCGGAGGTCCCCGACTAACCTCGGACTTCAGCAATGGCGTCGAAAGGAGAAACTACGGCGAAAGGCTCTCAACCCCAGAAGGCTACGTTAGCCGACGAGGGTCATGGTTCGCGGCCGGGTAAGGGGCAGATCCGAGTATCAAGATTCTAAGACGAGAGGCGGGACGTCGTTCCGGTTGACCGCTAGGTCGGGCACGCTTGCTTAGGAGCCAAGTCTAGACGCCGGGCTCATGACTGCTACTCGAGATTGGCCTGAATAGAAATCCCCTATTTGCACGCTTATATACTCATTCCTCGCCGGCTACAGGGTTCAATTGCCACGGCCAGGAATAAAAACGCCCCGTGATGCTGAATCCACTCAGTCTAACAAGTTTTCATCCCACTTTCACCGCAATTTATTCTCCGCATAGGCCAGTTTATAGACCGCCAAAGAGGCCTGGCCCTTTCTCCATGAATGTCCACGTAATCCGTCTGGCTACGGGCTGTTTGGAAGAGGGTAACGTAGGACTTCTAAGTGTGCGTACGCTAGGTAGCATCAAGGATCTTAAATATGCAGGGAGGTCGATCAACTGTTGTTACGTTGGGGGAGGGTCTAAGCCTTACCAGGCCTGCAAGGCTCAACTGGTTGATATACATGCATCTCCCTACATACCTTGCCAGTTAGTCGCGGTAGTTGCTTTAGACTGTTGAGCTATTGGGTACTGTGACACCTAGGTATGCGACCTTCTACAAATTATCTTTCGATGCTACGTCATACAAGGCTCCGTCCGATGGCTGGTATCTGGAGTGATACCTATGTAGGTAAAAGTGAAGCTGTTGGGTTCCCACGGAGATACAGTGCGTGATAGGCGTCTGTTACATCATAGCTATCTTGTAATCTAAGCCCCTTTGCGTTGCTGTCGGTTCACGTATGGCTTCATTTTTGAGATTTTCGAGTCCGACCCACATATACTATACAATTTTTGGCATACGAATGGTCCGATGTTTGATCTATACGATATCCTCTTGAACTATTGGTCGGCTACCGCCCTAGACGGCAGTAGTAACGGTAGCTGCTAATACGCTCATACGAGACAGCAAATCCCCGAGATATATGAGTTCATGACGAAGAAGCACGCTAGATGAAATGTCAAGTATAAGTATGCGCCGGGGAGGTTGAATTTGATTAAGTTGAACGACCGGCTTCGTCTGCTCGACACCTCTTCTCCAAGAAACCTATCTACCCTGAACGCCTTCGTGTATCGTTGACCCCTAAAATGACAAAACCCGTGCAGTGCCCGACGTAATGGTAACAATACTCGCCAAATAGATAATACTAATACTAATAATGGTGACAGAAAACATGTTGCTTGTAACGCCTTGATCCTCCGTTTGAAAATGATGCCAGACAAGGTATAATAACTCTCCCAGCTAGTTTTCCGAGCCTGCCCGCCCCCTTTCCCATGCCCAAACTGAACTCTGTCTTTCCTAGTACACGATATGTTTTTCTCCGTCTTGCAAAAAGAAAATATGGTGACTCCTTGCCCAAGTGTGATTCCCGAAAACCGTTTTTCGTTTTGGTGCCATTGTACATTGGTATCGCAGTAATTCCCTTCCTCAGAAATAGAGATAAAATCTAGTTGCCCAACCCAGTCTATGTAAGTAGTAAGTAGTAGAAATTAACCTTTTTTTCCCAACCGGAGATGTAGACGACCAGGCTAAGACAATTCGAGAGATGTGAGATGAGAGGCGAGAACGATCCGGCGCCAAGAAAGGAACAAGTCATTAAACGTCGTAACCCAAAAGTTCCAAGCTCCCTGTTATACCTGGAATCCCGCCGAGAATGAAATGATGGCCTCGCAATAGGCCAGGAAATTACTCCAATTCCAATCTATGATCCAGATCCAGATGAAACAGCTCGCTCAGCGACCTGGGTATCTTCGGGTTGGCCGCCTTCTGCGTTGTTAGCAGGGACCACCGGCCTATCCGCACGAGTTGGCAGTTCTTTGATCTGGAGCCCCACGATCGCACCGCCAATGGCCACGAAAGCACTGCACCACCACGCCAAGCCCGAGTAACCTGTCTTCAAACCGACAGCATAGAGAATTCCAGAAATCGTTGGACCAAACGCACGACATAAGCTCGCTGTCGATGCTGCTACGCCGTTGATAGTGCCGAGGGCCAAGTGGCTGGGTGCTGAATCTGCGGTCAAGATCGCGTTGCTCGGATATGCCATGCTGGCAAAGGTGCATTTCCAAACCAATACCATTCCAACTCCAACCATGCGGTACTTCTCCGGTAAGAGCACTAGATACGGCGTAACCAAATAGAGTAGAAAATAGGCGAGAACTAAGAAACGGAATAAGCGGCGGGCACCGAAGTGCTTCAGGACTGGCGGAATGATGAACATGTTGACAACCAATTGGTAAGCTCCTTGGGCGCTTAGAACGATGCCGACCGTTTTGCTGTCGAGTCCGAAGCCATCGACAAATTTGAATGGTAGCTTAATCGGCATTGGCTGATCTGGAGGAGCGGTGCTCAAGAATACTGGAAATAGCTGATCAAAGGTCATGGTGTGACTTGGAGTCCGGGTTAGTAAGAGTTGAGTTCTCCGACTCAATGGCGGGAAAACTTACAAGGCTAAAATTCCGAACGAGATGATATTTAGGATTACCGGTCGAGTAAAAATCCTGGACATTCCAAGATTCAAATCTTCACGTCCACTTTCGAGTTCGAGCGAATCCCACGAAATCGAAGGTACAGAGGCCGATCTAATGCGTGGTGAGTTTTCAGGCGAGTTTTCATTCGTCTGATATCCGGGTAGTTGCTCATCGTGATCCAGGAGTGGCTGGGCTTCCATCTCGGCCATTTTCGATTTTTCGTCTCTTGGCTCGGCGCATTTCCGAAAGACTGGTAAGCACGAAAGAATCCAGTTTCCAAGCGCTAGTCCGCGATCCGGCTTCAATTTCTTCTCCGCATGGGTTTCCTCGAGAAACAAGATTCCGTTGACAACTCCAATGAGTACGATAAGCGCGCTGAAGAGATTGGGAAGCAGATAAGGATATCTGTCCCAGATGGTTCCTGGAGCGAACAAACTTGGGTAACTGATACATGGCCTGGCGAGCGCGCCGCCGATCATTGGACCGATAATCGATCCTAGGCACCATACGACGGGCATTATGGTATAAGCTCGAGCTGTCAAAATTAGCTATCCGGCTTTGGAGCACCCAACTGCCATGACCGACTCACGCTGATGCTCCTTGGAGGTCACCAATTCGGCCACGGTTGTCTGAAGGACGCCCATATTTCTGGCTTGGCATTAGTAGATAGTCTCAAAAATGATCGGAACTGCTGGTCGTACCCGTTCAGAAGTCCTCCAACAGCTCGAGCGATGAGAGCAACTGTCAGGTTAGGGGCGAATCCGAATATCAAGACGCTAATCGCGGTACCGATTAGACCCGTGAGTAAGACCGGCTTTCTTCCAACTTTGTCACTGAGACGTCCCCATAAAAGACCCGTTGAGAATTCAGCAAAAGTGAAGGCTGAAGTGACCATGCCGGCGTAAAATGAGATTCTGCTCTTATCCTCGGTGATGTGAAAGTCCTCGATCATAAAGTAGATGTAGGGAAATATGCCCATGAAAGCAATTGGCTCGCATATTCGACAGATTGCTAGTTGGCGGCATATCAGCATGAGCTCCACCGGGAAATACTCTCCTACCCCCCCTCAACTACGAGAATGGCTATTATTCTTGTCATACCTAAAACTAGCATCTGCCGTCTCGGGAACGGTGGTACGGTGCTATTACGCTCACTCGTCGAAGGACGGGTGTCCCTCGAAAACAAGATACTCCTCATGGTTGTGATAGTAGGTTCCGCCGAGCCCCGCGCTACATGAAAGGCTCGAAGGAGCGGAAAGCGGGAAGAGAGAGCACGGTGGCGGAGGGTTAGATAGTAGATAGTTGCGATACAGGGATACCGGATCTGAGACTAAGTGATGACTTGGAAGGTTCCCTCAAAGTCTTAAGTTGGAGGAACCTCTCAAGTGTCCGGGACCTGAGTGTGGAGGGGGGCCCTCGACGGCTTTTATGAATCAGGCAATGTCAGGGTCTGGGTCAGGGTTAAGGTCTTTTGGAGTCAGGGTGACGAGCAGGAGTGACTTGTCAACCTGGTACGGTTGAGTTGTTATGGTCGACAAAGGGCTGTGTGTAAGATAAGCTGCAGCAGAAGGGAAGCAAAGGTGAATAATCAGCTTGGCATGACGGGAGGAGAGGAAAGAAAGCTGATAGAAGTAGACTAGAAACAATCCAACAACTGGTGGTAGTAGACGTATCCATGGCGGGAGACGGATATTAAGTCATTTAATATTGGAACCAGCGGTGACAGATGTTAGGGCGAAAAGCAAAGTGCCAGTGCAAGTGCAAAGTACAAGTGCAATAGATGATCCTTCCAGCGGTGCCAGGTGTAACGCGGCGATGGTCTCACAAGGTATGGAGTCCCAACTTCGTGGAAACAACTCTCATGGAAGCCCAGAAGTGGACTGCTCCGGTGGATCCCTCATCCCATGTTCGAAGGCGGTACGGGGTATACGATGACATGTACCTGCGAATGAGAAAGTCGGAACTTGGCTCCAGAGGAGCCTTACGAGTTGCATACATATACATATACATACATACATGTAGAGGGGGAGGAGGTAGGAAAGTGGAAGTTGTAGCCCGCAGCCCGACTCGAATGACCACGCGGGTAGCGGGAAATGTATTTTTTTTGTTCCTTCACTCTTTCCTTTCGACAAGGATGACCAGGAAGATGGAAGCAGCATGGAAGGAAGTACCAAGCACCAAGGACCAAGCACTACTAGGCTGCTAGGTAGCTACCTGGTAGGTAAGGTAGAGTAAAGTAAAGCATCCATAACCATATACCAGGTACCCAGCAAAATACATACCAGCATACCCGGCATAGAACATTGCACGCCGCGCTCAGTGCTGCACATTACCAGACATTGAAGGGTTGACGACAAGTACCAAGTACAGAAGGGATCCCTACTAGCTTCTTTACTACCCTCCTCCGGCACTGGATGTGCATTGCTGCATTGCTTCCTCTGACAGGCGTGGACAAGGGTTGAAAAGTAGGGTAAAAAGTAGTAGGGTAAGGTTAGGGAAACGTAGTGGGAAAAAAAAAGCCACTCTAGAGCTGCCGGTGTCCGCCAGCTTTAGAAGCAAAGAATAAAAAGGGTTGTGAACCTTTCCCTGTTAGGTTTAAGCCGTTCAATAATAAGCTAATAAAGCTAATAAAGCTAACACAGCTAATACAGCTAATAAAGCTGGCCGGTTATGAGCGTCGACCTCATTGGCAATTTCACCACACACCAAAAAAGCTGAACGGTGGAGCCTGCCGAGGATCTGAGCGAATGGGCCTGACACGACACTTTTTAGTTCTGGGAGAGATGGGATGTAGTGAGGTTGCTTGAGCACCTGGCAGTCTTGCGTCCAAGCAGCGGTGAAGGATTATCCACAGCCTTTTTTCACTCTCTCTCTCTTTCCCCTGGGGCTGTTCGTGAGCGAGGCTAAAGAAGGCAATCGGAGAGAAAAAATAATAATAATATGATAATAATAAAATAGACGACCCGACCCCCAACGATGCGTGACTAAAAGTAAGTGGGATTGGATAACGGAAATAGCATACAAACTGGGGTATTTTGAGATGAACCGAATGGCCGGTACGGGGGATTGATAGAAAAAGCGTTTACCATCCAGGAATGACGCAGATTATGCAGAAAGCCTTCAGCCCGCCAAGCCTCGTTTTTTTTTAATGTAGGTATGTATAACGTATAACGCATCATGGATGTTTATACAGATACAGATACAGATACAGATACAGGCTGATACAGACAGATACAGGTACACATCTAGGTACATAACCTTGGAAATATGGGAAACGTTGGAACCGACGATAACCCGCCAGGCCGTTCTGCCCGTCCCGCAGCCACGAGAGAAGCCACCTGGGCTTGATGCTGGGCACGAGGGCCACGAGATTTAAGATTTCATTTTTCTATTTCTATACGTGCGGGCGTGTGACGTGCGGACGCAACAAGACCTGCACCCACGAAGTCGGAATACGGTCCCCGTCTTCTTTCGTACCATGCGTATGCTGTGTCACGACGGTAGTCAGCGCGACGGAATTGCCGCGCTTGGTATGTTTCGTCGGTGCTGCTGCCCGTTTTGAAGCTCTGCTCTGCTTCCATTAACATCATTAAAGTCATTACGTCGGCTCTGCATATCCGTCATCATCGTATGTGTGTATGTATGTGTGTACGTGACCCCGTCGACATTAGCATCCTTAGGATCTTAGCATACCTAGTAACGGCAGAGAGCAAAGTTATGTCTGTGTCTACCTAGTGTAGGTAGGCTTCTAGGGCTGCTAGGCTAGAATATTATGTATGTCTGTGACCGCTTCACACGTCATAGAGAAGAACCCGTCTCATCCGCGCCTGAGCCGGGTTCTCCATCGTATGGGCGGTCTCTATCTCGGAGTGTGAATGAGGCGAATTTAGTTGGTAGAGACGGGTTTTGGGTAACGATGTCGTTATCTGACGATGGTACTCTTACCGTAGGCGGGCAATGCAACACAGTGTACAACGCTTTATCCTTGCTGTAATAACCTTGCATCTGGGCTGCTGGGTACGTGCGGTAATCGTTTTTTTCTCCCCTTCGAAATCTAATATCAAAGATCTGCAACTTTGGTACCGGTCTCTGCCGCCGATCAAATTGATGTACAGGTGTATCTGGGTATCTGGGTATATGCAACTTCTTCACCTTGTGCGGTGGCTTGGATCTTGGCTACTCCCCCTTTCCAACTGGTCGGATTACCGTCCCACAATCCCACCCGATATCAAATCTGTCAGTCTGTAGTCTGTTCACCACTTGGAGCTAACAAAGCTAGCTACGGAATAAATCACATGTACAATATATCCCCGATCCCCGATACCTCCCGGGCTAGCTATAGAATTGCCGTGCAATACGGCGGTGGGGATTGTTGTCTTGTCAGCTGAGCGCATCGTACACGTAGCTTGACGATCCGAAAAGGGCGTTTGCGAGTTTCGTACAATCTCACCGTCGAAGACCCCACAGTTGACATCTCCCCGATGGGAATTAGCCAGGTTTCTTTTTTTTTTCTCTTTTTCTTTTTTTTCTTCCTCCCAGAGCCTAGAGCAGGCTATGGAACATATCCGTAACGTTCTAGAAGAGCGGTGTTAGGCTAGTCCCTGTCAGACCATGTGGCAAATGAAATTTCATAATAATATGTGTGTGCTCGGTGCTCACATAAGGGGGGGTTCCTCTGATTCTAGTTGGGACGAGGGGTACATCGGTGCATTGGTGCAGCACAAAGCGAGATGAAGATGACATCTTTTCTTTTCTTTGCCTCCCTTTTTCAAGCTTAGGGTTATCTAATAGTAAGGGTCTAAGAGTTCCGCGGCGTATGAAGCCGGCGTACCGGATGAGATCCGGTGAGCCACCACCACCGCTACCACCACCACCTGAGCACGAAACATGCGCGGCTGCGGAGAAGCCGAGAATATTCGAGCAATATCTATTACGAAGTGCGTATTTAGCGAAAAGGCATTCGCAATAATTGCGAGATCGCCTGTTTTGAAATTAGATAGGACGCGTCCTTCTCGTGTGTTGAGACAGCTAGAGACTAGAGGCTAGAGATTATTAGAGACAGCGCGGATGACAATGGGTTCCAGGGCTGTAATCTTTCAATCCTTCCAGTCTTTCCAGCCCTTCTAGGTTCTAGCTGGGTTCTAGCATAGTATGGAGGTAGCTAGGTACCCGGGTTCTGCAGGCTCCATGTCTGCAGGCTCTGCAAGGCTCTGCGCAGGGATACTCAATCGCTCACAAATAACAGAGATTCGTTTTCGCCCTGTTAAAAGACGCACGGCTATCATGATCATCCAATATCGGGGATGCCATATGGCGTAGTTTCATGTGCAAGGATAACCCTTGGCTGACAGGCTTGACCCAACCATTTGGCGCCCTGATATTGAATACCGGAAGCTTGCCGTTTAGGAAAAGTACAATTCCTGTTCGCCCTGAACGCCAAGCCATAAGTCTATATACTTCGCTAGTCCTTATTTTTTTTTCTTGCTTAATTTTTTTTTCTCCTATCCCTCACTATTTCATTCAGGGTCCAGGTAGATCTGATTTTATCGTTCCAGGAATTGCTCTCTTTTGGAAAAGGGGGGGATGGACACGCATGCAGAAACGATCATATGATCTGGCTATATGTCCCGAAACAAGATCGATATCGATGTTGTATTGTTAGGATCATCGACCCAGCATAACTTTAATCAAATTCGAGAAAGAGGCTGAAAAAAAAAGTTCCTAAGTCTGAGCAAATCGAGAGTAGCCAAATCATGCATGAATCAGTGGACACCCGCGATCAGACTGGTAACGGAAGGCTAGATTTAGATATTCTGCATACATGTGGAACATGCAATGTCGTGCAGCGGAGGTCCACGTTTGATGAGGCACGTCAACATCGTACACAACCTACTCGTTCCGGTCATCTGGGTGCGTTTGAAATGATGGGATTCTTTTTGCTCTGTTTATCTTTCCCATGACATCCGTATTGTGGCAGGGCCTGCTGCGTTGTCTCCAGTGGTCAAAGGGTTGTCGGGTCTCGAGGGACCGCATTACGTCAATAGCTCACCGCCCCTTTTGGTTCGGCATTGGACTTGAGGATAAAATTCTGCGGCGGTGCCCGATCAGAAACTTGCACGTATCAGCTGGTCGGATCAGAAGACGTCGAGTGCCGTGAAACTTTGCTGATCACTATGGATTCCGTGCTCTCTCCCTTGGCAGCCTGGCCCCCGAATTGTTTGTCGATATAGGCGGCGCTTAACGCGAAGTCTTGCAAATGAGTTGGTCGTTAGGCCAGGGGCAAGACAATTAGGAGAAGAGGAGTAATCTCGACCACTTGCGAGAGTACAACAAGTGTACATGCGCGGTTCGGTCGGGGAAGGCCTTCGCTAAATTCGACTGGAAGCTGTTTCAATCTCCTCCGGAACAGGCAGAGTCCCGAATGGCCGCAGCTTTCTCCACTACCCACCTTCCCCCCTTCTTTAGCGCCTTGCAGCAGCAGCCTCGTGGGACAAGGGGGAACCTAGACAAGCTGCTTGGTAACTTAGCTGCGTAGCTGGTGTTCAGCTAGTGTGATTCTGATTTGATAGAGCTAGGTTTTAGCTGTCAGACCGTTTTATGCCAGAACGATATCCCGTGCCTAGATAGCAGCAGCAGCAGCAGCAGTACCCTTTT